AAGTCTTGGAAGAAAGTAAGTATGACTTGAAATGTAAGTCTCGGACGAAAGTAAGTCTGACTTGAAATGTAAGTCTCGGACGAAAGTAAGTCTGACTTGAAATGTAAGTCTCGGACGAAAGTAAGTCTTGGAAGAAAGTAAGTATGACTTGAAATGTAAGTCTCGGACGAAAGTAAGTCTTGGAAGAAAGTAAGTATGACTTGAAATGTAAGTCTCGGACGAAAGTAAGTATGACTTGAAATGTAAGTCTCGGACGAAAGTAAGTCTTGAAGAAAGTAAGTATGACTTGAAATGTAAGTCTGACGAAAGTAAGTCTTGGAAGAAAGTAAGTATGACTTGAAATGTAAGTCTCGGACGAAAGTAAGTATGACTTGAAATGTAAGTCTCGGACGAAAGTAAGTCTGACTTGAAATTTAAGTCTCGGACGAAAGTAAGTCTTGGAAGAAAGTAAGTATGACTTGAAATGTAAGTCTCGGACGAAAGTAAGTCTTGGAAGAAAGTAAGTATGACTTGAAATGTAAGTCTCGGACGAAAGTAAGTCTGACTTGAAATGTAAGTCTCGGACGAAAGTAAGTATGACTTGAAATGTAAGTCTCGGACGAAAGTAAGTCTTGGAAGAAAGTAAGTATGACTTGAAATGTAAGTCTCGGACGAAAGTAAGTCTGACTTGAAATGTAAGTCTCGGACGAAAGTAAGTCTTGGAAGAAAGTAAGTATGACTTGAAATGTAAGTCTCGGACGAAAGTAAGTATGACTTGAAATGTAAGTCTCGGACGAAAGTAAGTCTGACTTGAAATTTAAGTCTCGGACGAAAGTAAGTCTGACTTGAAATGTAAGTCTCGGACGAAAGTAAGTCTGACTTGAAATGTAAGTCTCGGACGAAAGTAAGACAGACTTGAAATGTAAGTTTCGGACGAAAGTAAGTCTGACTTGAAATGTAAGTCTCGGACGAAAGTAAGTCTGACTTGAAATGTAAGTCTCGGACGAAAGTAAGTCTGACTTGAAATGTAAGTCTCGGACGAAGGTAAGACAGACTTGAAATGTAAGTTTCGGACGAAAGTAAGTCTGACTTGAAATGGAAGTCTGATTCTAAATGTAAGTTCTAGACTAAAGTAAGTCTGATTCTAAATATAAGTCTGATATTAAGATAAGTTTGTAACTAAAATTAAGTCTTATTCCAAAAGCAAATTTAATTGTATAATAAGTCTGGATCTAGAGTAAGCCTTAGTCTACAGCTATTCTGTGTCAAAAATAAGTCACGAACCATAGTAAGTTTCGGACTAGAGTATGTCTGTAATTCGAATCATTCATATTCTTCAATTATCCCGCCAAAAAAATTATCGTCTTTTTATCATACCATAGTTTTTATCAATCTCGTTCTACTAAAAAAACCTTTATATTGGTGATTTCTTTGTTAAACCCGTATTTTTTCATGTGAATCTTATTGTATAAACTCTAAAAGTTCAATTTCCGGTCGAAAAAAACTTGAAAACAATTTGTATTCGACGAGTTAAAGAGCTCTATTTATTCTAAATTTTCCAAAAAAAAATTAGATTTCGTTTTTTCGCTTCAAAAAATGTTGTTTTAAGTTTTAAAATTTGTAATTCAAAATTTTTTTGGAAAGATTTACGATTTTTTAATACTGCGAATGAGTTTTATTTTACATACTCTATTGATAAATCATATTTTTGTCGAGATATAACTTTTTTTTTAAAAATTATATGCAAAGAGTGTTATAGAATTCTAGAAGGTATAGTGCATAATTTGAAGTATACTATCAAATAAAGAAATTTTACAGTTTTTTAGTTTTATTTAGATGTACGTTATTTTAGAGAGAGAGGGTCAAAGTTGCTATTTGTCACTTTTCCACAAGAATATAATGGGGAAAAAGTTATCATATAGTTGATCTCATTCACTAGGTGAGACATGCATGTAGTGTAATGGGAGAAACAGTGGATTTGCTGCTCTAAGTCCTAGGTTCGAGACTCATTGGCTTCATTTTTCTCTTTTTTATTGACGTAAACTATTCAATTTTTGTGTTATCCATTCAAATTTCAGAATTTTTTTTGCAGATTTCACGCTACATTCGAAGTTACCTTTTGTAACAACCACCACCGCCTACGAAAGACGAAAGTGTGTCACGATTTCACCCGGAAATCCGACGGTTGTTTAAGAGTAAGCACTTTTGGCACCTACTCTTATTTTAGATGGCTTCGTCGAAAACAAAGCATGTCTGTTAAGTTTATTCTTAACATGGTAAATAAAATGGCAACGAAGCCCAGTGTACTGCGTCTTATGCCGTAGTTTTTGTTATCTTCATACTCAAATACAACAAATACAAATAGATTTATTACGAAAAAACGTATAAAACAAATGATATATTTATTTCTAGACAAGTTGACGAACATGTAGCGCAACTGTATCGCTTTAGAGAACAGTTCTTCCAACACCTACTCATTCAGTGAAAGATTTAAGAAGAACTCTTACTCGACCTTAACTACCTACGCTTTGCTTGAACAATTCCCAACGAGGTTACTATAAGGTTGCAAGTCTTGTCAAAATGTAGTATGCAATACGTTGGGGAAAAATAGATATATACGAACAAACTACTACAGTCTAGCAACTAGTCTTTAAGTGTAATGTATTTTTGCTACAAAGAGCTCATAACGAAGTCAAATTTTGCAATTTGATGTCAAAACTAGCTAGTTGTTGAATCAAATAGCGTTGTGACTTTGTATACATCACGATCTTGTGGTATCAGAGCTGTACTGCTGCAGACTAATTCAACTAAACATGAGCAAGATTGGGATTTCTATTCTCTGGGGTGCGAGGCTCGTCCAAAGTTCAAGCAGCTACAGTGTTTTGGATCACCTAAAGAACTTTGGGAATTCAGTTATTACGTAAATTTCTCAAGATGAACTTGAGAGCAGCGCAGTTATAACGAAAGTCTCTGATGAAAGGCAATGATTTCTTTCATGAATGATCTAACGTTAGCTTGAAATCAGGAAAAGAGACTATTGATGACTTACTTTCCATCGATGGTGCACAACAGCAGGGAGGGGATTGGTGGGTTTGGGGAAATTCGCTGAGGCACTAGTGTCCGGATTGTTCGTCAAATAGGTTTCCTTTCCTATAAAGAAATGACACTTTTTTGGCGGCTTATTGACTCAGAAAAATTTGAGAGTTAACGAATAATTTTGGCGCCAAAAATAATTTCTCTTAATTTATTAAATTTAATATACGCACATCCATAAGTTATGCTATTTTTTCTATTTATTTTGTTCTAAAATTCTAAATATTTTTTTTTCATAACATAAAATATGATGTCTAGTCTCATTTACATAACAACATGCCTTAGAATAGGTTTTTTATTCTTTTTGTCACTTTAAATTAAGAATAAAAAGATAATTTAAATTGAATATTTGCGATTATTCTCACTAATGCTGCTTCCTCTTTTATTAGGTAGACAACAAAAAGTTAGCCTTGGACTCCCATATCAGATTTTTGATTGGTTGCGTATATAATGAGCTGGGATTGATACACGAAAACCCAGTGAGAAAATTTTTGACGCCGAAATTTTGATCTCTCAATTTTAAACATTTTTCAAAAAAAAACTTATAAATATATTTCTTATTGTATAATATTGAAAAATAAATCATCATGGATGAATATTACTAGTACTTCAGAATTATTTATTTTTTCGATCTAAATATAGAAATAATATCTACTCTATATAAAAATAACAATTATTTAATTTTATTGAAATTTTTATTATTTGATTAATATATTTTATGTGATATCTTAAATAGCAATAAAAACTACACCATGTAGTTATTCTAGGGTACCTTCATCTACTTCTAGAATTATAGGCTCTGGATTCGAATCTATGGTGCGCTATTGATAAAGTAAATTTCTCCATAGGCCCCAAAAAAATTGACAACCCAGGAATTATAGGGTAATATCTAAATTTTTACATTGAGTCGGCTATTGATATGGTTAATATTAAATCTTGTAAAAATTGGCATTATCCAGAATAATACCCACTAAAATACACAATTTTTTTAAAAAAATTTTATCAATTGTTATGGTATATCTTTATGATAATGAATAAAATGCTTATTTTTCATAAGTAAATACATAATTTATGCTTAAACACAAAAAATAACACGAAAATTTTTGGCCAACATATCTAAACTAAGGATAATGGTTTGAATATATAAACAATAATACTTTGTCCAGGGAATTAAATTTGTGCTATCCAATTGTCAATTCTTTGAATTTTTTTTAAATGCAAGATATCCCGGCATTAGCCTCAATAAATATATATATTATGCATCATAATATTAGTTTGTAATGGCATTAAAGCGAAATTCCTAATTTCTTCTCAATTAAATTCCTTGAAAAACATTGGAATTAATGATTGGAAATAGGTCAAAAAAATTCCTAATATAAAACTTATACTTAAGATAAAATTAAAATTCGAAAATATCTATTTTTCAAAACACGCATCCAAAAGCGAAAAAATTCGAAAAAATCATGTTCTTATAAAACTCACTGATTTTGCAATTTTTATGAGATTTGAAGTGATAGAATATATTATCATCTTATTGAAACATATGCTTCATTGTTGTATTCACATAATATTAATCAGAACACTAGGAAAAGTGGATTTTCGAAAAATGACGATAATGATTATTTGCAAATTGCCTCTCAATTTTGAGAGACTTTCAATTTTTACAGTGGACCCTTAATTAACTTTTTCATTTAACCAGTAAAAGTTCAACTCTGAATTCAAATAAATATTTTTTATGTAACTATAATTTATGTCTGGATCACTGTTAAAACTTGAACGAGTATCCAAGAAAAGATATTAAGCCTTTTTGAGCTAAAAAGGAAGATAATCAAAATATGACTTAAGAAAAATAATAAAATAAATCAAATACATTTAAAAACAATACAAATATAACAGTAATAATCCAATAATAAATAACATAAATTTTTCTATTGATTTATGGTTGCTGAGAATTTTAAAAGTTGCTTGTATTTTGGTGCTGATTCAATATGCTCGCGTAGCTCCGAAATCGCCCTTTCCAAATTTTTATTCCATTCTTCGTCGTAAGAATTCGACTTATCCTTGAATTGCTCGTCTACATATTCATCAATAATATCGCCGCACGCAGCGAAGTATGAATCTTTTCCGTTATAAGTTCTTGTATTTTTAGAAATCAAATGGACATCTGAAATAAACTCTTGAGGGGTTTTGTAGGAATTTAATACGAGATTTTGCTTTATTTTGGAGAAATCCATTGGGTGTTTGATTTTCTTCAAATAATCTGGAGCATCATCATGTACAGGATCCACTGGCGCTCTGAAAGGTTTCGATACAGGCATTTTCAACAATTCATTGAGTATTTTGTGGCACCAGTACTTGTTATAGTCATTCATAAACAAAAAAAAACAGAAATAGACTTTTTCACGTCACTTTTATAAAAAATTTCTGTTTCTAAATTTTTCCGTAAATTTATCAAAAATAATTCAAAAATTGAAAATTCTCGGAAATATAATAAATAAAAGACAATAGCTTGAGTAGGTGACAAAAGTGCATACTCTTAAACAACCGTCGGATTTCCGGGTGAAATCGTGACACACTTTCGTCTTTCGTAGGCAGTGGTGGTTGTTACAAAAGGTAACTTCGAATGTAGCGTGAAATCTGCAAAAAAAATTCTGAAATTTGAATGGAGAACACAAAAATTGAATAGTTTACGTCAATAAAAAAGAGAAAAATGAAGCCAATGAGTCTCGAACCTAGGACTTAGAGCAGCAATCCCACTGTTTATCCCATTACACTAAATGCCTCTCTCACAATAGCTTTGTTTTGCTAACATCAAGAGATTTAGACAAAATTAAGACGAATTTTCATTATAAAACGAAATACCTAAATAAATTCGAATTGATTTCGATATGATTTTATAGTTTTTCATATACGAATACCATTATCTAATGTTCTTCTGTAAATCATGCACTAATGCTCATTCCCTAAATAAAAATGTATTCTTTATAACTTAAACTGTTTACTTTTCGCTTTTTTTAAATGTTGAAACATATTTTTTTATTAATAAGAATCAGAAGTTGAATCAATACTAATTCTTCTCTTTAACACAAAGATTGAGTCGATAACTCCCTTGATTATCTCCATGACTTTCGCTTCATTCTCAGGTAACATCTGCATTGTCAATTTTTCAGGGCGGTTTGGAGTAGAAACATTCAAAACGTGGTTATTGCAAGCAACAACAGAGTTATCACTGAGCATCACGTAAGACTTTAGTGTTGTATACTCAGATCTCAATGCAGTCTTCTTGTGACCCTTGATGACAATAATCATATCAGTCATGATGACAATTTCGTATCTTTCAAGTTGTCCAGGGAATCTTGCGATAATTGTTCTTCTAGGAGCAACTAATGTCAACTGGCAATCTTTAATAGTAGATTGCAACATGTACAAATCTGATTTACGCTTTGCTTCTTCTGTCTTTGCATCAGCTGCTGAAGAAGCTTCCTTTAATGAAGCCATTGCGTCTTCAAGTAATTTCCTGTCTTCATGCCATTCAGGAGTTGCTTTATAGATCTCGCGAAGCAACAAAACATATTTAGGCATACGTTGTACAGGCATGATAACTAATGATGATATTGGTTGGACACCTTTCTTGACAACTGCTTCACAAGCAATTCTAAACTTTTTGTTCATCGCTGTCAGTTTTTTAATTGATAAATCAATTTCTGGATAATGTTCGATGTAAGGAACGAACATCTTGATTAAGTGCTTTGCGTTTGTGAAACAGTTTCCACATAAAGCGAATTGAGGACCTTTCTTGCGTTCCGCAGCAAATAAAGAAGAGAATTGGTTGGATAGAAGAATCAAAGTATCAATGTTTTGGAAGATAAGTCTTGTCTGATCTTCGTTGATCAGATGTTGTACTGCTGGTTTGTACTCGACAATTAGGTTTCTGATGTAGTTGCAGTAGACTTCTTCACTGCTGCATAGTTCATTGATTGCGAATTCTCTCTTCTTCAACATCTTCTCTTCGAAAATACGTACAGGAGCTGAAGGTTGTTCGGAAGTAGATGAATTGTCTTTTGTGTTGTTTTCTTCATCATCTGACTCGAATTCTTCGATTTCTGGACGCTTTGCAACAAGATCTAATGTTGGCGTTCTTGTATTTTGAGAAGGTGATTTCGAATCTTCTGCTGGTTTTGTTGCAGCTTGTTCCACAGAAGTATCGAATATAGTTTGTGGTTTCTTGTTTTCAGCTGGCTTTGGAGCTGGCTTCTCTTCAACCTTTGGAGCTGGCTTCTCTTCAACTTTTGGAGCTGGATTCTCTTCAGCCTTTGGAGCTGGCTTCTCTTCAACTTTTGATTTTGGCTTCTCTTCAACTTTTGGAGCTGGTTTTTCTTCAGCCTTTGATTTTGGTTTCTCTTCAGCCTTTGGAGCTGGCTTCTCTTCAGCCTTTGGAGCTGTTTTTTCTTCAACTTTTGATTTTGGCTTCTCTTCAACTTTTGGAGCTGGTTTTTCTTCTGGCTTTGATTTTGGTTTCTCTTCAGCCTTTGGAGCTGGCTTCTCTTCAGCCTTTGGAGCTGGCTTCTCTTCAACTTTTGGAGCTGGCTTCTCTTCAACTTTTGGAGTTGGCTTCTCTTCAGCCTTTGGAGCTGTTTTTTCTTCTGGTTTTGATTTTGGCTTCTCTTCAGCCTTTGGAGCTGGTTTTTCTTCTGGCTTTGGTGTAGGCTTTTCTTCTGGTTTTGGCGCTGGTTTTTCAGCAGGTTTTTCTGATTTTGTTTCGGATTTCTTGTTTTCTGTCTTCTTTTCTTCCTTACTTTCCTTCTTAGGGGAAGCAGGTGTTTCTGCTGGTTTTGTGGTAGGTTTTTCTGTAGGAGTTTCTAATTTTGTTTCTGATTTCTTATTTTCTGCTTTTTGTGGCTGTTTTTCAGGTTCTGGTTCAATCTTTCCTTCAGTATGTACTGTGACAGCAGATGCGGACGCTTTCTGTTCTTTGGAAATAATTGTTTCAGATTTTTGATGTATTTTCTCTTCAACGTGAACCTTTGTTTCAACATGTGTTATTGAGGTCTTCTCCTGTTTAATTTCAACAACGTGCTGCTTTGCAGTTTCAACATGAGTAACTTCTACTGCTTGCGCTTCAGAATGCTTTGTAGAAAGTTCAACTACTTCTTCTGCAACACATTCTTGAGTCTTGAGTTCCAAATTTTCATTTGCAGGAGTGTCAGCGTTATCAATTGTACGCTCTACGACGGCTTCTTGTAATTCGGAGTTATCCGCTGGTGTCTCTTCCTTCTGTACATCAGCTTTAGGTTCTTTGCATTCAGTTTCTGTCTTAATTAATGGTTCAGCAATTTTATTTTCAGATTCACCTTTCTTAGCACCGATTCCAAGCAAACGTAGAATTGCATAAAATATGCTTAGTAATATCTGTTGGAATTTGGCCAATAATACTTGAATTTGCTCCATTTTTCAACCGGAAATTTACACTTTTATAAATTGAGAAAAATAAAATAATATTGAAATCATTGAAATGATATATGCATTGTTTCATGTTATAATTCATATTTCAAGAAATTTCGCATTTCGTTATTTGTCACTTTTTCCCTCGAGACTCGGAATTAATCAGAAATAACAATAGCGGCAATTATTTCATGAATTGATTTTGACCACGGAGAACTATGCGGATATACATATATTTTTAAAGAATTGAATATTGTGGTTACTCTTTTTACTTTCCAACTCGATAGAAGCGGATATTTGCATCTAATCTTCAGCTTTGAAAAATAATTCATAAAAATGGCAAGACTATGCGTATTTGATCTGCAAAATACCGTTAAACCACAATCATCCTTTGCTATTTCTTGAATTAAATTAAATATTAAATCTCAGAACATTTCAACATTCACGCTACCAGGATAAGGGAAAGAACGAACAAATCTACATTAAAACAAAGATTAAAGCTGGATAATAAAAAAATTGGAATAATGTTTAATTTTATTTACTGAAAACACCATTTTCTTAATTTTCATACTAATACATACCGATAAATGCTAAAAACAGCATATGTTAACTATCATGATAGAAAAATTCCAGATTCAACATCTGATAAAGGTTTTAAAAGATCAATTTTAGATATGTTACATATATGTATACACACTTGCTGATGATCAAATTTAGGTTTTATAAAATTTGATTACTCTCGATAATTTTGAAACTTATTGTTTTTGAATGAATTTTCATTGTAAATTTTATAAAAAAAATTTTTTTATGTGTCCAGAGGTAGGGCAACGATAGGTCAAAAAGGCTTCTCTGATAGATTTCCTTGCCTTTTGGATATGCTATAATATATAGCCTAGCATGATAGGATATGATGTCAAAAGTTAGAACATAACTTAGGATCTTGAGAAAAATGAAAAACAAAAATTACATAAAAAAAGAAAAATTTTATCTAATTTGTTTTTTTGGACCGAATAAGTAATTTTATTGAATTTCAATACGACACATAGATTTTATTATTAGTAATAAATATAATGGTTTACTATTAACAAGGAACCTAAACTAATGAAAATTTGATTTCAAATATTGTATATGATTATCATAGATTACCAAAATATATTGCTATTTATGAGGATATAATATTGATTATTAGTAAATCGTATAAATTTAATAAATATACCATGAATATTGAATGAATTTTTGATTCATAGGGGTAAAACGCGCTTTTATATGATTTAGACAGAGAATTTATGAGATGTAAATAACACAATAAAGGTTTATATTGAATATTTTCTAAAAATAAATCGAAATTATAAAAAACAATACATTTATTCATTGAAACTACTTGGACAAATATGAAACAAGCATTCAGGCAATACTTTTGAGACTTCAACGCATCTGATAATTTTTATATAACTTCACCTCTTATGCTTAGAGTGGAGGTATTGAGATCGTATAAGTATAGATGAGCTCACATTCAGATATGATGTGTGAACTTCTGTTTTCACTGCAATTTTGAATCAGAATAAACTCAAAACAAGAATAAAATGATATACTCCCTCTCTAAATGTGTTCGAGATTTAAAGTTGTATGAATAAAACGATTCATCTTTCGAAGCCTCCCATTTAATGAGAGACTTCGAAAGATGAATGTATTCATGTAGATGAAATACTATATATGACCATGTGTGATACTAAAGATATCAAAATGTTCATTTTTAAGTGCAATAGAAGGGTTATCTCTCGTAAAATCTCAATTTAAGGAAGATTTAGAAAGAACTCCTTTCCTAAGTAGATAGTGTGTGGTTTCTGTCTTTTGGTTGATCAGGAACTATGAAATTAAGTCGGACAGAAAGAAGTTCTTTCCAAAACAGACTCCAAATGAGTTGTTCGAAAAGAACTTCCTTCTGTATATGGATAATTGTAGTTACCGCACTGAAGTATGTGATTGTGATGATGGAGTTCTCGATAAATCTAAAATCGGATTAAGATTAATTGAAAACTCAAGTAATTCTTTGAAATCTTGTGTTGTCTGGCACTATAATAACCAAAGAATGAGAATATTATGTTGAATGATGAGTACGTGTGCTCGGCATTCGCCGAGCGAATTGAGTTTAACGTACTATGAAAAGTGACAAATTTGGGCTTTTTTTCCTAGGGTTATGATCTCTTCCTTTCTGCTCAATACGACAGAAATGAAAGAATGAATTTGTACTCCCTAATTGATTACTACAATCTGTATCTATCTTTAACATAGAATTAGCTGCATTGTGATTTATACTCCAGAATTATTCAATTTAAGATCAACCTCGTAAATTTTAATCATATTGCACCAATACTCCTACGTTGAGATAAGAACATGATTATACATACCAAAGCCCCATATTAAAAATCAAAATTTAGCACCTCCATTATGCAACCACATTATTCGTCGCAAATAAGTATATTTACGCATATTATGATGCATATTCACACAACTCGTATACATGAAAAGTTATTAAAATCAGACAAAATTATTGCAATAAGGAAAAAAAAACAACTTTATTATATATGTTAGTAATGAATTACAAATATTTCTACAAAGAATGCTCAATACTTCATATAATCTTCGAATATTTCTTATTACAAGTTAATACATTTTGACTCGAACATGATAAACAAAAGCTGACACGCTGATTACTACATTTATGAAAATATAGTACGTTTCCATTCATCTGTTTACTTGTTTTTGTTGGAATAAAATCATTTTTTTTTTCTTTCATGAAATAAGAATTTTGCTGCGAAAGCAATATCTCTAACAATAATTAATACATTACGTCAACTCTGGAATGAGTATTTATCAAATATGATATCAAAATCAAAAATTAGTTGTTTTTTATGAGTAAAAACGATGTAAATTGATTATTTGACTAATTATCAAATACTTTGATTTTCCAAATTTTTTTCGAAATTGATTTTTTCATGTGAAAATTCAAATTGTTTAATTTCATTTTTGAAATTTTGAATTTTTTTTGGAATTTTGAGTTGATCAATTCAGCAGAATTGATAATGCTATTGCTTTAGGGCATACCACAAGGTGATGAATAAAAGGTGAACATTAACAAATTATTTTAAATCACAAATATCATCCTCATCAACTTTAATTCTAAAAAGAACTGTACTGAATTATGAAAATGCATGATTTACATTATTAAAATCTTTGAATGAAAATAGTACAAGATAAGTTTTTATTCATTTTTAATTAGATTTAAACGAAAAACTACTCCATATTAAAATTTAAGTCGAGAAATCGTATTTTGTTCTTATTTGTTAGCATTTTGTAGACATTCTAATCTTGAATTAATTTGTTACATGATATTATTAACAAATTTAACTGAAAAAATATGTTAATATGGAATAAACCATGATTATATAAGCTATCAATGCTATATATACATATGTAAAAGATTCATATTAACTCAATTAACAAAAATGATAGATTTTCATAAAGGTTCAATCTAGGTTCGTCCGAAAATTTTGATTTTTATATAGAAGACATAGTTTCATATACATAATTAAATTTTCAAACAAATTTGATCATACCATTTATTAAGCAGGATAGTATATTAATTACTATCAGTATAAAAATATAAAAATGATTATATTTAATTATTGCATAATTTAGTCAAAGAGTTATAAGCCTCAAGTGATCGTTATCACCTTCAATGCACGTATACTTTATTGATTCATAGATATTTAATCTATGTTTGACATGTTGTTGTCGTCATTCGTTTTGTTCCCATTCTTCCTAAGTTAGAATTAGAGAATACACCATCCACATCATCTAATTTGGTCCTCAGCGATAGATTGGTTCATTTTGGAGGAGTCCCATCAGACAGTTTTCGAGCACCAAATATCAAATTTTAATGTATACAAATCTTTAGTGATTTATCTCTTTTATGATGAGTAAAAGGTTTCTGCTCATCAACATTTGATTTCCGACATATATGATTTCTAATTGCAATTATTTACTTTCTTTTTATAATCTAACTCTGTGACTCATACCATAAATTAATTATTGGAAAGTGTCAATATGTTTGGCACAACGCATGGCGGAAGATACCAAACCATGCAGGGAATATGATACGTTTAAGATCTCCGAACTTTTTTTCCAAAAATTTTCTATCGTTGCCCTACCTCTATGTGTCCATCCTGAAGTAAAGAGATATGTTGTTTGCAGAACATTAAAGAAGGAAAATATGCAAAATTTTCTCCATGTTTTTTTGCTTTTTATATTCAAACCGCAAACTCTTGAACTTTTTGCAAAAAGCGATTGAATAAAAAGTAATGCATAGAAGTGGCAGCCAGGATCTTGGGATTCTAAATGATAATCAATATCTTGAAGAGAGTGGTGCCGATTTGAGGAACTACCGCGATCAGCTCCAAAAAGACAGAAATTCGAGAACTTTAATGATGCGTGCATCAAAACATCCATCTATAGGTAAATTACGCCTTGGAAAATGTTCTTCACCATCTTTAGGTCCTCCTTCCCTCTTAACTGCAGAACAGGAAGAAAAATTTTTACCTGAACACATTCAACAAGTATTAGAAAGCCACGATGATACAGAAATTCAGAATCTTATTAACTCAATTAATGCAGAAATTAGCGAGAAGCCACGTGTTGTTCTTATTGTTACTAGAAACAGTATAATTTTTGAGCCATTAGTTGAAGCTTTAGACGCCGGGCTCAACGAAAACACAATAATATCCCTTTTCAGTTTTATCTCACTCCTTTTCATCAACGCAAAAACAACAATCAACGAATTGGTCGATAGTGATCTTTGTGTCCCACTACTTAATTTTCTTTCCTCCGATTCACAAACTCTTGTATCCGCCTCGTTTGAACTCATCGTAACCATTTCAGAAAATTCTAGTTATGGTAGAGATGCAATGCTGAGTTTCGGCATTCACACGATCCTTATGGATTATGCGAAGAACAGTACAGATAATTCCATGATAGAATCATGTTGCCACGCTTTAAATACGATATTTATGAACCAAGATCCAATAGAAGGATCAACTTTGCTTGAGACGGTTGGTCCTTTAACAGAATTGCTAAATATCGAATCTACTCAAGCTCTTCAGTCGATTATTGATACATTCGTTGAAATTACTAACAAATTACCTTCAATTATTACAACATTATACGATTTACAGCTCTATCCTCTTATAGTTAGTTTTTTAGACAACGAAGAACTTGCAGGATCAACGCTCCCCTTGATAGGTAACATGTGCGTTGCTCATCCACCGCAAATTCGAACAATGCTTGAGTTGAATATCTACGATAAACTGATGTCATTCATCAATACCCAGTACACAACGCAAGTATTTTGGATACTCTCCAATATGCTCGAGTCAGCTCCAAGCTTAGTTTTACCTACAATCCCATCAGATTTTATTTCTCAAGTTATAACAGCAATACCAACAGGAATCTACGAAGTAAAGAAAGAGGCAGCATACTTGATTTCAACGCTTATTACGTTTTCGGATTTAAACGACATGCCGAAGTTTATGAACGATGATATTACAGATATACTAGTAGAAATGATCGGATGCGGCGTTGTATTAATTGCTCTTCGTTGCATCGATACTTTCTTACGTTTTATTCAATATATTAATTTACATAACGAATACTCAGAGTATTTGGTCACTCTGAGCGAAACAGATATACGAGACAGATTAGAGGAACTCAGTGGACCGGCAATTTTGCTGGAACATTCTGAATATTTGATGAACCAAATTTTAAGAGTCGAAAATTAGTTATTTTTATTATGTTTTGATATTATTTATGTATTTTAAACTGTTTTATTTAGATAATATAACAAAAAAACTTTATTTCAAATAGATATTCAATAAAATATCCTCTTTTCATGATGCAGTAGTTTAAAATGCAGCTGTATAAAGAATTTGAGAATCTACAAATAGATAGAAAGTATTTATGTTTATTGTAATGGGGAATTGTAAAAAGACTTTAAAATTCAATATGTGTTCAAATATCAAATATTTACTATAAAACGAGAATAGATTTTTTTCCTCTTTTACTTCTTCTTTTTCTTCTTTAATTTCTTCTTCTTTTGTTTTTTATAATTATTTTGTTTTCTTGGCCTTTTGGATATATATATGGGCCTAATAATATTTGGGATAATATACTATCCCATTTAGTTTTTTTAATATAATAAATTTTTTTTGTTTTTGTGCATTTAACAAAATGGAAGCACAAGATCCAATAAATTGTAAAGGCAATGAGTTCAAGTGTTAGGGTAATAATGAACTCATATATGGTTGCCTTGTTTTGATATCACAAGGTGCGTGATATCGATTTTTATAAACTTTTATATAAGTATTGAGCGTCAACGATAAGGTCGTGTGCAAATTCGTCAACTCTCGGGTATAAATTTGAATCCCAAAATCCACAAACTTCGGAAATTTGAGATTTTGTAACGTCAATAGATGCATATGATTCATCTTCGACTATAACATAAAGGGCTGTATGTTCGTCTAAATTAGGAACTTTGTTTTGACTTCCGAAAAGATCATTGAACTGTGAACGAAGCCAAAGTTTAAGACTACTCTCCGAAACTTTGAACTTGATGATGAACTCGAAAATGCTCATCTCAATTTGATGGTGGGTTCCACAAACGCTAGTTGCAGACATCAAATATAATTTTCAGCCGCTAAGAATTTTTTTTTCAAAAAATTTAAAATTTGATAAAGTGCTATAATCATTATCTCAAGATCGAATCATGAATAAAATAAAACAATGAGCGGTCAAAACTTTTGAATGAATTTGAAGCTTCTGTTTTGGTAAATTTCTGTAGTATCGTTTTGTCAAATAAAATCATTTTTTCATCATATGTGCAGTGCTAAGCGCATTATGAAAAGTATCACATGGGACTTTGAAGGTTCTAACGAAACTATATACGAATGCAATAGTAAAGGTAAACTTATTCTAAGCAAGAAAAACCCACGCACACAGAAACAGATGTCATCAGATTTAGCTAAATTCTATAACCCCTCATTGGAATCATTTACTCCTATGAATATTCCTATGCATCCTATTGATTTCCCTGTTCCTTTAATACTCCAAGAACAAAAGCAACAAGAAGTAGAACAACAATATGAACTACAATCATTTGGAGAAATTGCGGATGTTGATCTTTACAAAGACGACTTCATTCTCGATAATTCATTCGAGAATCCTCTTAATGACGAAGAATTATTTTTTGAGACTTTTGATGTTATTTGAGGATTTCATATCCTTTTCCTTTTATTTCTTTTTCATTTTTACTGGGCATTGGCAATCCCATTTTTTAAAAGTGCCTTAAAAAAACTAATTTATAAAAAAACATAAGTTTTTTTTAGTTTTTTAATTATCACACATACTTTTTTTCAAGCTTATTACAAAACTTGAACATGTTATTTTAGATCATGCTATATTCATTCAAAATGAAATATTTAATATGCATGATATATTGTCAATTCCATCATAAAATGAAGGACAACGTTCAATACTTTAGAAAATAAAGTAGTTTCACTATGAATTTCATACAATTTCCCTTAGATATTGATGTATTAACAGTTTTATGACGACGATCACAACTTCACAAGTAATTACGTTCGCCTTGATAAACAGTTTTATGGGTTTAATTTCTATAATAAAACTTATTTTATTATTATTTACCCTATAATTCCTGGGTTGTCAATTTTTTTGGGGCCTATGGAGAAATTTACTTTATCAATAGCGCACCATAGATTCGAATCCAGAGCCTATAATTCTAGAAGTAGATGAAGGTACCCTAGAATAACTACATGGTGTAGTTTTTATTGCTATTTAAGATATCACATAAAATATATTAATCAAATACCCAGATTTTCCTTACTTTTACCACCCCTCTAAAGCTGGGGACACGGCCTATCGTTGGGAGTAGCTATTAAATAGAACCACCAAGGGTATTTTTCGAACTGCCGGTGTAGTGGAAACATCCGACATAATAATTCATTATGCCAAGGTTTGATTCCCATTTAGCCAATTTTTTTCTTTTTTGGATCATGAATTTTTTTTGGGTCACTATAAGATTTGTTTCATGTTCTAAATCTGCTGCATATGTAATCTATTTTTATTTACCTATTTTTTAAAAATCTATTGGATTGCCAAATTTGAATATATTTAAAATCATAAAAATCCAAAAAAACTATAAATATATGTTTTATGCATAGTGTCGATACTCAAATATCAGATTACTTAGATCCATGAATAATATCCGAATTTTTTTTCTTAAAATTAAACTTCAAAACTTCTTGCAATCTTAGTCTTCATCAATTGTAAATTTTTAAAACCATTTTTTAAAATAATTTTGCGTAAATTTTATTCTCATGTTGTTTTAATCGAAAATTGATACATTTTCAAAAAAATAATATTGACTTATGAAATTCATTTTTAAGGTGAAATAGTATTGTTTTTATTAAAGTATATGAATAATATATAAAAAATTAATGAATAATATAAGCAGATTTTTAGTTTACAAAACAAATATGAGCAATGCAATTTCAAACTTTTGCTGGCAATTTCGATATTGCTCAAGTTTGTAGTATTTGTGATACCTATAACATCGGCTTAATCAAAATTCGATTTTTCTTATGAGTTATTGAGAAAAATTTGATTGCAATGAGAAGGATTTCGACGTTTTTGATAAACTAAGAGCTGAGCTTTAGGGTTCAGTTCATTTATGGCTGTAGTTTGATGCGTAGATCTCTTTTTTATTGTAAATTCTTTCAGCATGGAGATCGAGAATGAATCTTTTGAGAACTTTATGAGTTTTTACACCCGTAAAGAGGTCCTTCGAGGAAAGATAGTCCAGACTACATGAAGATGTGGGTTAACCAAAAAAATCCGATGGTTTCCCCATATTCATGTAGATCTTCGAAAAAATGAGCACCAAAAAAGCCAAAAAAATAGGCTTTTTATTGGATTTGTACACTAGATCAATAATCTATTTAGGATCTGACACTCTTTTTAGCCAGAGATATGAGGTCCTTTCTAGGAAAACGATCTATTCATCCATAAAAAAAATGAATTATCGTTTTCCCCAGAAATTACATGGGGAGTGGGAAAAGTAAGGAAAATCTGGGTAATAAAAATTTCAATAAAATTAAATAATTGTTATTTTTATATAGAGTAGATATTATTTCTATATTTAGATCGAAAAAATAAATAATTCTGAAGTACTAGTAATATTCATCCATGATGATTTATTTTTCAATATTATACAATAAGAAATATATTTATAAGTTTTTTTTTGAAAAATGTTTAAAATTGAGAGATCAAAATTTCGATTTGTGAAAAGAAATCATAAATCAAATATGTCCTAATTTTTGTTTTTATTAGGGTATACATGTTTTATACTCGAAGTACGGTATGTTGTTGTTTTTTTATTCAATAATTAAAAACTTGCATACAGGTCGTAAGGTGTTGGAATATCGTACACAGAGGTTACGCACATGTCTAGGGCAACTATTTGTTATGTATGAGTGTATTTTAAAAGATTTGAAATATCATAAGATTGATCCAAAATGGCATTATAATAAATGTTTTTATCCAATGTTAATTATATTTTAAATAAAGTAATGCAAAATTAATGACTTTTGAAAATTGAGAGAGAGAACAAAAAATAGAGTTTTTAAAAAACTAAATGTTGAAATAGTTTGAGATATCAATAAAATTAACAGTGAAAAATATTAATCAGAATAAATACAAAAATTGGGTATCTTATTGAAAAAATATGTGAAAAAGAGTGAAGATCAACCGAAATTTTATATTAATATAAAGGATATAAAAGAAATGTGAACGTAAATAAATATAAATTAAAAGATATAATTAAAATTTTTAATAAAGTTGAATCAAAGACAACAATTGATAGACAATTGTTGTCTTTGTGTACAACATTCACTTGAATTATAAACAATAACAGGTGTTTGTTGTTCACTGAGCAACTTTGATAAGAATCATTTGTGATTCTTGTCAAAGTTGAATCAAAGACAACAATTGATAGACAATGGTTGTCTATATGTTCGATAAACACGTGTTATTTATGAATATACACGTGTTTGTTGTTCACTGAGCAACTTTGATAAGAATCATTTGTGATTCTTGTCAAAGTTGAATCAAAGACAACAATTGATAGACAATTGTTGTCTTTGTGTACAACATTCACTTGAATTATAAACAATAACAAGTGTTTGTTGTTCACTGAGCAACTTTGATAAGAATCATTTGTGATTCTTGTCAAAGTTGAATCAAAGACAACAATTGATAGACAATTGTTGTCTTTGTGTACAACATTCACTTGAATTATAAACAATAACAGGTGTTTGTTGTTCACTGAGCAACTTTGATAAGAATCATTTGTGATTCTTCTCAAAGTTGAATCAAATTTTTATTTATTTCATGTATTTCTCTTTTAATATCGATATTCCTATTATTATTCTACCGTTTATTAATAAAAATATTTCTTGCAAAACCTTAAAAATAAAATTTTGGATTCTTCCTTCTCATATACTGTATCCTTAGTTCTTTATTTTTAAAAATCTTATTTGGCGGTTACTCTCAATTTTCTCAATTTTCTGAGCAATGAATTTACTTTTTTATATCAAATTTTAATGAATATCAAATCTTATAAACAAGATGTTGAAAATATTGATATTGGTGATTGTGTCTCCAAGATACCATTTCCTGTTGACAAAATAGATGCATTTGACGAAAATATCCTTGTTTTTACCCGGATTGTTATTTATTACGACTTTAAAATTTTAGCATTAGAATCCGATGATACATATCTATGTTATTTTCAATGGCAAAACAAATCAACACATAATAAACAAAAGAAAATAGGTACATTATTGTATTCTTTAATGAATAACGAAATTTCACTAGTAGACTTTATAATGCAAGATCAACAGTTCTCTCTTAACCGTTACATATGGTGGTGTCTAGACCAAAGCGTTCCAGAATTCTTCAATCAGATACTTTTCATTGTTTTTACGCATTTCGATCAAGATTTTATCTTTTATAGCGGTCTTTTTTCAAATATTATTGATAATTATAATGATTACAATTCTAGCAAGAAAAATTTTTTCGTTCAGATAATTTGCTATTGTATCTTAAATTTCGAATTTTCACAGAACGATCAACAAATAATGTACCACTTTTTATTGGAGGAAGGACTACTTGAATCATTTAATAATAACAGTCTAAGATTTAAAATTGATTTATTGTTGGCTCTTGAAAAATGCTATTGCATATTCGGAAAGTATGATTTTATGCATGACAAAATTGAATTAATAGATTTATCATATGAGAGCCAATTATTCGAAGAAAATTGCCCAAATTTCTTAGAATACTTGATTGAATTAACAGATGAGGATGGTTCATAGAAGTTTATATGAGGATTTACTTTGAATAAATATAATTTTAATGAATTAAAAATTAATTTTATATATTTGGCTATTGTTATTATTTTTAGAGTATATGAGTTGGGGCAAAGTGAACCAAATTTTTGACATAAAAGAAAGTCTTTGAAGAGAGTTAAGAGAAATTTTTAAAAGATTAAAAAATAGCATATATAAAATTTAAGGATTTGATATGGTAAGGAGATATTATTTGTGACTGTCTCACAGAATGAGACGTTTCTCTACAATCTTCTTATTCCACATTAATTTTCTTCTCAAATCAAGTTTTTATAGTATACTAATTTTTATTATGAATATACTATAGAGGCATTACATACAAACACACCATATTCATCACAAAATTCACCTAATCTTCCAATCTGTATGTTTTATCAATTGTTATCATTTCATATAATAACAATTTTATATTTGACTAATCTAATTTCATATTTTCCTATTAAATACTAATTTACACAAAAATGGTTTTATCAAATCTTTATGAAGTTATTAAATTCCAGATTATATTGCTTACTTTGCAAGCTAACTATAATATAGTGTGATAGCCTTATTGAACTTTGATCAAATACTCCTTCGTCCGTTAAAAATTAAGATGCGTTTAAAAAATCGGAAAAAAAATTCTTTTGTTTTATTTTTAATTTTTCAACCGATAAAACTTTTTAGAAAAACTCCAAATTCCAAGAAATGCTTAGATTCAATATGAAGAACATATTCATACAGTCATTTCGTTTCAAATTTCAATTTTCAAATCGAACAAAGCTGCAAATTTGAATACTTTACAAAATTTTGAAACGTCTTTTCCCGAATGAATATTGAGTTTCAAGCCGGACAAGCTATAGCAAAACTGATCCTTATGACCCACTCTATCATTTTGGTTTTTTTTTGCAAAACGTGGGTAAACGCCCATCTCATAACACATTTTTTGCAAAATTTGGTAAAATCCGTGTAAATGCTCAGATACATGTGGCCAATAATATTTGAATACTGACAGGTCCGGATATTAGGTTTAAATAGCTGATTTAATTCGAAATATGAAAAAAGATGAAATCTCAATGTAATATAGTAAATTAAGAATCAGTATGAATGGTTATATGCTTTTGATAAAAGAAAACTGAATGAAATAGAAAAAAATTTGAATCTCAGAATTTAAAAGTAAATAGAGAAGAAAAAGTGGCTTTAGGGGTTTTATGATAAGGTATTGTCGGGTATTAGAAGTAAATATGTTGAAGAGAGATATTCCGTTAATATGAGACAAAATTAAAACAAGAATTGAAGATTGTGTATGAATGTGTCATTCTGGGAGACTTGCATAGACAATGTCTCCCACAATGACACATAGCACACAATAACAGTGCACTGTTGCACTTTGTTGACAAAAGATACACAATCAGAAGAAGATTGTGTATGAATGTGTCATTCTGGGAGACTTGCATAGACAATGTCTCCCACAATGACACATAGCACACAATAACAGTGCACTGTTGCACTTTGTTGACAAAAGATACACAATCAGAAGAAGATTGTGTATGAATGTGTCATTCTGGGAGACTTGCATAGACAATGTCTCCCACAATGACACATAGCACACAATAACAGTGCACTGTTGCACTTTGTTGACAAAAGATACACAATCAGAAGAAGATTGTGTATGAATGTGTCATTCTGGGAGACTTGCATAGACAATGTCTCCCAAAATGACACATAGCACACAATAACAGTGCACTGTTGCACTTTGTTGACAAAAGATACACAATCAGAAGAAGATTGTGTATGAATGTGTCATTCTGGGAGACTTGCATAGACAATGTCTCCCAAAATGACACATATAGATAAATAAAAGCGTAATATGCTATTTTGTGTTTCAAAGTATTACAAAATGATTCTTCTAAAAGTTGCTCAGTGAACAACAAACACGTGTATATTCATAAATAACACGTGTTTATCGAACATATAGACAACCATTGTCTATCAATTGTTGTCTTTGATTCAACTTTGACAAGAATCACAAATGATTCTTATCAAAGTTGCTCAGTGAACAACAAACACTTGTTATTGTTTATAATTCAAGTGAATGTTGTACACAAAGACAACAATTGTCTATCAATTGTTGTCTTTGATTCAACTTTGACAAGAATCACAAATGATTCTTATCAAAGTTGCTCAGTGAACAACAAACACCTGTTATTGTTTATAATTCAAGTGAATGTTGTACACAAAGACAACAATTGTCTATCAATTGTTGTCTTTGATTCAACTTTGACAAGAATCACAAATGATTCTTATCAAAGTTGCTCAGTGAACAACACCCATTAATTCTTTTTGATATTACACATTATGCTAACCAACCACACCAGTCATTTTATTTATATAGCTTTTATCCATAACATTTTTAAAGGATTTCAAATAATTTACTTTTTCAAATATTTACTAGTTAATATCTCAATCAATTTATCCTCTTATTTATATTTTTAAAAATTTTCATCTCCATCACCATTCAATTTGGAATCTCATTTTTAAAATATCTTAATATAATCAGAATTTTATTAGTAGGTTAAAATATTTGCGAATATTAATTATTTGGATCAAAGCTTTCATACGATTACATTAATTTTTTTAATCAAAATTCTATTTCATTACTACTCAATTTTAAATCATAGCAGCATTAATAGCTCATCTACTTATATTCCATCATAATGTTATTTTATTCAATTTTTATATATCTGATTTTCATATTTTTTCAAATTCTGTCGCAAAATCTTTAAAATTGTTATATTTCCTTACAACACGGTTAATATAGTATTCTCCTTAACTTGTTTAAATGCAATTTTGCAATATTTGGAAATGATCAAAATATCCTAATGTAAACGTTTGCTCTTATAATTCAGTGTCATAGTCGATTGTTTCTAACAAATTAATCTTTTTTGCATTGATTTTCGAAGTATTGCATTTTCATTACGGCCAAATCTGCTCTCTTTCATTAGATTGATAGCTCACAATAGTTCTTGTAATCAGAGAGGAAATATCTTACGAAATATACCTCTAAATTTTCACTTTATAGATAAATGTTATATTTTTCCGTTACTCGATTATTGTCCAATAAAACCACAATCATATTAAACTTCGTCCAAAATAAACAATAAAGAATAGTTTTTAAGTTTCTTAAACGGTTTATGAAGGTTCATATTTAATCGATTTTTTTATTTTCAATTCATGTATCTATAGTTCGTTAGTCTATCATCCCTTCATAAATTATCTGCAAAGAATTTTGTAGAATCTCAACTCTGTGAGGAACTACAATAAATTGAAAAGTCATTTTGTGATATCAAAATCCAATATATTATTCTTTCTAATACATATTAATAATATCTTGAGATGTAGTACACTATATATATACTTTCAAAACTCTTATATGTTTATTAGTTATTGAGATAGAAGCGATTTAATTCGTTGAAAATCGACGAAAAGTGCCATATTCATAAAATTATAGGGTATATATATATACATATTTATTTAAACAAGGTTTACATAGCAGATGTAGAGCTTTGGCGTGTAATTTCGAAATTGAACACTCCAACTTTGTCTCTTGAAATGTAAGAAACGTTAGAATTTGAGATTTTAGAAGTTCTTGACTTTGATGAGACTTTACTTTGTGTTGATATTTTACTATGTACTGATATTTTACTATGTACTGATATTTTACTATGTACTGATATTTTACTATGTACTGATGTATCATCTTTCTCTATCTTTAGGGCAGTAGATTTTTGTTTAGAAGTCTTCTTTGATATTTTACCATCGCGAATATATCTCACGTTTAATGCTCTGTTCATTGATTCTTCGTTATAGAATTGAGCGACTGCACATCCTCTCAAGAGTTTGACTCTGAAAACTTGACCGAATAATGCTAATTCCTCGTATAAATCTCTTTCTGATGTAAAATTACCACCTGAGATGAAAATAGAAAACAATTCTTCATTTTGGATGTTGATAACATCATAACCGCAAATGTTTGCATAAAGAACTTGACCATCAACTTTCGTGTAATTGATACCGTATATTAAGTTAAATGCACCAATATATGATAAAACTGATACATTTGCACATTTCCTTCTTCCGTCTGATGATGCGAAAACTTCAACTTTTGATATTTCTCCTGTAAATTTCTTGCAATACATGTGAACAGATTCTCTTGTTGCAGTAGGATGGATTCCTGTAATATATACAACTACTTCTTGTTGCATTATATAAAAATGATTTTTTATGTCAAAAATCGTGTAAAATTTTTGGAAACTAAATTTTTTTTGGAAAATTTAGAATCAATCCTAGTCAAAAAAATTATATGAAATTTTTATATTGAAGATAGAATTCTACACTTAAAATTATTTATAATTTGAGAAAAATTTGAAGATGTCAAAAATTGATGATTTGGAGGGAAAAAATTGAGATGATAAAGGAAATCAAGAAAATCATACATATACATTTTAAACTTAATAAAGAAATAACAATAGTTCTAATTTCACGTGGAGTAGATATCAACGGAAAAGATAAAATTGGAAATATTGCTCTTCATTATGCATCGGTTTGTAATAGTAAAGAAAGGGATGAACTTCTTACTTCGTAAGGCTCAAATATCAATGAAAAAGATATACATGAAAAAACAGTTCTTCATCTCGCAGCATTGAATAATAGAAAAGAAATAGCTAAACTTCTTATTTTCCATGGCCCAAATGTCAACGAAATATATAAATATGGAAAGACCGCACTTCATTATGCAACAAGTAATAAAAGTAAATAAACAGTTGAACTTCTTATTACGCAAGCTGCAAAAATCAACGAAAAAGATATATATGAAAAGCAGTTCTTCATTATGTAGCATTGCAAAAATAGAAAAGAAATAGTTGAGCTCCTTATTCCTTATGGTGCAAACATCAACTAAAAAGATAAAAATGCAACAATTGCTCTTGATATGGCAGCTGATAATAATAATAGAGTAACACCTGAACTTCTTATTTCACAATACGCATAATTTAATGTTCCTGTATCAGATGCTTCTCTTTCTTTTATGATATTTCGAAAAATATATAAATGAAATAACCTCTCTTCATGATGTATTAAACATGAGATATATTCGCGATGGTAAAATATCAAAGAAGACTTCTAAACAAAAATCTATTCCTCAAAAGATAGAGAAAGATGATATCTCAGTACATAGTAAAATATCAACATAAAGTAAACAAACAAAATTTAATACAGGTGTTCTAATCGGGTATCTTGCGTCAAATTATCATCTTGAGTAGTATTCGTATCAGTCGTATTAACAAATTGTTGGGGTGAGTCTAAATGATCAAACATCCAAGCTGTTTTCGTAAAATATTGATATTTAGGTTGTATACGTGGAAGATTTGATTGCTGGATAGCTCTGATCAGGTCATATGATTTCACAGAAACTCCAAATTTAGTTTCGAAATAATTATTAGTAGCTCTATTTCCAGTAGTATGAGTAGGACAATGATCCTTTTGCTTTTCAAATACCCAACACGAATCAACAAGATCTCCAACAATAATCAAATCTAAATTTGCTTGTTGGCAGTACAACATAACAGCCATTAAGCACATATTCGTATGTTGGCCAAGAAAGATGACTGTCTTCTTATTAAGCCCAACAAATGACTCTGCTGCTTCTTCGAAATTCTGAACAAAATAATCGTCGCGTGCAAGTGCAATTTTATATGTATATCTGTTATCTCTAGTTTCACCGAACCGTTGTAAATCTTTATAAACACAGATATCTTTAAATCCAGGAATATATACGTGATGAAATCGGTATTGATCAGCTTCATAATCAGCGATCTCAGTAATCATACCATTACGCACTGCCTGAAAGCCTCTTTTTCTTTGTCGAGACCCTCCATATAATCTATCTGCAAAAGATGAAATTGTAACAACTGTAATGCCTATATTTCTTAGTCTTTGTAACATTTCATTAATTCTAGGAGTGAAAAAGAATTCTCTGTCATTATAATATGTGCACCAATGTGATCTCCACATATCTACGTATGCTACTGTATTAGATATATTGATATTCTTGTAAAATGTAAAGGTTCCTGATTCATTTCTTTTTTGAACTGGAATTCGTAAGATTTCGCTTTTTATATCATAACTTATTTGGATTTGATCCTTTTTTCCTGAACCAGAAAAGATATTTGTGACTTTTGATTTGAAATCTTTGAAGGAGAAGCAAATTAATGACAAAAGAAAAAGCATCATATTTGAGGATTAGCTCAATCGCTAAAAATAAAACAATTGGCTGAAACATTTCTATAGAATATGCATATATACAATCTATTTATCATATTAACATTTGATGTTCCTTGATTTGAGGAAATACGTTAAAATTTTTTTGCAGAGATTTATAATGGAAGATATCCCTCCACGTAAGCCACATCGCCTTGAAAGAGGTGATCATATGATTACTACTGAGAGAGTAGCAACATATGACAAAATGGCTAGAAATTTACATCATCCTTCTTATAGAAATGATTTCACAAAACATTATGACGATCTTTTTCGATTAAATCTTAAATTTCACGATTTAAACTATCCAGCACCACCCCCAGAAATTCGTACAAGGAAATATAAGACAATCGACCCAATGACTGGTACAATGTCTACAACATTACTTAGTTCCCGTGTTACAAACAGCGAAACTCGCAAAAAGAGTAAATACATGAGTACCAAACGCTTAGGATCTCCAAAGAAGCAAATAACTTCTTTCCGCGAAAAATTTATTGAAGATTTAAAGCGTGACGAGGGCAAACCATTTGCAGATCAAGAAAGAATTATAGCCGAACTAGTAAGATCTCTTCTAAAAGAGGGAGTTGAGATGGAAACCATTCAAAATGCTTTTGAAGATGTTCGTATAGACTTTATTGTCCATCAAGACACATCAGAACTAGAAATAGTTTTGAACTTCTGAGTCAATATATGCATTTGTCGCCATTATTTTATTATTGTTTTAATAAATCTATGTGTTTGAATGATTTTCCCCTATGCATTTGAAATATAATATATATTCTTTCCAATTCTATCCTTTCAGCATAAGTTGATGTGAAAATTAAAAATATTCAAAGTTCTGAATGCCTTCTTTTCATTGACACTCTTACCTTACATTTTTAAAGTTAAAAATCATTTCTTTTTAATAATAAATGGAGATTTGCAAATTGGTCAAATTTTGTTATAATCGAAACCAAAGACAACGAAAACCAAAGTGCAAAAGTGATTTTCAGGAGATATTTAACAGAATTTTTGTTCGATTTTGAAAAATAAAATACGATTATTTGATTATTTCATTACACGATAAAAAAGAACATCTACATTTTATTTACAACATTATATTTTTTCGATTTCACCTCAGGTCGTCGACTCATCTTCGAACCTATTAAACCCGCAATATTTGAGCTTGAAGCCAACGGTTTTGGCTTAGCAATCTTAGGCTTAACTGGCATTCCAGAAGCTCTCTGTTTCATCTTGAGCACTGCCTGAGCTTTACCTTCAGGAAGTGAGAGAACTCGCGATGCTTCTTGGAAAGAATACTGGCGTGCCGTTCTTGGGGATATATCGTTAGCTGTAGTAATATCATCGTCATCTTCATCATTATCAACTCCGAAAAATTTATCAACTTTTTTGATTGAAACTAATTTCGGTTGCTCTCCTAAATCTACTCGAACCGCACCATGTGCGTTCTTCACCATCCATGGATGCTTCAATGCTTCGTCTATTGTCATTCTCTTGCTTGTAGATACTGTCATTAATCTGCTAATAAAATCTCTGCATTCGTCTGATAACATATTCGGTATAGTATATTCGCCTCTCTTTATCTGTTCGAATAATTGTTGCTGGTTTCTTTTTGTCCATGGTAGTTGTCCTGTCAATGCTGCATAAAGAATAACTCCGCAGCTCCAGACATCGCTGGAACAGCCCTCATAAGCAGATCCCGATAAGCATTCGGGAGATGCATAGCACGGGCTGCCACATGGAGTATTTACAAGTCCATTTGTATCGACGTATCTTGAAAGGCCAAAATCGCTAATTTTAAGATTGTTGTTGGCGTCTAGCAACAGGTTTTCTGGCTTGAGATCGCGATGCGCTATTCCGAGCGAATGAACGTATTTCAGTGCTTCGAGTATTTGTTGCATATAAAAAGCGCCAACATCTTCTGTAAGACGCCCATTATCAACTATAAATTGAAATAGGTCTCCGTTGGGGCAGAATTCCATTACAACGTAGTAATTATTTTTATCTTTTAATAAATCGACAATTTGAACAATGCCTGGATGATGTAATTGTTGATCGATTCTTATTTCTACTTCAAAGCGTTCTTCTAAACTCGAAGCTAGAAGTCTATCTCTTGGTACAACCTTACATGCGTAATATTGTTTTGTTTTTTGATTCAAAACGAGTTTTACAATTGAAAATGCACCTTCTCCAACCGATCCTTTAAATATATAATTGCCAAGCGTTTGAGGTGTAACGATTTGCTGAGACTCACCCATCTCGACCTCAAACTGCCTTTTTAACAAATTTACAAACTCGTTTTTTCTTCGTAAGAATTCTTGTATTATTTAATGCATATACTGAGATATAAATTTTCTTTTCCTATGAAGTTCTTTTCTGCGAAAACCGCCAAATCCTATTCAATGAAAGGAAATTTACAAAATAATGATTTCAAGTTTACAAAAAATAACAAATTCAAAACTCAAAAAAGGATTACTTTTCATAATGAATCCATGAGTAGAGTATTAAACGATTATGCACAAAATCAAATGTAACCAATTACTGACCATGGGATAATTTTGAGGGATAAGGCGCTGATCTTTGGGCGCAAGAGTTTTTGCTAAATTAGGGGATAAAATTATATTATCATCAGGAAAAATGGAAACTCGCTTAGTTTTATTCCACGTTAATTGAGTCATTTCAGTTTTCTATTGAGTTTAAGATAAGGTTTTCAATTTCACGCCGTAAAACTAAAAGACAAAAATATTTTGACAAAGAATTGTTTCTATGCATTGATTTCGCTTTCAAATTATTATTGTTTTTGATTTTTTGAATGTTAATGCTTTTGATTTGAGTGCAAATCAGTACTTTTTCAAACAAGATTCCATATTATGAAGAAATTGATTCAAAAGAACACATAAATTTCCCAAATTCATTGCATTTAATTGATTTTGACTTATTATGCATTGAGAAACCTCCTTGCTAATTAGTGGCTTCTAGAAGAGTTGCCATTATTCACATCTCAAACATTAATGTTTCATTGCTTGTTTTGGCGAATTGTTCCGACTAAATCAAGAATTTTTCATTTTTTCAAGTAAAAATACATTAATTTAACAAAATACACGATTTATTTAGTAGTAGGATATCAACTCAAATATCGATTCAATTTTGACACTTTCTACCCAAAATTTGAATACATTCAATCAACATCTAATTTACCATTAATTATATCATATTATCTACATCTTTTAAATTATGGTTGAGAAAAAATTTTTCATTCTTAACGGTTCTTGTTAGTAAGGACCGATGGCGCCTAATTCTAAGGGAAAAACACAGAAACCAGGCACCAAAGGGTCTGCAACCACGAAAAGTAACGCTTCAAATAATAAAACAGCGAAAAAGAAAGTCGAATCGAGCTATTCAGAATCTTATTCATCTCAATACGGTCCAAGTGATCATGGAAACTCAGATTATTATGATTACTACTCAGAATCGAATGCATCTTCAGCGAAAAACACAAAATCGAAGCCAAAAACTAATTCTGCATCTAGCTCTGAAAGCTATTATGGCACGTATTCTGACTTATCAAGCACTTATGATTATAGTGATGATGACAATACATCAAAGAAACAAACTTCAAAATCAAATTCGAAGAAAAACAATTCAAAACAGACGGATACTGATAAAATCGCAGAAATATACAAAAAATTCAAGATAAAACGCTCAATAGGCAAAAATGAAACGGTTAATGAAGAGGTTTCCTACAAAGAAGAAAAAGATAAAAAAGGAAAGAAGAAATTAGTCAAAAATGTTACAATCTATATCAATATTCCTAAAGAACCACCACATGGATCGAAATCTTCTATGGAAATCGGAAATAATATTTCATCTGGAACATTATCTTCGCCAATGAATGGATATAAAACGGGTTCTCCGGTTGAAATACGTCAAACTGTCACTTTAAGATATCTTGGAATCAAGAATTCTTCAGATTATTACAGTTCTTCAACGATCAACAAAAAACGAGCGAAATCAATCGAAGTTTACAATAAGAACAACGATTCTAAAGTACCTACAAAGAAAGCAACAAAAGGAAAGAATCAAAGTTCAAAACGATCTTCTAAAAATCGTTCAAAATCTGTCGAACCAAAATCGAACAGAAGGGATGAGAACTCATCATTATACGCGGATTACTTCGGAAATTCAGATTCTTTCTTCGATACTGACACTGCAACAATGATTGACGAAAATGAAATTGATTATTCAAGAATAAAGTCAAGCAAAGCAAGTTCAAGTCAAAATAAAGGAAGTTCTAAGTCAGGAAAGGTCAGGAAGTCGTTTATTGAGTCTTCAACTGATTATCCTTCTTCATATTCCAAAAATAACTCAGGAAAATACAAAAAAGACGCTTCTTCATCAGATTTATTCTACAATGATATTAGTGATAGTGACATTCCTTCATCAACAATTGCAATTCCGAAATCACCTTATTCATTCCGAAGTTCTGACATGCAATACGAAAGCCCTCATCCAAGCAAATCAAGAATTTCTGATCAGGAAATACTAAATCGCTTCATTCAGGGCGGAAGAGTCAATGAAAATGGACAAATTGTAATAAAAGTCAACAAAGTTGATGAAAAAGGCAATAAAACAACTACAGAAGAGGTTCTTCCTAAAACAATGATTACAGGGCATGATTATGTCGCTTCAAATTCTTATATTTACCATGATTCCGAAGGTAGACCATATCTTCGAGTTATAAAGCAAAAATTTGAAAATAATTCAATCGAAAATTACGAATCTAGGCTTTACATAAGCGATCCTGAAGCTCAAATCCCATTTGACGAAAAAATACCAAACTCAAAAATTTCAAAGAACGGAGTAATCGTAAATACTCTCAAAACAAAGCAATCCAAGCGCACAGGAGAAGTCATTGAATACAAAACAGAGGTAGAAATCGAAAAACCAATTCTCAGATGCAAAGATTTCGTTTTCATCTCTCCTATGATCGAATACGATGTTCGTACAAAGAGAAAATACGTAAATGTCATCAGACAACGTAAAAATCCTGTTACAAGAAAAGTTGAAAATATTGAATGCCGCGAAGACATTCCAAACATACCAACCATGATAGAATCCAATCTCAACATTCAAAATGAACACGTTTGGATCGTTGGTGGTCATATCTTCCGCATTATTGTAAAATACATTCCATTTAACGGCGTAATCATCAATACGGAGTGTCTTCAAGAGGTTTCGTCGAAGAAATCCTCAAGTAACGGTGTTTCATCCGGCGGAAGCAAGAAATTAAAGGTAATCAGAACCAAATTTAACCAAAAAACAGGAACAACAGAACAAATCATTGATGAAGTCGAAGTAACTGATGAAACAGTTGGTAATCAGTTGTTTATTGCTCCAGATCCAACAGTTTATCGTCGGCAAAACGGAAAAGCCTATTTTAAGTGCTACAAACGTCGCATGGACAGTTATTCACAGATGGTTGGCAACTACGAGTGCGAAGAAGAGATTCCAGAATCAGAACTCGTAGGATGTCCTTCATTCCAAGACCTTCCGAAGAATTCGCAAGGAATTCCTTATGTTTTTATCACAAATTCAAACAAAAAAGAAGAAAAATTATCTTTGAGTTACGAAAGCATCCCAGGAATAGACTTTTTAGTACCAAACCAATGCGTTTACAGGGACAGGAACGGCAAAACATTTATAGAAGTTATCAGAACGAAGAGGAACGTCAAAGAGAAGAAATTCGAAAATTACCAAAGAACAGAAAAAGTCAGAGACACAGGAAAAGGAGATTTCGGACGCAAAGTGATCAGACAAAGGAAGAATGTCATTGGATCAACAGAAGAATACTTGGAAGATGATGACAACCAGTTATCAAACAAACCAAAATTGTTCACAAGATGTTTGAGAAAAAGATGGAATCCATTCCAAGGAAAATACGAAATGTACGAATGTCCTTTCGAAGTGAATTCTACTATATCCGATAAAAAAGGTAGATATATACTTTACATCATAAGAAGTGACAAAAACGGTCATGAATTCTTTGAAACTTTCAAAGAATTGACAACCGAAAATTCCTCTCAATTCAAAAATTTGGAATTAAAATTCATCAGAAAACAAATCACTGTTATTCGTGTTAGGAAATCGAATAATGGTTTTGTTGAGTGCTATAATGAAAGAGAAGATGTTTATTTGCCACAATTCACGACAGATAAAATCGAAGAAAGATTAATTCCGAAAGAAATTTTTGTAACAAAATTGGGAGTGAACGACAAAACAGGAAAAATCGAAGAATTCAGTGACAGAATGATCATTTACGAGCCATACAATGTTAATCCAATTATCCAGAAGCCATATAATGGATTCCTTACTCCAAAAGATTCAAACAGATTGTTTAATTTGTCTCCACAAGACATTCCTCTGAAAATGAACAATCTGAAGGTTTGTGATGATTTCTTTATGTCCGATGTTCCTATTCGACCTCTTTCTCCTGGTAGATACATCACGAAAGATGTTCCTGATACAGATATCTATATGAAAGAGAGAAGAAAGACTTCTGCCGAAAGAAAACAAAGAAGAGAATCAAGTTCATCAAGAAAACCATCTGTAGAAAGGAAACAAAGAAGAAATTCTTTCGAAATGGAATCGAGTTCATCAAGAAGACCTTCACAAGAAAGAAAATCAAGAAGATTGTCAACAGAAAATGATTCAAGTTCATCAAATTTGGTGAGAAAACATTCTTCGAAGAAGAAGAATGAAATGAAATCAAGTTCATCAAGAAAACCATCTGTAGAAAGAAAACAAAGAAGAGATTCTTTCGAAATGGAATCAAGTTCATCAAATTTAATTCGAAAACCATCACAAGAAAGAAAATCAAGAAGATTGTCAACAGAAAAAGATGAAAGAAAATCAAGAAGATTATCAACAGAAAACGACTTTTCTTCTTCATCAAGGAGACCATCAGCAGAAAGAAAACATAGAAGACAATCAGAAGAAAATGATTTGTCTTCATCAGATGTAAGAAAACCTTCTGCTGAAAAGAAAACAAGTAAGAAATCAAGTCGAAAACCATCCGTTGAACAAAAATCTTCTCATCACCACCACCATAAGGATTCTGAAGAACATCATCATAAAAGTGAAAAATCAGAAAGGAAACAAAGCGTGGAAAAGAAAAGAGAAAAAAGTGTCGAAACTAAGTCAAAAAGTGACAGAAAACCAAGTGTTGAAAAACGTAAACCAAGCGTTGAAAAAAGTGACAAAAAATCTAGTGAAGCCAAAAGCAGAAAGCCAAGTTCAGAGACTAAGAAATCTGTTGCCAAAAAGTCTTCTGCAAAGAAATCTGCTTCAAAACCAAAATCGACAAATCCATCAGTCGAAAAACCGTCAAAACCGAAAACCACCAAGAAATCATCGAAGAAATCAACAGGCAAAAAAGTTGCAAACTCTGCTCCTCCATCTGTTGCGGAGCCTCCTAAAGGCAAATCCAAGAAATCGAAGAAGACAAGTAAAGTCAATTCCAGTGAGTCAACTCCATCAATTCTTTTGCAGCCATCAACAACAACAATGGACATAGAAGATGCTCCAATTGCAAAGAATGATACTCCTGATTCTTTCTTCGATCCAATGAGTTTGCTCGCAAAACAGAGCTCAGAAAACGATGAACCAAAACCAGAAACAACAGACGAATTCGGCGGAATTGGAGGCGGAGATCCTCTTGCAATGTTAAATGCTCTTGATAAAATGGAGACATTTAACAATTCAGAAGAAAAGGTGCTTACTTACGATGGACCAAGCAACGAAAGCAATGATTTCCCTCCAATTTCACATGACGAAAACGGATTCCCTCCAATGCCTTCAACTGATAACAATGATTCTGGATTCCCTCCAATGTCTTCAACTGATAACAATGATTCTGGATTCCCTCCAATGTCTTCAACTGATAACAATGATTCAGGATTCCCTCCGATGCCTATTAATGATAACAATGATTCAGGATTCCCTCCAATGCCTACAGGTGATGGTTTGGGCGGTTTGCCACAAAACGATACATTTAATCCAATTGGAAATGATCCGATTGGAGGTTTGCAACAGAATGATACATTCAATCCATTAGGAGGATTGCAAACAACTGACCCATTGAATCCAGATCCACTTGGTGGATTCCCATCTCACGACCAACTTGGATTTAATCCATCAGATTCATTGAACCAAATGAATGGATTCCAACCAATGGATAACAACCAATTCGGTAACTTACCAACAAATGATCCATTAAATGGTTTAGGAAATCTTCCTAATAATGATCCATTAAATGGACTTGGAAATCTACCTAATACTGATCCATTAAATGGATTAGGAAACTTACCTACAAATGATCCATTAAATGGATTAGGAAATCTTCTTAATAATGATCCATTAAATGGACTTGGAAATCTTCCTAATAATGATAATTTGAATGGATTAGGAAATGATCCATTGAGTGGATTAGGAAATCTTCCAAATAACAACCAACTTGGTGCATTGCCAGGTAATGATCCTCTTGGTGGTTTGGGCGGTTTGCCACCGACAAATGATCCGCTTGGAGGATTACCAAATACAGATGCATTGAATGGTTTGGGAGGATTACCAAATACAGATGCATTGAATGGTTTGGGAGGATTACCAAATACAGATCCGCTGAGTGGGTTAGGAACTCTTCCAAACAACAACGATGCTCTTGGAGGATTCCCTCCACCAGGTAATGATCCTTTGGGTGGTTTGGGAGGTTTGCCACCAGCAGATTCACTTGCAAACTTCCCTCCACTTGGAAATGATCCCCTAAGAGCATTACCAGGTATTCCTAATCCAAGTGACCCGTTACAATGTGGATTGAGCGGTTTGGGCGGTTTGCCAGATCCACTACAGAGCGGAATTTCTCCGATGGACGGATTCCCAAAATCTGAAGGCAGTGGTGTTGGGCAACTTAAGCCAGATCTGAGCTCATCTTCCATTTCCACCACTGCCAAAGACAGCCAAATGGAAATGAGCTCAAACTCAAAGAAATCTGACTCAGGAAATCCACCTCTTCAACTGCCAAATCAGCCTCCTCTTCCTAACTCTGATTCCCACTTATCTAACTCTGGAATTCCTCCTCTTCCAAATCAAGGGGATTTGAACGGATTTCCTCCATTAGATAACCCTCCAAATCTTGGTCAAATTCCTCCAATTGACCAAAACAATTTGAATCATCAGCCAATTGATAATTCTTTGAACTTGCCTCCAATGGACAATTCCCAAATTCCTCCATTGGATAATTCTAATTTAGGACAAATTCCTCCATTGGATAATTCTAATTTAGGACAAATTCCTCCATTGGATAATTCGTCACCAATTCCTCCAATTGACCAAAGCAATTTGGGTCTTCCACATATAGACAATCTCCAGCCAATTGATAATTCTTTGAACTTACCTCCAATGGACAATTCCCAAATTCCTCCTTTAGAAAACAAAGAAGAACCAAAGAAGTCGTCAAATTCAGGATTCCCTCTTATTTCTCCATCACCATTGGCACAAGGATTTGATTCATCTCCACTTCTCAAAGCAGAAGCTCCATTCCAGCCATTGATGGGTGCAGCTCTTCCTTCTTTAGAAGCCATACAAGCAGAACCAGAGCCATCCAATGACATCAAAGTGGAACAGACAGGAAATGTTGGATCATACAAAAACGATTCTTTATTTGCAAGTTCTGTAACAAACGAAATTCCTGATCCATCAGCATTTCCTTCTCTTCCTAATTTCGACTCTCCTCTCGCACCACAAGAGCCGCAGTTCATGGACATCCCGACAGCAGACGAAGAAGTCTCTCCTCTCACGAGAAGCAACATTGGAAATCTCCCTCATTTTGATACTTCAACACTTGATTCCAGCCATTTAGGAAACCTTTCTGACCCTCGAATTGAAGAAATTGATTTGTCAAATTTAAACAATTTCGACAACCTTCCAATTCCTTCTTCAATGGACAACTTGCAGCCAATTGACGGAACTCTCCCTCCAATGGACAACTCTCTTAATTTACCTCCAATGGACGGAAATCTTCCACAAATTGATCATTTGCAACCAATGGATAACTCCCAAATTCCTTCTCTGGACCAACCAAATCTTCCTCCAATGGATAATTCAATGAATTTACCTCCAATGGATAATTCAATGAATCTTCCTCCAATGGATAATTCAATGAATTTACCTCCAATGGATAATTCAATGAATTTACCTCCAATGGATAATTCAATGAATCTTCCTCCAATGGATAATTCAATGAATCTCCCTCCAATGGATAATTCAATGAATCTCCCTCCAATGGATAATTCAATGAATCTCCCTCCAATGGATAATTCAATGAATCTCCCTCCAATGGATAATTCAATGAATCTCCCTCCAATGGATAATTCAATGAATCTCCCTCCAATGGATAATTCAATGAATCTCCCTCCAATGGATAATTCAATGAATCTCCCTCCAATGGATAATTCAATGAATCTCCCTCCAATGGATAATTCAATGAATCTCCCTCCAATGGATAATTCAATGAATCTCCCTCCAATGGATAATTCAATGAATCTTCCGCCAATGGATGGAAATCTTCCTTCTTTGGACCAACCAAATCTTCCTCCAATGGACAATTCCCAGTTTGGTCAGATTCCATCTTTGGATCAATCAACTTTGCCTCCAATGGATAACTCATTAAATCTTCCTCCAATGGACAATTCACAAATTCCTTCCTTGGATCAACCAAATCTTCCGTCAATGGATAACTCGTTAAACCTTCCACAGATTGATGGAAATCTTCCTCCGATGGATAATTCACTCAATCTTCCACCAATAGGAAACCAAGACTTCGGACAGCTTCCTCCAATGGATCAACCAAATCTTCCCCCAATGGACAATTCTCTTAATTTACCTCTAATGGACCAACCAAATCTTCCTCCAATGGATCAATCAGCTCCACAAAATGAACTTAAATTGCCAGATTTGGGTGGAATTCCTCCTTTACCAGGTGATAAAAAGAAGAGCAATGGAAATATTCCACAACTTTCTCTTCCAAACCTCATTTTACCACCATCATCTTCAGACAAATCAGGAAGTGGAATACCTCCTTTGTCAATTCCTCCTCTTGATGCAAATAAAACGTCAAACAGTGGTTTACCACAATTGAATCTTCCTCCAATGGATTTATCGAAACCAAAAAATTCTTCACAAATTGTTCCACCACCTTTGAACCTTCCAGATCCATCAAAACCACCAGCTAACCCTGGTGCACCTCCACCATTAAATCTCCCAGGAATCGGAGGCATTCCTCCTCCAAACAATTCTCCTTCAGTTTCCCCACCTTTGAACCTTCCAGGAATAGGCGGATTGCCAACTTTTGGAGCAGAAGGAGGTGCTCCACCACCTTTGGGAATGCCAGGAATCGGGGGATTGCCAACTCCTGGAGCTGGAGGTGGAGGTTTGTTTACTGTAAATGCTGCGGATTTGGCAGCTTTGACAAGTGGAGGTAAAAAGAAACTGAAAAAGAAGAAGAAAGTTACAAAGAAAGATGATGAATTGCCTCCAATCGAGTTCTAATAATAATATATATTATCATGCGTTATATTTTTTTATAATTATTTTTATATATGTTAAAATTTATTTGTTTTATTAATTTTAGGAGCTTTCTGGAAAATTAGATAATGCATACCCTACCCATTTCTATTTTTATTGTAATCTTAGAAATTTTCCAAAAAAAATTTAAAAATTTCATTCCCGATAAGCATCATATAGCAGGGCATATCAAAACAGATTTTAATATATAAGACATTTATAATAAAGAAGAAGATTTCATTGAATAAACTTAAATTGCTCTTAAAGCAAAACAAAGTCTTAAAGCATACTGTATAATGGATGTAAATAAATGAATTGTTTGGTATAAACATCATAAAAATTAAGAAATAGGTGTAAAAAGTAAGGAATCATGAAAATCATCGAAAATTCGGTGTGAAACGTCATGTAGATTTAAAATATTTCGAAATAAGATAGCTTTTAAGATTTTGTGAAAAATTTATCGCCAGTGCTGAAAATTGAATGCAATTGTTCGTCAAAATTAATATTGTATTAGAAACTTATATAGTAATAAAAATAACATAAAATAATTTTGACCGAATTTCTATAGAAAAATTATATTTCTTGTATTCATTATATCATTATTAAATACAACTGTTTTCATTTAACCCGTAAAACCTAACAATTCAAAAAATATCTTCAGAAAAATTGGGTTATCCATTCAATTTAATTTTGTATTGTTAAGCTACCTGATAAATTAATAAAAGAGAATTGCAAATAATTTATCTATTTGATGCCTAATAAAATAAAAATTGCGATCAAAATATTGAATTAACCGAAATTCAATACAAATGTTTTTTTGAATTGAATGAAAATATTGAATCGATATCAAAATATTTTAACTTTTTATAATCTTTTTGGTTCCTAAATGATTATTTTATTTGAATCTTTGTAAATCTTCAAACGGTCTTTTTCAAATCCAAAATCAATGTGCAATATACTAAATTCTTGATTCATTATCAATGCTATCATATTCTCTAAATATATTAACCAATTTTTCAATAAAAAATTTTTTTATAAAAAAATTTCCTTGATTCTCGCTCAGCTAGACGACGTGGTTGTCAGCCAGGAGAATCTAAAATGTCTCCTGGATGGCCAAATGATTGATGATACAATTGTGCACTTCTTATGCGCACTTGAGACAAAAAGATTTGAAAAACAACTCACACTATATAAATTTGTTTCACCGGCTTTGACCCAACTTCTACAGAGATCTTCAACTGAAAACTGCAAAGAAATCATTAAATCAGCTTCACTAGAAAAATATGATATTTTATTTTTCCCTCTATCTAATTTAAAAGGAGATTTAATGGGTCATTGTTGATATGGTGCAGAACAATGAAGAATAAATTTCTTCACTTTGATTCACTCAAAAATATGAATTTGGTCCCAGCCAAAAAGTTTTCAGACAAGATAGCAGAAGCCTTCAATATTAAGAATTATAAGTTCAAGAATATGAAGTCTCCTCTTCAAAACAATGATAAAGATTGTGGAGTTTATCTCATGGCAATTATGGATGAAATTGCCTCAACCAGAAAAATTTCAGATAACCTGAGAAATAAAATTACTCCTGATTACATTAAGAAGTTTAGAATTGCTTTAATGACTTGTATTACTCAAAGCAAAGCAAATTACAATTGGGAAACATATTATAAGATGCTAGTTGAGTAGATGTAATTTATTATTTATTTAATTGTTGTTTATATTGTTTATATTAAAAATATTATTTGTTTGTATTATAATAAAATCAATGCCAATATTTATGCTATTTATAGTAATGATAATTGATGATAATTACAATTATTGTTATTCAAATTTCAAAATAAAATTCAGGATATTATTATTAATTTATATAAATACATAAGAAATAATATTGATTTTCATGTTTTTTGATCTAAAATATCAATTCACAAAACAATATGAGATTTGATGAAATTAAAAGTTTAGTGATTAAACTGCATCAGCACCCTTAGTTTCACTGTCATTCTTCTTGTACTTCTTAACCAAAACGATTGCGACGACAGCAGCAATTATGCCGACAATGATGACTGCAGCACAAAGTATCATGACCAGCTGATACCTGACATACCATGGAGCATCAGCCAATCCAACGTCCTTCTTGTCGTATACGCCACCATTTGCTGGGACACTATATGTTAATTCTTCGAAGTAGACTTTTTCTGGATTATCAGTTATATTTGCTTTGGTACTGAGTGATTGTGCCATAGGGGCCCATGTAATGACTGTGGAACCATCAATGTTGATGAATTTTTTAAGGTTATCTTCGACGAATTCCCAAACATTTAAGGAAAATGTGAGGTCCTTCAAAATATCTTTCACGTTAAACATTGGTCTGAACCAGTTGTTCTTTGATGCCCCAATTGGTCCTTCTTTATCATGATGGCATGGAATACCTAGGAATTTGCCAACGTAGTCATCTTTACCTGCTAAGAAGTCAACCTTTTCATCTCTGGTATATGTGAAATTCTTTTCTGTTGAAGATAAGTAAAGTCCTTGTGATAAATCAACAGTGGCAGTGAGCGCTGTTTTTGAAACAGATCCTCCAGTCTTATACTTGATATTGAATGCTCCTGTGCTCTTGGTCGAAAAGATACTCTTGAACCTGAACGATATATCAAGATTGAATTTAATTTCGTTCTTGATTTCAACCTGGTATGAAGGCGGAATTGGATGGATTTGAATTGTACATGCTTTACCATTGTTACACTTGATCTTAGAGACAGGAGGTGCAATAACAGTGACCAAGTTGAATAATTCTTTAAGAATCTTAGAGATTTTCATTTTTGAGATATCAACTTTAGCTTTAATGTCTGGGACTACGAACATAGCATTATCTTTGGAAATAGTTTCCCACTTGGGTCCCTCTTTTGTAGCTTTCGCAATAGCAGCATCGACATGATAATCAGCCGAGCCTCCAACAACAATACTTCCAACAATGCAAACAGTTTCATTTGGTTCAAGATCGAAGTTATAGTAACCAATTTTGTTATCAATTGGTTTCATGAACATTTGAGCGAAGTCTTTGCATTCCAAAAAGGCCTTGTAGACATTGAGATCATATATCTCGCTCTCGGCCATGATGGCACGCTGCTCACTGATGGTCAAGTTCCTGTATCCAAGTAACAGAAGAGCAATCATGAAAATGAAAAATGAACTCACATTAAAAGACATTCAATTCAGTCATATTCAAATTCATTTTGAAAGAAATATGATAAATCAATTTATATTCATATAATAAAGGCTAGGACATAAGCTTCTCTCGGCGACTCAACTAATGGGTTGTTTTCAAATTTTGAAATAAAACAATTTCCTTAGAAAATCTGCCTATTAATAATCAAGAATTAGGGTTGTTAAAAATATCAAAAATTAGCGTTTTGAAGACACCATGGTGTCTTATAATTTTCCCTTCCTTATTGGCGTGTAAAAATAAATGCGCCAATAGATTGAAGAAGAAGAATTGTTTTTCTCTTAATGAACTTTAATCCTTTTGATATAAGAATATTAAAAACATTAATATAATTTCGATTTCGGGAATTAAATTTCCAAATTTTTTGTCGATTTCGGAAATAACAGGATCCCGCATCCAACACGCAACAACAAAACACAAAACACACTTTTTGGTTCTTTCATCGTTTTAATCGTAATTTATGTAATACATGATTTGGATAAATTTTACAAAAATAGAACCTATATTATATTCTTTTCAAAGATTCTTGCAAATCATCAAAAATAATTGTATTTTAAAAAACGATCAAATTATCCTTTCATTATTTTAAACTTAAATTAGTTTTTATGATTGACTAAAGCAATCATATTTATTCATCATTAAATAAACAAAAAAATAATATTTGAGAGTTATTTCAAAAAAAAACACATTGAATTTATTAATTTGTCTCAATTTCAGTATTATAAATTTTTATAATTTGAATATTTTGAAATACACTTTTTAATATTTCAATATTTATGATATTTCAATGTATTAAGTGGTCTCAAATTGAGCTTCTCAAATATAAGCTGGCCTATTCAAATAATAAAATTAAATAATATTTAAAATAATAAATAAAAGTGATTGAGGTCATAGCAAAACCCTAATCAAGAATATCGACGCGATCTTTTTGCTTTACTGATATTTTTTGAAAAAGTATTGAAACCCTGTCAAGTGGATATCACAAAATATATCAGTTATTTTATAGAATGGTATTATTCTTGCACTTTTTGTTTCCCATTCAAAAATTGAAACAAAAGTGATAGTTTTTTTCCTCTTATGGGAAAAAGCCATTTGTATTTAAACCATTGCGCACAATAAATTCTACATAATAAAACATTTCGATAAAAATAGTTTTCCATACATTTTTCCTGACTGCATAAAAAAATTTAGTTGCAATAATCCATATAATAATTGAATTTATATGCAAATAGCTATATATTTCATTATTATAATGAAAGGTACTATATTTATACTAAAAACAGTCTAATCTAAAAATCATATTAGAGATTTGAGGAAAAGATTGAACAACATTCCTCATTATGGTATATACTCATTATAGTTCCATCGTTTCATATGCAATTTTGAGATATATTATTACTCTTGAAACTCATTTGTAAAAATGTGAATATTTAATTGCGAACTTAATCACATACATATTTTCTTAGGTTGATAAATTTCTTTATTGATAAAGAATAATATCAAATAAACACTCAAATATTGTATTAATTAATTGTTTATTAATTAAACTGCATCAGCACCTTTATTTCCGTTGCCACTTTTATTGTTATTCTTCTTGTTCTTCTTCATCAATATGATAACAGTGAGAGTTGCAACAATAGCCACAACAATGACAGCACCAACAATGATCAAGATTGTCTTGTACTTGATATACCATGGATCATCACTGCTGCTGCTGGATTCCTTGACATCATCTTTATCATAAGCACCACCTTTCTCTGGAACATTGTATGTTCCTTCTTCGTAGTACACTTTATCTGGGTCACTTGATTTTGATCCTGTTGTACTTGCAGCAGATGATACAGGAGACCATGAGATGGTTGTTTTTCCATTAACATTTACAGCCTTTGCAATATTATCTTTAATTGGGTTCAAAGAAAATGAAAGGCTGCTGAAAATATCTTTCACATTGAAAAATGGAATAAACCAATTGCTTTTCGATGTTGCGATTGTTCCTTCCTTATCTTCATGGCATGGAATAAATAGGTATGTGTCTCTGTTGTCATCGTTACCTGCTATGAAATCAACTTTCTCGTCTCTGGAATATGTGAACTTCTTCTTTGTTGAAGATAAGTAAAGACCTTGTGTGAAATCAATTGATGCTTTAAATGATGTAGCCGAGATATCTCCACTAGTCTTGTACTTGATATCGAATGATCCGGATTCCTTGGTCGAGAAGACGTTCTTAAGCTTGAAGCTAACATCAACATTGTATACTTCTGAATTCTTGATATCAATAGAGTAGGAAGGTGGAACTGGGTGAATTTGAACTGTGCAGGCCGCGCCATCGTTGCATTTGATCTTAGAAACAGGAGGTGCAAGTACTGTAACCAAGCTGAATAAGTCTTGAGCTAATTCAACATAATTAACTTTGGAGAAATCAACTTTAGCTTTGACATCTGGGACAACGAAAATTGCATTATCCTTAGATATTGTTTCCCACTTAGGTCCGTCATCTGTAGATTTGGCAATGGCAGCATCAACATGATAACTACCAGAGCCTCCAATAACCATACTTCCAACAATGCAAACGGATTCGCCAGCTTGAAGATCGAAAGTTGTGTATCCAATTTTATTTACAATCGGGTTCATGAACATTGCACCAAAGTCTGTGCATTCAGTAAATGCTTTATATACATCGAGATCGTATATCTCACTCTCGGCCATAATGGCACGCTGCTCACTGATGGTCAAGTTCCTGTATCCAAGCAACAGAAGAGCAATCATAAAAATGAACTCAAATTAAATGACATTCAATGATGCTTTTTCAATAATTTGACTAATCTATTTTTATTCATTATTGTTCATATTTTAAGACTTTGGCTCCACTTTTAAATTGTTTTCACAAGTCTGAAATCAAGTCAGAAAAAAATTTCATTCATAATTCCTCCAATAAGAAAATTTTCCGTCATTTATTTCTTAAGTCATGAATACAATTTACGGTTATTTTTTCCTGACTTTTTTTTACATGAGCATTCAATTCATTGCCACTCAATGATATTTTTGCAATATTTTGACTAATCAATTTTTATTTGTTATCATTCGTATTTTAAAAGTTAGGGATTTCAAAACTCAGGCTCCATGGGAAGAAACGTTTTTCCCGAAAAATAATCGTCTTTTGATGTTTTTACCGAAAATCGTTCCGATCATGACGATAGACCTCCAGGAATATGAAATATTTGTTTTTGTCCAATTCTGTGTATGCAATTAATCATAGTATACCTTGAGGTTATTAGATCTTAGCAGATGAAAGATGTTTGTTTTTTATATAAGATTATATAATTTGATTATATCGATTTACAATGTAAATCTAGAATTCTTTATATAATTTGTTGTTTTGATCCATTTCACAACATTGAATTAGTTCAAAACTCTATATTAATGTGTGTTGATTGCGCATATTCATGATAACAGAATTTGTAATAAAAACAAGGATCATATCTAATTATATATACTATAGAGTTATATGTTATGTGAAGTTAATAAGGAAATATAAGATAAAAAAAAATATATAATTATAAAAGATCAAAAGAGATGAGTAGGGGTAATTTTAGCTAAAAGTGACACGCATGTAAAAAGTGACACACCCGTGAAGGGTGTGATTACCGATCGGTAATTTCGACAGTTTAGAATTTAAAATTTTTTATGGAACTGTTGCGAGTTTCATAAAGAATTTAAGGAATATAAGCAAAGATTTGAATCAAAATCTTAGACCTAAGCCGCTCGATTCGCTCGCGGCTTCCGCGAATTACAGATCAGCAAAGATTTGAATCAAAATCTTCGAACTAAGCCGATCGCTTCGCTCGCGGCTTTCTTTATTATTTTAAATTTGCATATTTCCATCAAAAGTTCATAAGGTAAAAAATTTCGTTTATTTTTACTAAGAAAAAAAAGGTTTTTGATAATAAATTTATTTTATTTCGAAAAAGTAGCAATAATCGTAAAAGGGTATTGATAGGCTTGCTAAAGTAACTAATTTTAGCTGTCAAATACTTTTGTATTTTGAAGTAAATTAGTATAAATTTGATATTATTTTAACTCCCTTTGAAAACCTCAATTTTCCATACAGAGGGAACGGGAATAGCATCCAATATTCCCTGAGAATGGTTGCGCATTCTCAGTTCCCTCTATATTTCGAACGAAGCTCTCATCGGTCTTTTTTTTAATACTAAACGTTTTTTCCCCTGTCACTTTTAGCTAAAATTTGGGTTTGCCAAAAGAGACTATGTTTTTCCAGCATGAGTGTTTGTATGTAGTTATATATTTGAAATGTAATATAATGCAATACATTAGTTTTAAGTCGAAATTCTAATATGATAATATAAAGTGGTATTCTAGTATCTTTAAGAGACAGACCATCAATTTTTCATACTTTATATATATTGTTTGTATCACTTTGGTAATTATTCTACATTTATTTAAAAATATGGATAATATAGTAAACAGTAGCTATTAACTCTTGATTGTGAATTATGACTAGATTATCATAGATCTAACGCATATAGTTAACTGCTTTATGTATGAAAAACAATATTATTACAAGGATATAAAAATTTATCAATTAAATGACATTTTTAATGATTTTTAATAGACTGATTTTATATAAAATGAATCAAAAAAGATTATATTAAATGATGGATGTAAAAATAGAACAACCCAGAATTAACTCATTTATAATTAGCTAAAATGTATTATGCATAACAAATTTTAATGTTACACGGTATTTTTTGAACTTCATGACATGAATTTTCTTTATACCCAGATTTTCCTTACTTTTACCACTCCCCATGTAATTTCTGGGGAAAACGATAATTCATTTTTTTTATGGATGAATAGATCGTTCTCCTAGAAAGGACCTCATATCTCTGGCTAAAAAGAGTGTCAGATCCTAAATAGGTTATTGATCTAGTGTACAAATCCAATAAAAAGCCTATTTTTTTGGCTTTTTTGGTGCTCATTTTTTCGAAGATCTACATGAATATGGGGAAACCATCGGATTTTTTTGGTTAACCCACATCTTCATGTAGTCTGGACTATCTTTCCTCGAAGGACCTCTTTACGGGTGTAAAAACTCATAAAGTTCTCAAAAGATTCATTCTCGATCTCCATGCTGAAAGAATTTACAATAAAAAAGAGATCTACGCATCAAACTACAGCCATAAATGAACTGAACCCCTAAAGCTCAGCTCTTAGTTTATCAAAAACGTCGAAATCCTTCTCATTGCAATCAAATTTTCTCAATAACTCATAAGAAAAATCGAATTTTGATTAAGCCGATGTTATAGGTATCACAAATACTACAAACTTGAGCAATATCGAAATTGCCAGCAAAAGTTTGAAATTGCATTGCTCATATTTGTTTTGTAAACTAAAAATCTGCTTATATTATTCATTAATTTTTTATATATTATTCATATACTTTAATAAAAACAATACTATTTCACCTTAAAAATGAATTTCATAAGTCAATATTATTTTTTTGAAAATGTATCAATTTTCGATTAAAACAACATGAGAATAAAATTTACGCAAAATTATTTTAAAAAATGGTTTTAAAAATTTACAATTGATGAAGAATAAGATTGCAAGAAGTTTTGAAGTTTAATTTTAAGAAAAAAAATTCGGATATTATTCATGGATCTAAGTAATCTGATATTTGAGTATCGGCACTATGCATAAAACATATATTTATAGTTTTTTTGGAGTTTTATGATTTTAAATATATTCAAATTTGGCAATCCAATAGATTTTTAAAAAATAGGTAAATAAAAATAGATTACATATGCAGCAGATTTAGAACATGAAACAAATCTTATAGTGACCCAAAAAAAAATTCATGATCCAAAAAAGAAAAAAAATCGGCTAAATGGGAATCAAACCTTGGCATATTAAATCATTATGTCGGATGTTTCCACTACACTACATAGGTAGTTCCAAAAATACCCTTGGTGGTTCTATTTAATAGCTACTCCCAACGATAGGCGGTGTCCCCAGCTTTAGAGAGGTGGTAAAAGTAAGGCAAATCTGGGTAGTATAAATCAGTAAGAAAATAGAAGGGTAAATTCTTTTTGATTGATATTTTTGAATAAATCTATACAAATAATAATACTAAAGTAGAATTAGTATATGTTATGCCGGTGAATTGAAAATTCACCTGTTAAAAAAAAGTGATTATTTTCGAATTTCAACATATATATTTGAGCAAAGAAAGATGCATATCTGCTAATACTAGAGTGATCCTGTAAATAAGTTGAAAAAATAGAATATTCAATCTTAATTTCTTTATATCTTTTGTAAAAAAGGGATTGTTAGAAGTAGGTCATGCATGAATACATCCTATATGAAGTGATTTTTCAAATGACTATAACTACTTGTGAAATTATAAAGCACTTGGTTCTGAGGGTAGTAATTAAAAATGACGACTAGCAAATAAATTAACCTTATTTAACAACACAAACAAAAAGATCCGATTTAATTACACAAATTTTATTAACATATGTGTTTGATAGGATAGTATGATGGAGTATATGCTAGGTCATAAAACAGAAAAGTTGAAAGACATGATGATTAGTATCAGAGGATTTTAAAGCTATTTATCACATCATAATATTAATCATAATATTTTTTTTAATAAGTAATTGAAAATTATGCATTTTTTTTGGAATCTAACTTTTGATTAAGCTGGAGTTCCAATTGATATCTGGGAAGAATACTATGGACCACCAGGAGAAAACTACACCAACATACAATCAAACGAAAAACCTACTATTTCTCAAAATTTCTTTTTACTGTCTTCAGACTTCTTTAATTTTACATCGAATGTCATTGACTGCAGTCTCAATTCTATTAAATTGCTTCATTCGATATGCACATATACTAATATTACACGAAGTTCAGGGTTTGGCGGCTGCATCTACTTCAAAGGCAGCAGTTCTATTGTCCAAGATCGATTTTGTTCTATTAAATGCTACACGCCAGACTCTGGAAAGCATTCATATACAGAAGTTCAAACAGCAACAAACAAAAATTTTGTTAACTTAAGTTCTCTCTTTCAATGCGGCCATGATGACAATGGAACATCCAGTATAAATCATTATTATGGCGAGAAAACTCTTATTTCGACAAACAACACTTATACGAGGTGTGGGAGCTTTGCTGGTTATCGATTAGAAAAAAATCCTTCTAATGTTAACTTTTGTTGTTTCATTTCTAATGATAACCAACAAACAAATGCCATCTGCATGAGTCATTCTCAAACACCTGACTCATTTGTTAAAAATTCAATCTTTAAAAACAACACAGCAAAAATTAGAAAAGGAGGTTACGGTCTTATTACATCATCATTTTCACCATCAAATGTTACAGTTTCAGAATGTATTTTTATAGGAAACAAAGCAGATCATTCTTTTAGTGGTGATAATAATGGCATTATTACAATTGTAAATTGCAGAGGAGATGATTTGTCTGCAGGCAAAACTTATGGAGGCTCATTTAATTCAGATAAAATCGAAACAAATCCTTTTGATCTTCCACTTTCATTCCTTTCATTAGGTAAATGCGAAGCAGAAAATCCAATTTCAATTGAACTTATTTCAAATGAAATTGAAAAGAAAAATAGTCATATTTTTGACGAATTTTGTTCTCTAAATTTAACTCTTGAATGTTTACTTAATTTAAAAAATTCATAACTAAATCCAATTTTTATGAATTATGCATTTTTGTGATACGAGATTGATATTATGAATAGTAATTTTGTGATAAATATGATAGAACAATAATAGATATCATATGAAAAATTAACAATTATCATCATACAATAATTAAGAAAAAATCATTTATTCTATATTGGAAACATTGAATTCAGAACATTTCGTTGTCCATATGACAGATATTCCAAATATCTGTGAATTCGGATAAATTCGGATAGATAAAACTCTATTACAGAGTTGGAAGGAATCTCTATGTCATCAGAGAAAGTGCTTCTTCCGCAGTAAAATATTTTATTCAAAGAAACACAGTTCGAGAAAGCGCTAACAGCGAAATACTCTGCTGTCTGTGGCAATATCAAAGCACGTAATTTGAAACAATCACTGAAGAAATGTTTGCCAAAGCTAATGATCTTCGTTCTAGACAAATCAAGGCTTTCGATAGTCCTGCATCGTTGGATGAAGAGACCTGAGTCGAATTCAAGTTCGGGCATAGTCAAAACTCTGATTGATGCCGTCGAAAATGCATTATTTGTCAGTTTGTACTTGAGATGTGAGAAGTTGACTGTCTTCAACTCTATGAAAACGTCATAGATTTAACATATAAAACTGTATTAGGAAAAATAGTATATCGGAAATCCGTTCGTTAAAAACATGATTTTTCGATGTATGTCAAGTTATGTGGGTAATAATTAGAAGATAAGTTTGGACAGTTTTTGAATAGATTCATTGAAAAAAACTTCAACTGATGTTTGTGAAAAATCACAAAATGATAAATGTTCGTTGTTCATGAATGTACCTGAACTAATATTCCTCAAATCAATGAATTCGAGATTATGAATGTTAGTATTAGAAAATGATTCTTGGTCTAAAAAGCGTAAGTGATTAGAAAGTTGACTTTATATAAATTGATGAAGTTCTTGAATTAAAAATCTCCAATGAATGTGATGTTAGTTCAATTGAAAGATATCGATGTGAGTTTCGTGCAATTAAAGATTGCGGAATCATCAATTGACTGAAGATTTCTTGGGAAGGTGATGTTTTCGATTGATGAGAATTTGAAACTTTCTCTCTCGATGATTTCGACTGTTTCTGGAATACATATATTTCTGTCAATCGCGTATTTTGAAAAAATAACCAACGACTCAAATTTTTCTTCATTGATTTTAATTCAGAATACGATATAGTTTCATCTGAGTTTCTATCAATTTCATTTCATGAAAGATAATTGTTGTTATTTGATCCTTCAGCTCATCAAAAGTTCTGCAAAATGATCAAAAAAAGTCATTTACATCGATTGAAATTCCCATATAATGGTTATAAACAATTCATGAAAAAAGTTCTTTATTTTTATGGATCAAGAGTGAAAATGAATGATTATTGTTTAATCTTCCAAAAGCATTGTTAGCCGATAGATGCACTAAAATAATTTTGTATTGAAAAATGAATCTATGAGTATTTAAGGGTGCATTTACCATTTTCTCACATTTTTAACATCAATGCTTTATATAAAAAGTGAATATTTTAGCTCTGGAAAAAGTTATGATAAGTCGCTACCAAGTACCTCATATGATAGGTTGATCTTTTGCTATTAAAAAATAATGATATATTGATAAACAGCGTTGCAAAAAATCCACATACCCTAGACTTTTTGATGGAAGTCATTATGAAAGATCTGTATTTTGCACCCAAGTTTATTGTGAAAGTATGTCAAAAAGTGGTTATAACATAAATTTTCTTTACTACAAATTATTAAAACAAATAAAATCACAACATTTTTTTAGATGGTATTTTTGGCGAGGGACGGACAAAAAGTTTCAACTAAGCGAGTTCTAGTGATTAAGTCTGTTGATCCGCAGTGGAATTGATATGAAAACTCTTGGTTGTCACTGAAGAGTTGTTCACCCATTTTTTCGAAAATTGACATTTCCGAAATCGTCATTCCACCAACAACAAACACCAGAACTCTCCTGAATGGTTTCCCATCGCTAGACTTCTTCGGAGGCTGTTGTTCATCTACTTTGTACGTGTTCAATTCGATTCCCATGTTCTTCATTGTCTTATTACAGACAGAAGAAGGTCCCCAGCCAGTTTTGAGGCAGTTCTCGACCAATCTAGCAGTTATTGGGTAATATCCTGCATAGAAATCGTTGGTAGGAGCCTTTTCGTCGTCAATCAAAAGTTTTAATTCTCTCATTACGGTCGAAAACTTCGATCCGAACTTCAAAAACGTTCTAGGAGTGATCAGTCCGCCTGCCTGTAGCCGAATCCAGTCAGGAACGAAGTCAAAACCAATTAATGATAATAAAATTTCCTCAAATTTTTTGAGTTGTGACTGCGGAATGCCGTCACTGGTAACACTTGAGAGAATAAGCATCTGTAGAGCGTCAGAATACCTTCCTCTGTGGATGAAATCATAAATTTGATCAAAATCAGTGGAGTTGTTGAAGATTACGTCGAATTGGAAGTCCCTCATGTGCTTAACATACGTCTGCGCCATAGGAATTCGATCAATCAGCTGGTAATGGAGGTTATTAAACGGTCGAATTTTCAAAATTTCGGTTGCTCTTCGACTGTGTTGTCTCCATTCGGGTGTACCCCTTGTTTTGTTTAGTAAACCTTGTATTTTCGTGGCTTCTGTTGAAATATTCCGCATCCAATCAAAAGCAAATGCGATATTCATTGATTTAACCTCTTTGTAGACCAAATCGTTGTCATCAAGTCTTATGGTACTATTTGGTGCATATCCTTCTAATTGAATTCCGTCTGGGAGCTCCATGAAACCGTATTTCGGATTAAATGCTTCGTCAAGTCTTCCGGCGTAAGTGCATTGTGTAACAAATGGTGTAATATTGTCGCATGATCTATCAATTATGAAAAGATCATCGTACTTTGCGCCTTTCGTGGAAAAATAAGTTGATGAATTATCTGAACAGATCTGATGCTTTAAATTCTGCATCAATTCGTATACTCGTCTTGATATAGTGCCTGCTGTAAATACTCTTGATGGAAAACCGTGAATTAACGTCAATCTGAGCAAAGCACGTGAAATCGTATAAACATCTGATATATCTGCCTCACAGAAGCAATTATTATAAGCTAATGGAACAGGAACAATGAATTTATCAGGTGCTATTGGTATAATTTCGGCATGAAATTCGGTGATATGAATATCTTCATGATTTGGAATCTTTTCAAATGTGGATTGGCAGCTTGGACTATATCTTGGTATCATTATTATGTGTTTCTTGTATTTCGGAACTAACTCTAATTTTTTACAAATTTTTGTTAGCATCACAGGGTCGTCTATACACAAAACTGCAACAGTTTCTGTTGCTTCACTCGATTTAATTGTGTCTAATGTTACCTTTTTCTTTGCTGCTCCCATACAATTTTTTGAAAGTGCAACATTTGCGAAATATAGGATTTCTTTTGGAATGACGAGAATGGCTTCACCTAATTTCTTAAAATATGATAAAAATTCTTCTTCATCAACAATCTGAAATGAGGAATAAAGATTTTCTTGCGACGCCATTTCTGAAAAACGATATCGCTTATTTTTTTGATATTATCTTTAACATATGATATGTAATAATTTATTCTCAAAAACAATGCGAAATTGTCAGATTTCTAAAAAAAAATGAATTCTCAAAAAATGCCAAGAATAAAGAACAAATCAAATCCTATGATCCGCATAGATATATAAATAAGATTTGAATAGCATTTTCACATCTTTACTCCAGCTTTCCATACTATAAACAAACAAAAATGGTCTTTTCCAAATATGCTGATCAGTTATACATCAAATTTAAGACATTATTTAACTATGCAGCAATAATATGAGCTGTTTCTCCCAAATTATTGCTTTAATTTTGAATTTTGCATTATGCAAAATTAAAGTTCTAAAATGTCATATTGCTACAATACTAAATATTAATTTTCTCTTTAATTCTTAATATTGACAATTGCTCCATGTGAAACAAGCAGATCTATGATTCCTTTAATATTATTTTCTACTGCAATATTAAGAAGTGTTTTGCCATTTTTCATATGAATATTGACAATTGTTCCAATGAAAATAAGTAGTTCTATTATTTCTTGGAGGTAATAAACTCTGTATTCCGCATCTTCTTAAGACGTAGCTTCATTGAATAAATAGATAAATTTTAATTGATACAATAATAAAAAAATAAATAAAAAAGATATTATTAGAAGTAGTAATTGATCTCATTCTGCATTAGCACAGAATCCAAAGTCAGATAGAACAATTCAGCAGAATTTTCATGATCAAAAGTAATAGAAAATAAAGGAACCTTATTCTTTCCAAAAGCGTTGATATAGAAAACATTTCTTTCCATGGATTTGATCTTAGATAACTGATATTCGCTTTCTTTCTCGCTTTCTCTTATAACAACGAGTTTCTCGAATACTCCGACAGTTACTTTGCTTGGAAGAATGAAAGAATGTTTCAAGAGACCTCTTCTCTGTGTAATCTTCGGATTCTCTGTTCCAAGTAACAAAATCTCTTCATTTGACGGATTTCTGATTACATGGGATAAAAGTTTACGCGGTAAAGTAATAATTGGATCCGGATTTTGTTGAACAGATGATTGGGATGAATCCGGTGGTTTGATTTTCATTTCTGTTGCGTATTTGAGTTTGTAACCAATTGAACTTGTACTCATTGGGAATCCTGTGAACAATGCAACGCTTATGTCGTTGTTTTGGTAATAAAAATTGTCGTAATTTGATTCTTTGTTTCTCGAACATGCAACTTGTGGTAAAAGGAATCCGTACTTCTTGTTTCTGCCAACTAATGACCTTTGCATTGTGTCATGGAGTATTTTGTGCAATAATGAGAGAGGAGCTGAGAAATGATCCAAATTCAAGCCTGGAACCCAAAAAGTAACAGTTGATCTTGGTGCAATATCATTGTAGAGGCCTAAAAATCTTGGAATTATGTTCTCAAACTTGGCTTTTACAGTGATTGGCTCCAAAATCGTTTTTCCGAAGAAAGCCATGTAATCTTTAAGGTCAATTTCATGCAATTTCATCATCTCTAGAATGGATCCGAAGTAAAGAAGCATCTTATCTGAGATATTCATCTCAACAATCACTTTATGAATAATAATTGAAGTGATTTGAGAAATGGAGAACGGATAACTCGACATTTGGAACTCAACATCGATGAATGGGAAGGATCCACCTTTCTTCAGTACAACTTGGTTCAAAATGTGGTCATCAACTTGGAAATTGTCGATTTCGAAGCGAGCTTTATACTGCAAAGAGTCATTTTGTGATATCTTGAACTTGATGTTGTTAATATCAAGTGCAGCAATTGATTTTTGTTTCTCAATAAAACTGATATTAATCTTTGGAACTTCAATTGCGATGTTAACCTCTGTGGAAGGTTCCATTGGAGTTGTAGTGATCATTAATGCTCGAGTTACACTGTTTATCGTGTAAACAGATAAATATAAAATATCTCCGTTGACTTTCAATGGGAATTTCACATTAAACACTGTTTTTGTGAAGCAAACGGTAGAAAGAACACCTTCAATTGTCAAAACAACGTTAGATGACAATGTTGGAAGATCAAATCCGAAAGCAGAAGAAGAAAATGGATCAACCTTGATTGGCATGATTTCTTCGACTTGTTGTGCATATACGTCATACTTTGTATCATTAATAATCGCATATTTCGGTGGAAATGCGATAGGTTTTATTGTAATTATCCTTGTCGAATGAATATCATCAACTTGGATGTCAAACAATATTCTAGTGTCATCTTCTTCGTTGTAAAGTTGAACCGTTGAAGCGATTTCCGTTCCCAAGAAGAATAATCCAGCAGATTTGTAATTTCCGCAATGAATTTCGACAGCATTGTCTTCAATCTTCATGTTTACGATTGTTGTCGTTCCTGGTTTGACTTTCATGCAGGAGTTACTTGATGAGAAAACAATTTCTCTGTCAAATTCATTTTTGACCTGGAAAATGTCCTGAATATACATATGCTTTCTTGTGTGGTGCTCAATACGACAGAAAGTGAATATTTTATATTCAGGAGACAAGTCAATTGAAACTCTGCTGAAAGATTCGGCCAATGGGAAGACATTTCCTTGGTATTCGAGACATAAATTATCTGTTAATCCAAAGAGGAACTTTCCTGGTCTGAAAGAAAACGAAGTATTGTTAGATATGATATGGAACTTCGTAAGTGTTCTGTTTTCAATGATAAGATCAGCTTTAATGACGATTTTGATCGCATCTTGTGATCTTTCAACAACTGCAGTTACAAATCCATAAGTTCCCAATTGAAGTTTAGATTTATTCTTTTCTCCGTCGTGTTCTGTAGTAACGATAGCCATTCCTGTGCACTTTTCGAACTTAGGAATAGTTACGTTCAGTAAAACCTTCGATTCAATTTGGTACATTGAATCAAATCTTTCTTCATCGGGCTCTATTGGCTTTAGCTGTTGTTTACCTCTTGAAACTGGTGCATTTCCAATGGAAATGTAAGCAGGATAAGGTAATTTGTTGACAAGACTTAATCCAGGACGAAGATGAATTATTGTCGACTTTGTAATGGGATCTTTATAGATTTTAAGGGATATTGGAACATCTCCTTCCATCATGTAAGTGGATGTACCCTCCCGGAGCTTGAATGTCTGTTGTTTCGGGGGTTTATTATCTCCGACACCCAAAAGATAAGAAGATTCAGTCGATTCAAGGAATGGAAGAGCACCTCTACTTATTGGCTGTACTGTTAATATCTTCGTTTTATTCATAACTTTCTTAGAATACAAAGTTACTGCGGTTGTCAAGTCATTTTTAAGGATATAAACGCTTGAGAAGTGTACATTCTTGGATGTTGTATCTGATGCAATACTGAGAATGCAGTTCTTCATCAATAACAAAGGATATGATAAAGTACTCAAATTAATCGTGAAAGTTTTGTCATCAATGTGTGCAACAAGTATTGTTCCACCAAATGGAATGCATTGGTGTGGAAGAATTATCTGTTGCTTGCAGTTGTTTCCCGATATTTTGATTTTATCCACAGTTTCATTGGAAATAAACAACAAAGAACTGGTTGAAATCTCTGGATGTTCAACAAAGTTTCTTAAATTGTTGATAATTTCCATTGAAAGGCTCGAAGTAATTTGAGTTGTTGAAATTCTTGAAAAAATGCATTTGGAAGATAGAGGAAGGACAGCATCTACAGTGAATTTACTTATCACTTCATCACGATCTGCCCATTGGTAGTTGATTCCTTGCATACAACAGTCAAGTTTCAGATTTAAGGAAATAAATTCTCCTTTTCTGACCAAATCGAAGAGTTCAATGTTTGTAATTATCTCAAATATCGGTTTCTTGCCAAAGTCTTGTGAATAGAAGCACAAAAACATTGAAACTTCGTTGAAATTAAATTTCGGGAATAATTTGTCAATTGTAGACTCTCTGACGGTTCTTCTGATTCTCGATAAGCATGTTATCCATGTTTTGATTTCAGGGTATATGAAATACAAAGAGAGCTTCTGATCTGACATATTAATATATAATTTGTCTTTGTATTGGACTCTGATCTTCTGGTGCTCACAAATTGGCATTGCTTTATTTGTGTATGCATCCAGTTCGATATATGTATCAATATATTTGTTAATTTGGTTAGAACTGATAATATATTTGAAAATTAAGTTCCGTTCATCAACTTTGAACTCAACTTCAAGAATCCACTTCTGCATTTCGAAATTTGCACCAACAAAGCGTCTGAAGAATGCAATAAAGAAAGAATTTGTATATAAGTTTCTGAAAATCGCAGAAAGACGTTTTGAGTCTAAATGTATCTTTAAGTTGGCTATTGTCAATACGTTTGTATCTTCTTTGAACAAAATCGTGATTAATTTGTCTTCAGATAATTTTTCAATAAACAAAGAAGTATTTCCAGTCGAAATATCACCAATAGAGAACTTCTCGTGTGTATAGTTTAAATCTGTAATTGTTATTCTCATTGAAGAGATGTTGAAGGTTAATTTCTTTACATCAAAACTAATTACATCAATTCGAATAATCGAAACATTTTCAAACTTTATGAATGTAGAGGCTCCTACTGATATGTTGATACAATTGAAATGAAGAGCAATCTTATGTGTTGCTTTAATTCCGAGTAATCTATTGAACATTCGTAGGTTTAATGCAGATAAACTTATGGAAAGAGTGTCTAAATCTAATTCAATTGCCATATTCTTGGTGATTTTCATACTAAAGTTCGGAATCGAGAAAATTGTTGATGTTTTATCAACAAATGTAAATGAACTGCATTGGATTGAGTTTCCATTTGTAGATGAAAGGTTTACAGTCATATCTTTGCATATCAGAGTAAAAGTATTTTCGAATTCTGGTATATCTATCGTGATTCGCATTTCTTTGATATTGAGATATGCTTCAAGAGGCGGAATCTTATTGTACATTGCTGTTGATTCTTCTTCATATGGCGCAATTTTAAATTCGACAAGATCAACGTAGATCGTATCATATTGAGAAGAGATATTACATGATTTTTGTTGAATTTTGATGTTTGATATTGAACTTTCTTCGACAATAAAAGGAAGTCCAAGATTTATAAAAAGATTTTCGTTACTTATAAGCTTATCAACATATTGCTCAGCAACCGCTGACGAAACTGAATTGACTACATCCTCAATTGCATTGAAGTTGCTCCGAAGAAATCCTTTAAAAGATTCAATAAAATCCATTTTATATAATTTGTAAAAAAAAGTTTATTCAAAAACTGAGATATAATTTGAAATCTTGTTGGAAATGAATGAGCATATCAAATACGTAGAAATTTATTTAAGATGTAAATTCATAAAATTTGACTGAGCGTCAGAAGTTGTATCGATAAAAAATATAAGAACAATGTTCATGAGTTATTCTCTATTTTCAAGAGCTAATATTTTGTGATAGATATAAACGAAGAAAAAGATGTTCCTAATTCTAGATTGAAAGAAAAATTTTATGAAAATCTGAATATATTAGCATAGATAGTGGATCATAGGTAGTTGGGACGAGTTAGAATTGAATGGGTAAATGAGAACATCTATATTATTTATCTATTTACTGAAAATGTTCATTACTTAAAAAATAAACACAAGAAAGACAGTTTGTAGATTAGTTAAATAAAACACTAGACAAGATATTTAGTTTTTATTAAAGAAATTCTTAAATTTCTTTGCTGTAATATCAAATTTGTTTTTGATAAATTCTTCAGCATTGAGGAGCTGTCCAGTAATTGTTTTGTCGTTATCAATCTGCCAGAAGTTAGCAGCAATCTTCAAAACCTCGTGTACGTCCAGTTGAGGGAGATTTTGCAAATTATGGATTGTTGCAGCGTAATCGTTCTCGTCAAGATTATCTTTGATGAGAGAGATTTGTGCTGCTCCAACATAGAACGAATATTTGACAATTATGTCAAAATTCGTAAGAAGAGCGTCCCAAATGAGAAGAACATCCTTAAGATCGTAGTCCTGGCAGAACAATAGGCTGAACCATCTAAAGCAATAGCAGACAGGATGGATTTGGTGTTTATTAATGATACGATGTGCGATTTCGACGTGTTTTTGTAATATTGTATCAAATTCTTTGAGTCTGTGGATAATAATTGACGATTTATCTTGTGTTGTGAATAAATCTGTAATCATTGATCTGGAAATTAAATTATGGAGCATAAAGAAGCAAATGCATTCTACTTCATCGAGGTTATTGTTAAACATTGCTTGTGCATTATAAACTGTATTGTAAATTGGCATCAATAGTTCATTAAAACCTTGCATGTAACTTAATGCAGGATTAATTGAGCCTAAAATGTAGAGAATTCTCTCCATTCTTCTCATATGTCCTTCCCACTTCAAAATATTTACCTCTCCTTGGAGTAATGGCTCGTATTCAACACCTGGTAACCTTGATTCTGGAAGATGCATTATATGGCGACCTGTTCTAACAATGTCACCATGAATGAGATTCATGAGGTCATTATTTTTGAGTTGGAAATCTTCCTTTTTAAAGTGTTGACGAATTGGTTTGGTATGATATTCATTCAATCCTTGCATTTCTTTGTACATATTGTACACTTCTAAGTTCTTTTGCTTTGTGTCATTCCATTCGCTTCCATTCTCAGGATAAATTTGTAAATAAACAAGCCATGCAGAACATCTATCTTCAGGCATTGCATTTTGGATACCAAAGCGTGTTAACTCTCTAATTTTTTCTACGTCCACTGGTTGATCACTTGGCTGAATCAGTTTAAAGATCTCAAATTGGTGCGATTCCATTGAATATAAAATAAATTGATTTCTGACAAAATTTTTTTATTTTTTAGAATTGTTATTAAATCATATGGTGGAGTATATTATTCAAAGAAAATTTGGATTGAAAATTGAATGCGATGATTTTTGTAAATTTTGGATCATATTTGAAATAATTATCTTTATTGATATTATTTCGAAATTTTGTAAAAAATGATAAAAAAATTTCAGTGATCTGAAGAATATAACCACATGATTAAAGAATTAGGGAATTTGGTAGCTTGCTATAATGTGCGTTCGGTTTTCGATTCTCTGTTAGGACATCTCTCAGATCTGAACATGTCCGAATGAATTTATCGGAAATTCCATTCATTGACTATTGCAATGAGTAATGAAGCATTGGAGCGAAAATTTCGGATCAAAATTTAATTTCAATATTATTTTGAAGCGATATGATGACTTACACATGATTTTGCTTAAATATGGTATAAACTCAATCAGTATATTTATAATATTGATTCTTGCGTTTGGTTTAGAAAAGAAATAACAGCAAAATTGCGATTTGGAATAAATTTGTTGTTATTTTCCATATATTTATGTGTGAGGTCTATAAAGAATATGTTATAGAATATAACCATATGATTCGTATAAATGCATATGATAACTTCAGTTTTTTTTTCAGTTATCAAACTATTTTCAGTTAGAGAATGAGTAAATCACGCGAGTCTCTCTCTAGCCGAAAATCTTCTAAATCAAGTGGCAGATTAAGCAGTAAGTTTGATTTTGATCTTCCTTCAGCAGGATCACAAGATATGAAAAATCAGTCCGAAATTAAAAAAGATAAAATAGAAAATAACGATGAAGATAGTTACGGATACTCATATTCTGATGATATTAACTTTGATAACGAAGATAGTGAAGGTCATGACGTTTTTAATGTTAAAACTCATTCAACAAAAGAAAATACTAGTTCAGATATTGTATTCAGAACAGATGAAAGGATCAGAACTGAGTCAAAATTTACTGCATCTTTACATTCTGATTCAATATTTCCCAAAAACGACACGAAAAAGTTTGATGCTGAAAAGATGCAAGAGCCACCACCTCTTAAGCTTACTTATATGGATGATTCATCTTATTCTGATGAAGATGACTTTGGAAATGATACTACAAGAAATGACATTAGATATCATAAACCAGAGTGGAATTTCCCACTAAAAAGAATCCCAAGGAACAATGATGAAGGATTATATGATACATTAACAAATTGTTTCAATATCAAAAACATTGTGACACAGCTAAAGAGAACAGCATAACTCACATATACCATTTACGCTTCAGTTACAAAATTAATGATTTTTCATTAACTTATAATCGGATTCATCCTATTATTCAAAATTATTTAGTTTCCCTGACACTTATCGTTACGTAGTTGATTATGTTATATTGGATGTTTAATTTTCGAAGATTAAATACTTTTATAAATATTATTTGTGGAATATGTCGAAATAAACTTCTTGTATTTATTAATTTCAATTTGGCTATTCTATTTTTGATATTGTATAAATGAATAACTTATTTATTTTGATTTTGAAACCTATTCTTTGATAAAAATGATTGATTTCGTCTACAATTGCCTTTGTATCTCAATATATCCACTTATGCAGCATAATTGTTTTCCAAAAAATCTGAGAATCATAGAATTTCATACAAATAATGCGCCTTTTCTATTTGTATTTATTTCTAACTTTCAATTTTTCATAAAAATTCAAATTGAAATATAAAAAAATGCCATAAATATACGGAAAATTAAGAAATAAAACGAGCCATCTTCAATTTTAATTTATTTAATTGCATAATTTATCTTGGTACTGTTCAGAATGCTAAATATTAATTTAATATTATTTTACTTGATTGATATTATAGAAAGGCTAGAATAAATATACATAGAACAGAATAGTTGATCAAATTTATTCACATTTTCAATGAAATTTAATCACATTTTTCCTTTTTCTTAAAATCATTATCATTGTATATTGCACATAATAAATGTCACCCATTGTTCAAATCATGGAATTTGCATTCCTAAAATCATATAATTACCGATATCAAAAGGGTTCATTTTTTTTATACCAATTAATTTTATGGATTTTTGCTGGTTGGTTATAAGTTATGAATTTCAATCCTAATGGCGATATATCGTTTATTGTCTTTTTAATGACTTATCTGGTTCATTGATCGTGGATTTTAAAAAGTTTGACCAAATAAAAAAAGAATTCTAGAATTTAAATATTCCCTTGATGATAGAGCAATCTACAATGATTATCCTTCGATATATTCGTGCCATAACGACAAATGAACGCACAATTTTGAGAAATGTTTCTGAAATCATTTATATCATTTCTCATATAAAGAACTATATTTATTTCTTCTTTATTTTCGATGTAAAAATTTGAAATGATTACAGATTTTATTAATGTTTTCAGAATTGCAATGAATTTGATATCTCATACATTGTCAATCAATTTATTTGCAATCATTGTTTACTTTGAAAGCAAATTGATCGCAAACTCAAAATTTGTAACCCAAAATTCTCAAGAGGGAATGATATTTACAACATTTTTTTTGTGTTTAGGATTTGAGAGACGTATGAGAAAATTTTGAATTCCCTCAATTAATTTATTTTCGTTTTCTCTTCATGGAGGAAATAGATCAGGATTTTTTAAAGGTTCTTAGAGAGCATGGCTATGAATATTTATCGTTGGTAGGCAGTGGTGGATTTGGTAAAGTATATTTAGTACAATCTGAAAAATATAACCAACCATTTGCGTGCAAAGTCGGAAAGAATTTTAGAGGCCTTGGGGAAGAGATTAAATTACTCTCAAATATTTTAAACCAGTTTATTATACAGATTTACGATTGGTTTAAATTTGGCGATAACATTGGTGCTATACTAGATTATTGTCCAAATGGGACTATAAGAGATTACATTTTTAAACACGGACCTTTAAATTGCGATCAAATGCAGCAAGTTATACATTCTTTATTTACTGCAATACAAGTATGCCATTCTCGCAATATAGTTCATAGGGATATTAAACCTTCAAATATATTAATTGATACTCATGGTTATTTAAAACTTTCTGATTTTGGCTTGTCTATGGTTGTTGAAAGAGGAACCCTCATCACAACAACATCTGGATCGACTCCATTCATGGCTCCAGAGATGTTTAGCCAAAAAGAATTTGATCCTTTTGCGGCAGATATATGGGCTATCGGAGTAACACTTTTTGTTATGTTAACAGGCATTCTACCATGGATAGCGAAAGATAAAGTAACATTAATTGAAGAAATAAAGAAAGGTTTTAATCATCCGCTGAAATTCCGAGAAGATGAGGTTTCCAAAATAATTACTAGATGCCTAATTGTTGATCCAACAAAACGACCCACAATTGATCAGTTAGTTGAGAGAATGAATTTCTGTAAAGAGAAAATCGCACTGTCAACTTTCGTTAGAACCCCAAGAAGAACTAAGACATTTTTCCAGAACTGCGCAACTAGACTGGTTCGAAGGAATTCACCGGTTGTTTTCCCATATTAATTGTTTGTGAATAAATTTTTTGTTGTTTTTTTGTGCCACTTCTATATATTATTATACATAAGCAAGTAATCATGAATATGAAACCTATGATTCATAATCCTAGAACAATAATTCCTTATAATGTTTATTTCATATATTATTCATTTAAACATTGCATTTCGCCAAAAGTGAGCTATGATAATTGATAAAATAGTGCAGATCGATTCCAAATTGACCTTTTTAGGAGACAAAATCATCTTTTATCGGGATAAAACACTATTTGTTTTACATTTGTGTGTGATACTCTCATGATAATATTTTTGTTCAATCCAATACGTAAAAAAACTATATCACCTTACTGGTCACCAAAAACCGCTTCGATTGATTCAATTTCACTAAAATGTCGATTGAGAAGGACGGTACACTCTACAGAGAATGGACTCTCTGGTATCTCATTCCAGATCGTTATACAATGAAAGAGGCAGCATGGAAGGACTTTTTACATCCAATTGCTGATTTTGATACAATTGATAAGTTCTGGGCTGCATTCAACTCTATCGAAAAGGCATCATTGCTTCCAAAAGGTTGCAGATACTACGTTTTTAGAAAAGGCATTCTTCCATTGTGGGAAGATCACGCAAATATCAGTGGTCACGAAGTTTCTATCGAACACACAATCGCAAAGGCCAAGAAACCAAAGGTTAATGACAGATGGGAGGATGTTCTCTTCTCTGTTATTGGTGAAAGCTTCCCATATTCTGATAAAATTAATGGCGTTGAGTTCACTGTTCGTACAGAAACTTTCAAGATCGGTGTTTGGGTTTCTCAGACACCATATGAAGTTACCAATGCTATTTCTGCAGAATTGGCCAAGTTAATCAGATGGAATACTCCAGTAAAGGTTAGCGAAATCAAGATTTAAACACATTTATTATTGTATACAATTTACAACTATTTTGATTGAAATTACGTGAATTATTATTTTTTTATATACCATTTTTTCTAATAAAATTACAATTATCTTACATATTATTTACTTTCAGTTATAGTTTTTTCCTGATGTAACTGAGCAAAGCCTGAAAAGACAATTCCATTGATTAATCTTTTATCAATTGATATTTTAACAATGCAAAAGACTTTCTTATACTTTATAGTATATCATGACCAATTTCAGGGCTATGATAAATATATCGAAGAATTGTGAAGTGTATTTCTTCTGCGTTAGAGATTAAATCATTGGATAAATAGTTTGTAATCGTATTTTCTAGAAGAGTTTTTATCATTACATTTTCATTTTTCACTTTGTATGCTTTATGTTAATATCATTTTTGGATCAATTCTAATATGGTGTTTTTTAATAGCATTAAAGAAGATCCTTAGTGATATTATACCTAAGAAATCTATTATGGAGAACATTCTCGAAGAACATTATACTCATGAAAAACAAACTAAACAAGGAATTCATTTTACAGCAGATAAATCATTAGACCTTTCGATTATTCATATATTAGCCGAAGATATTGATACAGAATTGACATTTTTAGAAGAAATCGTAGATGTATACTCAGAATATTCAATTGAATTGATAATTATTATTCCCCATGGTTATGATAGCAATGACATCGAATATTTCCAAGATGAATTTACTTTTGAAAATTATAGAATGTATATTTCAGACATTTCAAACAACAATGGATTTATTCAAGGTCTGATCCGATCAGAAGGAATGATGATACTCAATTCTGCATATTATGATGAAGAAATCCCTAATTTACCATTAGATTTGAATGAAAAATTTATTGTACTAAAAGAATCCTCTTCATGCAATCCAATTAAAGTGATTACAAAGACAGCATCCAATATTTTACTTTCAAAAATAAGATACCAATCATCATTGTTTTACTATGATGTATTATACCAGTCAAAGCAAAATCAAATTAGAATAATTGATGAAGGCTTTACTGAAGATCAATCTGCATTAGACTTTGTAATTTCTCTAATTTTGCATCTATATTTGAGATTCATTAATAAGTACTATCCTACCAAAACAAAATACAAAGAGGAATGACACCTTTTGTAAAAGCATCCTTTTGTTTTTCAATATACCCTCAATTTTTGACTTTTGCAACTTTTTCATGACCCCCTACCCAGGTATCTAAAATACCATTTATCGCCTGAAAAGCACCCTTAATTTATGCCAATTGACAAAATAAAGATATGTTTAGAATGCTGATATGATGGAGAATCATGCTGCATCATTATTGGCCAGCAATATATAATATTTAAGAAATCTACGAGATTATCTGATTTCATGAAACTCAATGTATACTAAGTTTCAGACTTTGAAATTTTAACATGTTGATATGGGTACATAGGGTTTATGATTCCAGTCATTTATTTAAAAAATTACAAAAATGAATTAATATGATGTGAGTAACAATGGTAATAAACGCTTAATTACTAATATATTATTTCTTGGTAGGAATGAAATGTTTTGGTGACATTTATAGAAGTTAAGCTGAGAATTGGTAACATGTGAAATTTAACAAAGATTTATATGAAATTTTGAATTAAGGATACCCTTACGTGTCAGATTTTTTGCGCATACGAAGAAGTCATGCTAGACATGAGCTATAAACCTGAAATTTTAGCAACATATTTAAAACTTTTTAAACTACAATACACTTTAATATTCAAGAACAAAAATATTCTTTTTAGAAATTACATAATTATTTTATGTGAAATCTATATAAAAACATATTTTGCGAGCGTAACTTTTTTCTTTATAAGCACCTTATATGACTGATAAACTGTGAAGGCACATAATTGTTAATTCATAGAGTTGATATGTTTCCAAAATTGAGAGGAAATTTGAAAATTGAATACCCTTTCAATTCAATTTTCAAAAGATATCAGCTCCTTCAATAATTGAAGGACGATTTTGATCATTTGCTCTTAAAACAAGTATGCCATGGAGAAAAAAGTTACGCTCGCAAATCTGAAATATAACTATCATATAAAAAAATTAAATTTCTAACTTTTTACTCTATAGATATTATTGGCCATTTGTGTAATGCATAAAAGTTTATGTCATATGCATACATTTGGAAGTATGGGAGACGAGGGAAATTACTTCTATGAGGGACTAGGATTTTTAAAAATTTCTCTATCGGACTCACCATTCAATTTCTCGAAAATTAAAAAAAATCAATAATAGTTAAAATGTATTATGCATAACAAATTTTAATGTTACACGGTATTTTTTGAACTTCATGACATGAATTTTCTTTATATTATTTTTTTTTTTTGGATTTTCTATGATTTATACGATAGGCTGGAACAACATTGTAAGTGCAATGATATCATTTATAGAGAAATCTAAAACTTCAGCATTCAGAACTCGCAACCACAAAAATATTCATTTGCTAAGTAAGTAAAGTTGATTAAGTTCGACACTTAGCTTTTATACGTAAAACCAAGTGTGTATTGTTATTTCTTGTTAAATTATTGAGAAAAAAATAAATTGTAAGAGAAACGATACTGATTATTGAAATAATATTGAGGGTAGCTGCAGATTTCTTCATTAACATGCCGGAAATTTGTTAATCTTGGTTTTCTATCATAAAATCTGTCGAAGAATCTAAAAACGGAGATATGAAATAGAGATCATGTAAATCTAGAGTATCCTGTCAGAAAAATAGACTAAGCATGTAACCCTTTTTTGGTCATAAACACTTTTTACCACTTAGTCATACAGATGATCATTAAATTTAAACGAGCACTTTTTGTCAGAATTTATTCTTTTACAAAGACAGAAGATTTTAGTATTATTTAATATTAGTGCTGTAGCAAAATTCAAAAAAACGGTGAAAATTCAGTGAATTTGTGAATTCACATTTTTTTCGACATTTTTCTTGATATATCCATGCACATTAAGAACACAGCTTTGATACGCTTAAAAAAGCATATTTCATATGAAATTGTTAAAGAAATAAACAATTTATATAAAAATTGCACTTATGGGCAGTTTAGATATATAATTTATATATAACATATATACAAATCCATAGACAAAGTGCAATAACTACAATGTTGTAGAAAATTACAGCAGAAATACTGACTTTTTGAAGGATAATAAGAATTCTTCTAAATGTTGTATTTTTATAATTTGATTGATTTTTTTTACTATTTCATTAATCTTTTATGAATAATAATTATTTTTAATATATGTGCTATTAAAATTTCAAATTTTGACTAATATATCTAAGTTATCTGAACGAAACATTTAGAAAATATCATACTTACATTGAAATAGCAAGTAGAGCATATTAATAGCAAGTTTCTTGGCTTTATATCTATCATCTATTGTTGTTTGATCAAACAAAATTCACTCTATTATATGGTGTCAATTAATTAAAACAATTTTAATAGTTATTTATTTAGTGCGAATAAGTGCAAACTCATAAATGAATAACTTAATAGTAGAAATGAATTATCTGATATAAATCTCACATTTTGTCCATCAGAAATACTTTAATTGCATACGCATAACTATTAGTAATACGTCTGGAGTGTCAATTAATAACAATCCCACAACAAGTAAAATTCAGATTTTTATTAAACTTATTTTTTCCTAAAAGTTTTCTCAAATTACTATATATACATATGTGGATAAAATAATAGTAATATTGTAAAAAATTAGATAATTTTTTTTTATTTGAGAACCTCTCAAAAGTTCATTCAATTTATCAATTGTTTCAGTTTGATGTATATTCATTTCTGGAGCCTAAAACTTTAGCAATCATGACAATATCATATTCTCTTTCTAACTACGCAATGTAAGGGTATCCTTAAAGAAGAATAAAAAAAGTTGATTAAGATTGATAAAAATATTGAATTGTATGACAATGGAAAGAAGGAATAAATTGGTGTTGGTATGACGGTATCATTTCGGGAGACATTGCCTCTGCATGTCTCCCAGAATGAGACAATCTTCTCCAATCAGAATGTGATTGCAAAACTTTGACCGACAAGAGTGTATTGTGCACTCTTGTCGGTCGCAGTGTCTCATTCTGGGAGACATTGCCTCTGCATGTCTCCCAGAATGGAACAATGTTCCGCATTCATAACTTGAACGCGGAAGTTTGACCGACAAGAGTGCATTATCCAATCTTTTTTGTCATATACCTCAACCCACAAAGACAAAACCTTACATAAAATAGGTAAACTTTGTTTTTCACTTAATAATGTTTATTTTTAATTTTTTGTTCTTTATATAACTTTTTCTTCTACTAAACTATTTTACAGACTCTACTGAGCTATCCTCACATATATACCTGTGACAATAACACATATATACTCCCTTCATATTCTGATCTCATGACATATTACAGCACAAACTATAATTATACAACATACCTCATAAAGTCTGATTTTACCCCTATCTAAGCGTTCAAAACCTATTTTCCCCGCGTAATCTGATTCTTCTGGCTCTGCTGATTCGATTTCTGCTGTCAGATCGTGAAAATATGCATCACACAATGAGATAAACACAAAATACACAACTTAATATTTTCCTTAAAATTGTCAATTCCTCGATCTTGACATATTTATTATTTCCTCAGTTTTCCCTCACAAATATATTTAATTTTCTGAATAAGACGTTTCATAAAATGAATATCTTAAAAACCAAAATACAAAATTAATGTTGGGTAATGACTAGATATAGTATGCACTTTTGAATTCATACATTTTTTGAAAAAATTGTATTTTCAAAAAAAGATGTTGTTTCAGTAGAACTTGAAGAGAAATTTTAAGGAAAATATTAAGTTGTGTATTTTGTGTTTATCTCATTGTGTGATGCATATTTTCACGATCTGACAGCAGAAATCGAATCAGCAGAGCCAGAAGAATCAGATTACGCGGGGAAAATAGGTTTTGAACGCTTAGATAGGGGTAAAATCAGACTTTATGAGGTATGTTGTATAATTATAGTTTGTGCTGTAATATGTCATGAGATCAGAATATGAAGGGAGTATATATGTGTTATTGTCACAGGTATATATGTGAGGATAGCTCAGTAGAGTCTGTAAAATAGTTTAGTAGAAGAAAAAGTTATATAAAGAACAAAAAATTAAAAATAAACATTATTAAGTGAAAAACAAAGTTTACCTATTTTATGTAAGGTTTTGTCTTTGTGGGTTGAGGTATATGACAAAAAAGATTGGATAATGCACTCTTGTCGGTCAAACTTCCGCGTTCAAGTTATGAATGCGGAACATTGTTCCATTCTGGGAGACATGCAGAGGCAATGTCTCCCAGAATGAGACACTGCGACCGACAAGAGTGCACAATACACTCTTGTCGGTCAAACTTCCGCGTTCAAGTTATGAATGCGGAACAGTGTCTCATTCGAGGAGCCCTCGAAAAGAACCTCACATCGACTCTCTCTTTCCGGCATCTTTACCGCATAGAAAACTGCTCGTTCGCAACTTTGTGTGCAATCTAAGAGATGATTGCGGTAAAGATGCCGGGAAGATTGATGCTGCAGCCCCAGGCCGCACTCAGATTTCATCCCGCTACACAATTGTTCATCCAACAACTGTCATAGAGGTTGAAATTTTCGACCAGAAGTGAAACATATCATTTTTAAGACTGCGGCGCGCAAGCAAGTTTGAACCTTTCAAGGGTGATCAGTCCTTTACTCATTTCAAGACCTCTTGTTGCCTGATAAAACGATACTTCCTTCCTTGTGGGCCATTGAAAACCGCTCAAACCGTCACAACATGCTTCCTAAATTTTATTTGCGGAGTAATTATCATGCATATTTTATCGGATAATAATATAAAAGCTAAATTTCATATTATTTTTTAAAGATATGCATTTTCTGTCTAAATTTATTTTTTCTGTTTCCAATTCACGGAATAATATTCATACAAGCATATACATAGCTAATATATATCATTTTAATAATAATAAAACCAAAATGATGTATTCTTCATATAGTTATTTAAAATTCGTTAACTAGAATTGTATTCAGAACGAGGCAAAGTTAGGAGATACATAAAAACCAATAACTTGATAAGTGATACCTTTTTTCCTGATATATCTATATGTGTTAATGTCAAACACGATTTGGAAAAATTAATTCTTTAAATCGGCTTAAGAATAAGACCAACATCAAAAGCATGGCTAATAAATTAATAAATCAATGTTTAATTACCGATTCATGCATTTTTTTCAAAATTTCAAATTTCAAGTTTTTGTTTCTCCAAAATATTAATTGTTTCCACTAGATTAACAAATAAACAATAAATTGGATTAATGTAATGCCCAATCATTCATTTTAAATTTTAGATTTAAAACAATATTTTTCTCCATATTATTATAACCTGAATCGCTATGGTATAAGAAATATATTTTCAATATTGAAATTGAAAAATTCTAAAATTTTTGAAATTCAATTTGAGTGTGATGATCGATAACATATATTTTTTAATTAAAATCTTGTGTCGCTATCATATAAATATACTATTTCTAAATTAAAAATAGAAAAAAAGTACTATTTAATGATGAAATTGCAAATAATATCAATATATATATATTCATGCTGATATATTTTGGGAACAGATTGTCAATCACATAAATAGGATTGTGTTAGTTTGTCATGGATATAAAACAAATTTTCGAGCTAATTGAGCGAATTTAAATCACAAACACTTATATTTTCTATTACAAGGTATATTTGTAATATACAACCAGTAAATAGCTTTCTCTAACTTTTACCAGCTTAGATGATAGCAAATTAGATACGAATTTCATGACCCCTCACCAAATTCCACTAAAACATATACAAATAAAAGTACTAAGTGGGTATCATCTAACCCTAGAATTATAGCTCCTAGGACTCATCCTAGATGGTAGTTCTGGAAAAACACCTGGTTTTTGGAGTTGCAAAAGTTAAAAATTGAGGGTATAATGAATAAAAAAATTGTCTCATGTTTGACTATGCAATAATTACATTCATATCCTTTTTGAGACAATTAAGTTATTATCATCATATTTTAAGCAAAGATTTTACAAAAAATTAAATAATTTTCCTCTTTTGAGTATTCATAAGGAACTTTAAGCAAAAATGTTCGTGTGCACTATAGTTACGCTGATATATTATTCACTGAAGCGTATTGAACTCTATTTTGATAAAAATTTCACATTTTATTGAATTAGTTATTTGTTAAATTTAAATTAAACTATATATCCGTAAAAAAAGAAACATTTTATTATACTTTCAAACAAAATCGAAAGAATAAATATAATTTACAAATTAATGAGAGTATTTTCAACATTTGAAGGATGTTCATCAGTTCTTGCAGCAACAACTAATGGATCTGCAGGAATAATAGTGAGATTTCCGAGGAATAACGAAACAAACATGTTAATATGATACAAAACAAAACAAAGAACGAATCCAAGAATGTTGTTGAAGAAAACACTTCCCATTTTTGATAGAAAAACAAAAAGAGCTTGAATAGAAAACATTGCTGATATCAAAACGAGGAAAGGTTTCTGATTTGGTTTGTATTCACCGTATGCGAGGGATCCAAATATAAGACAGAAGTATACAAGCTCTAGAACCATTGATATGATCATTTGTGGGTTAAAATCAGTGTCATATCTGATATATCTAATATGATCTTGATAATTAATGGTAGAATCGCATAATAAGCATCCTGCTGATAATAAAAGAATAGCCTTTCTAACAAATGATGGGGTATTACCACAAAAAGCGGAAACAACGTAAATAGAATAATATCTCAACGCAAACAAGAAAATACTGCTAAAAATAATGATTGCTGTTACATTATCAAACGAAACTGAGAAGAGACTAAGTGGATTTGTCGCAAAAATCAAACAAACAAGGAAAATTATTTGAATTGGTGTTTGTTTTTGTGGTTTTCCACAGGCAGTAGATATTAAATCGTCTAGGATAAGTATAATCGGGCAAGCAATTAAAACAAGCTGCAGAATTGACATAAATTTTGTGATTCCAATTACTCCGAGGAAAGCAATACTAACAGATTTGATATGTCCAAGACTTATGGATGATTCCATTGTAATTTGAAGTTTGTCAATTTGTTGATTTTTGCCAGATTGAATGAAAAACTGCTCTGAAAGCTCTCTTCCGTATTTGAAATAGAGTGTTTCGTTAGTAGTTTTATATCTTATGTCGTTTGGCATGGTTTGCAACTGAGTGAAACTGATTGAAAAATTATTTTTCATCGGGACTTGAACGGTTTCATTAACATTTGCTCTTTGAACTTGCATGTATATTGAATATGTATCAAACTTGGCTTCGAGATTAATGAAGTAAAATATACTTAACGATTCAACTTCTTTATTAGTATGAACTGCTGTAGAATGCTCCGAAAATTTGGTGTTAATGAATGGTATGAATATAATTAAGGCCATTACTACCAATATTAACAGGAATACGAAGTAATCAAAGAGAGATAAAAGTTGAACATCAAGAAATGATGATCCGAATGTAATTCTCTCGGATATATCGTGTTTCTTTTGGTCAATAACTACGAGCTCATCATCATTGTTCTCTGCGAACGAAGATGATCTCAATTCTTCATCCATAACAATTTTTCTGAATATTTTTTTCTGTCACATTTTGTTTTATCTTTGATAAAAATTATTTGTTTTAGCGAATCTCAATTCCAGTAAATCATTACATGTACGGAATAACAGTTGTAACTGCAACAGCGAGTTTCCACGCATTAATGTAATCACATAGTGATTCTAAACATGAAATTGATCAATTTCTGCAAAATTATTCAGATAATCAATTTTTCTCATTAACTCCATTTGATATTAGATGAAACACAGTTCATTCATAATCAAATCATCTCTAAATGATTGATAATTTTTTTCCCACATTAATTTTCATTTATTGAAGAGTAATTTACTGAAAAACAAATTTGCAATACTCTATAGCCTCAAATTATTCTTAAAGCAAAGAATTCAATTCCAAATTTAAATATTTTTATTCCTTATTTCTACAATTAAAACAGTAATTTGATATCGCATAAAACACACATAATATACAAGTTTCATTTTTAACTACTGACAAGAATGATGTTATATTTGTTATGCATTGATCTTCGATGACATTAATTTTATCATTTTTATACAACGATTTTGCTAAAATACATTTAACAAACTTCAACATATTGCATATATAGCTGCAATTTCATGTTGATGTATAAAATGTTTTTTAGTAAACAATTGATATCGTATTAGCTTATCTATTTTTATTACCAATAAGTTTTATATCAAATACTATTCATACACGTGATGAAAACATCCAATAATTGAAATTTTATTTATCTGAATGTATTTATAAAGTTTCAGATATACATATGCCAGTTCCATGTGTATGAAAAAACGAATCAATAAATTGTAATCGAAAATCTTATTTTATTTCTATCAAATAATATAACCTAACATCACCGCAGATATTTAATAGACTGGTTGAGCATCTGGAGGGAACATGCCTGGGCTTGGTGGCATGTAGAGGCCAGCAACGCATGGAGAATACATTCCTGTGGCAGGTGGAGCCATGTATTCTGGAGCGCATGGTGGCATCATTGATGGGCCAGCTTGTGGGAACATTGTTGGCTGCTGGACAGCATGTGGCTGGGCAAGCAAACCTGGTTGCTCCAAATTCTCTGTAATGAGTGGTCTCTGCTGAACATTGACGTATAATGAGAGGGTTGCGAACTCATTGCCTTGGTTGCATGGTATATTGACCTTGTTGATGGCCTGACCATCACACTGGATCTCAGAAAGTGGAATACGGAGACGACCAATTGGCTCTGGAGTGACACCAACCATGCGGCTAAGGCTAACAATCAATGCCTCAGCTGTAAGTGGCATAGCGACTGAAAGATGTTGGTTGATTGGCATGTGCTTTGTTCCGTGAATTGGATTTGATTGAACAGGGATGCCTCCTTCGAATTGTACCTCGACAACAAGTCCGGAGCCGAATGTCATATCCTCGTTTTGGATATCAGCGCACACGAGTACAATACTGCTTGATTGCATTTTGATTTTATAAAAAGTTGAATTTGACTGGTCAAATTCAAAATTGTTATTTTGTAGAAAAGTTATTTAAATCATGAATCTGGTGTTATGATCATAAAAAATACAATTTGTCACTTTTTATTTTATCTTTAAAAACTCATCTATACATATCATATAACAATATTCTGTTAAAAATTGTATTGAATAGTAATTCAATGAAAGACCATATTCCATTTAAAATTCAGAGTAAAATCAAGATTTGAATTAACAAAATTCGGCAAATTTTTCAAGCTATTTCTTTTAATTTGATTGCATATATGGTAATCTATAATCTTGAAACAATTTGATAAAATCAAATTTAGGCATAATCGAATCAAAAATTTTCGATATCTATCATCTATCTATCATATTTTGAGACTAATACGAAATGGATAAATCTTCTCAAAAAGATAACTATTCAATTTTGTTTTTTTGTTTTATTTACACAACGTATGATTTTAAAATTTATTTACACATCATGCCTATTATCTCTAAATTTACAACTTAAATTCCAATTGTCTTGTGGATAAATCGATTGGTCAGGCTCGATTTTCGTTTCCTAAAAAATGACCATGGGCAGAAAGCGCCAGAATTACACGTTATTTAATCATTATATGCAAATTTTCTACAAAGGACATCTCAAAAACTTACGATACGGGTTTTGAATTCAAATTAATTTTTTATCCATCCATGTTTCATGGGAGAAAATATCTTAAAATCAATAATATATCTAGAATTTTGAACCTATATGGTTTAATTTCTTTATTTGGCCGATTGAATTTTGGTGAGTAGCCTTTTATTTTATTTGCTTTATGAATTCAGAGGGATCCATATTTATGTTCTTTTTTCCAATATGCCAATGTAAAATAATCAGTTTGTAGAAGGTCTATAAAATTTGATGTTTTCAAGTTTCCTCATTGTCAATCATATCGTTCAAATACAAAATATAAGCCTATTTATCCCACCAAGTTTTATGACTCAAATAAACAATTCTAAATTTTATATTTTTATTTTCCCAACCAAAATTAAAATATTCAACGAATTTCTGATTATCAAAGAATAATATAGCAAGATGCCGCATTTGATAGGTATAATTTTATTTAGGGTCTGCTTACAATAATCGTAAGTAATTTTTTGATGATTTTTTTATTTTTGATTTTTTCTAACAGTAAAACTATATATTTTGAACCAGATAACATTACCAATGGTACAACTACAACCGATAATCGTCCAAAAATTCAAAATGAACTCTCAGACAATGATATTCTATATATTCGACAAAATATTATTATAGATGACCTTTCAGATCAATTATTTACGATGCTAAATGCAACGAAAGCAAAAAGTTTTACGATAAAAGGGAATGAAACAAAGATTTATCCACCAAAAAACGTATCTAGCGAAACACACTTACTTTTTGTAAAAGATAAGAATATTACTTTTAAAAATCCTACAATAATTAACTTTTCGATACCATTTTTATACGCAGAAAGTTCTGTAGTGAATTTCAACAAAATGTCTTTCAAAAATTGCCGAAACAACATAGTCAACATACAAGGAGGAACTACAATAGTCCCTAAAGTAACAATATCTGAATCACTTACTAATAATTTCCCAATTTTCATTTTTATTGCAAATAATTTCACCGCAAAACACCTAAATTTCCATCATATTTCTCATAAAAATGGTACAATTGTTTCATTTAAACAATCAGAAGTCTTAATTAAATCTTCAAAATTTGAATATATCCAATCAAAGACAATAATCAATGCATCAGTTGGTTGTCTTGTTCAGATTGTTAATTCCGAAGTAAATTTCGTTTCAGAATCTACATTTCTCCTTTCTTCTCGAGAAAATGATGTTAATTTAACAGATAACGCATTTACATCTTCGAATTGCACAGTATTAACAACAGATACTTCATCAGTGACGATAGACGCCTTATCAATTCATAAACATAGATCAAATAAAAATTTAATTGATATTGACGATGGAGTTATTACAATGAATGAAATAAATATCACAGACAGCTCATTACATGGCATATTATATTCCCATAATAGAAATCCTTCAGTTGGAGCTTCAAAAATACGAATGCGAAATATTCAAAGTTATTTTCCATTATTTACACTATATAATGGAACGTCAGAGTTCGAATTCATTAGGATTGACAAAGTTCAATCATATTCAAGCGTTTTCTTCGCTTCTATATATAATCATTCGATTTTCAAATTTATTGATGCAAAATTTGCCAAAATCACATCGAATGATTCGAATTCCTCGATGTTGAACATATTTAATACAACATCAGTCACATTTGATGGTGTTAAATCGCTCAAAAGCAAAATTTGTGGCTTTCATTTCATAGAAACGAGTTCTAAACACAATAATATCAACATCACAAAGTGCATATGTCGGATAGACGATCAATTGAAGCAAACAGAGAATTCTTTCATTTATTTGAAGAATTCGAAATCCGACTTTATAAACAATAAAGCGACCGCAGGGAACATACTATCATATAGTTCTCAGTCAATAATATCGAATACCGTATTCTTTAATAACACAGCTAGTCACGGTACTGCAATAAATGCTTTTGACTCAGACATCGAAATCGACGTGTCACTTTTTAAGAAAAATAATGCAATTGTTGCAGGGGGATGCATCCAAATGAAAGGGGGCACCGTTAAGGTTACCAACTCGAATTTTTCTAAAAACACGGCAGAGCATGGTCCAGTGATAGCGATCTCCAGCGGAACAGCGAAATTGATCAACGTCGTTTCTGGAAATAATTACGGATCTGGAACTCTTATTAACTCACTTGGTAACTGCACAATACACCCGGAGACCGTATTTACCCCAGATACTATGGAAATAGCTCTTAAAGGCAAAGGCGCTAAGTATCAATTCGTTGATGCTCATTTTGAAAACAAAAAAGGTGTTTTTTCCAATGAAATCTCAATTCCTATTGATTTCATCATAATAACACTGTTTGCTTTCTTGTCTCTGCTTATTATATTGTCTATTTTTAAGTTTACAAGGAAAGGAAGAGATTCAATAATTCCTTCCGCTTTACAATAGAAAAAAATTTTCCAAAATTATTGACGCAATACTAACAAAATTTAAATTGTTTGAATAGTTTACACGTATACAATATAAAATATCTTTATTTTTGATTTGTTTGAATTCTAATAAAATAAAAAAGTTTTAAACATATAATCACTGGAAATGTTTTATAATAGGCGAACAACTCTAATAAGTTAAAACAATTTTTCTATTATTGAGCTAGTAGTATATGATGCGGGTTTTGTGACTTTTTTTGTAAACGTAAGAATTCATACAATATCGAGCGATTTTGTATCATTTTTTTTAACATATGAAGTAAAAAATGTATGATTCTTACGGTTTTTATTCTTACGTTTTTGAATAAATCAAGATTTAAAAAATTTTCAAAATTGTAAGACATTTACACTCAACCCATACATAATGAAATAAAAAAAATAAAAAAAATAAAAAAATAAACTTTAAAAATTCATGTCTTACATTTTTGAATAATTTATTTTTTTAATTTGTATGAAAATGAGTGGATGCTCTTTCACCAGTTCTTGAAAATGTTAAACAAGTAGATGTTTATTTCGATGATTATGTAGAAAGTTTATATTATAAAGGTAAGTTTAATATTAAACTTATTGCTTTTGCATTTGATAATAAATTAATTGAAAATGCAAAAATTTGGGAATTAATTCCAGATATTGAATATATAACAAATATTAATGATAAATGGTTTAAACGAATTTCAACCACAAAAGTTCTTTGTAAATTAATGATCAAAACTGAGGAAAAAGAATTTAACGGGTTTAAATATCATCCAAATAAAGTTTCAGAACTAGAAAATGAAAAACTTCAGAAAAAATTAAACGATAGACTTTCAAATGATCGTATTGAAAAAAAAATAAACTAGCAGAAGTTGCATTTAATAATGAAATATTTGATGAATATAACCTTGAACTCAGTGATGAGCTTTAAGGACCCGGGCTCAACGAGTCATGATTTATGAAATCAATAATTTGATTTATTCGCTCTTCAATAATTTCTATTCTTTTTGTTAAATCATCAATTTTCATTAATGAGGTGATTCTTGATTGAGGAATAGATTTCAAACTAACCACTCCTTTTATTTTTGAAATTTTGAATCCATCAACTTTAAACATTTTATTCAATTTACATGTTGTCAATTCTTCAAATAATTTTTTATTATTAGCATAATAGTCATTAAATTCATCAACAGATGAAAAAATTTTTATTTCAGTAATTGGTTTAACAACGTTTATTTTTTGTTGAACATTTTCACTTTCATTTATTTCTTCTCCTCTGTTTCATTTATTTTTAAAATCGGTTTCATTTATCATTAAATAAAAATTAGAATATAAGTGATGAAATATATTTTTTAATTAATATTAAATCAGAAATGGCGGCAGGATTCTTTAAAAAATTATGGGATGGAATTAAGAAAGCTGCAGGTTGGGTTTATAAAAAGGTTATTAAACCTGTTGCAAACTTTTTGGCACCAGTAGCGAAAACGGCAGGAACTATCATAGGTGGAGTATTAGGTACTAAAGCAGGTAATCCGGCGATGGGAGCACAAGCAGGTAACGCAATTGGTGGAATTGCTGAAGGAATACTTAATAAAATAGGGGGTAAATAGTGGAAAAATAAAATTATTTTTATCTTAGTATTGGTTGTAGTCTTTGATAAACTTTTTCTCCTTTATTTAAATTTCTCTTATTGGGGCAGCTTTTGGTGTTATTGATTCAGCAACGTCACTAATTGCTTCTTTATTCTTAAATATCCAATTTGCTCCTTTCTTCATTGTTTCCCAAACTTTATGCGCTCCTCTTTTTACTTTATCCCACAGTTTCTTAAAGAATCCTGCAGCCATAGTTGATTATTTCATTAAAATTAAAAATTCATTTTCATATTTTAATTTTGATTTTTTATTTAATAATAAATGACGACTAACTATTTGGTGCCAAACACTAAACCATTAATGGAAATGTGTTTCATTCATTCGAAAAGATAAATGAAATATTCGCAAAGAATGACGGTAGAAGATATTATAGAGAACTTGAAAGTTCATGCTATGACTCTGATGCTCCATATTTTGATGATAAACAAACTCATTTAAGAATTACAAATCCGCTCATGATGTGAACCAATTAGGTGACACATATATTAAACGCAAAGTTAAAGCAACTCTAGTTTCAAATAAAGCTTTCACATGTGATGCCGCTTTTAAATGCATGCGTTTATTCGTTGGTTATAAATCATCAAATCAAAGCTTTAAACAATTAGAAGTAGAAACCGAAAGAGGTGATGCCGGTTATCTTCAGATGGATTGCGCCCGTGAATCTTTCGCATTTGCAACATATAAACCAAAATCAGAAAGGAAAGTTAAAAAGTTTGTTCATTCGTTATATAATAATGTTCAAAAATATGATAACTCAGTATGTGGTAAATATATTGACCCTTCAGAAGTTTTCAAGAAAGCAAATGAAGAAGTTGATATCACTTTTGATATGATTATTCCGGTAAATGATTTGTTAGCATTTCAGGCGTTCGATGATTATCCTAAATCATTTGGTGAAATCATTCTTAAATATTATGTTTTCAGGGATACTTTAGTATTTTGTCAGGTTGACCCGTTAAGAGTTGCTGATTTACAAAATTACGTTTATGAAAAGATAACTGATGAAAATTATGAAAAGATTATGAATCATGTTTATAAATATGATCGCAAATTCCAACAAATCGGACTTCCTACCAAATTAATTACAAGCTTAGCCGCTACATCTGCTGACGCAACAGTTGATGACGTTATTATTTCATGCACAAAGATGGAAGTTTTAGAGGATAAATGTATTACACCAGGATACGGTTTAATTGAAGAATCAGTTAAAGCAATACCACGTTTATTCAGTAAGGAAGATCCATTCATGATTCCAGCTCAACATATTGACGTTCGTTCACTAAATGGAGGTTGCATCACTCCTGAAGGTATTAGCTCAGATTTCTCATACGCTCTTCATAATGTTACAGATGTTGTGTTAGCATTTCCGAAGAATGCAATGCAAAGAACAGTTTTAGAAAATCCAATGCTTCGAGGTCTTCAGGTCACTATAGATTCCAGAAACTTCCCCGATCAAGCGATGACCACAGTGGGTGACATATTCTTTACACGTATGCTTCAAGCTTCTGATTTAGATGGAGTGAATGAATGCACAGAAATACGAGGACTCATTAACTAGACCACTGAATGATGATGATGGCACACCATTAGCTAGAACATGGAAAGACCAAACTTCATTCTTATGCACTATTCCAGTTCAACGTGATGGAGCGGGTATATTCTTTGATGGATTAGAAACTTTCAACTCACAAGTTACAGTACAAGTGAAAGCTTATCCAATCATTCAGGGTGTAAATGACACTTACTGTTCAAAGGTGACAAATCCTCCTCAGGTTTGGTTTACTAGGACTACGTATTGGACATGGACACCGGATGAAGGTTTGAAATATCATCCAACAGGTACACCACCACAGTATAGAAGTTCATATGATGAAATATTGATGAATAGAAATGTATAAAATTATAAATTTATTTTTGATTAAATGGATTTAAATTCTGAAGAATTAGCGGGAGTATATAATACATACGTAGATGATATGATTAATGAAGCATTGAGTGATAATAGAAATGCTCTATCTAAGGAAAAATTAATGAAAATTCCATATTCTGAATGTTACTTAAATTCAATCACTGCAGCAATTGGTAAACAAAATAAAGGTAAAACATTAACGATATTAAAACAAATTATCATTATTGCTAACACTTCCCCCATTCACATGTGTTAATTTATATCAACCGTTCAGGTTCACCTTCAGATGATACATTTGAATCTTTAAAGCATTTAATCAAAATTCCAATTATTTATTTATCACAAGAAGAAGCAGAAGATTATTTAAAAAACTTTTTAATGTATAAAGAATTATATAATACAATCAAGAAGCAAGGATTAGAGGATAAAATTATTGATAAACAACGGGATGAATTATTTGAAACACTTTCTATTTCAAATTTTGATAGAGAATTTTTGCATTCACTCATTTTTCTAGATGATGCGGTGAAATCAAAACTAATAACAAATGAGAAATCATATTTTAATCAGTTATTAACTCAATGTCGACACATTCAGTGTTCATTCTTCATGGCTGTTCAATACTTCAAAGCATTAAGCACAAACATTAAATCAAATCTATCAACACTTTTCATTTTCAGTGGTTTTAGTCGTCAACAGTTGAACGTTATGCTTTATCAAGTGAATTTACCAATGAGCATTAATGAACTTTACACACAATATCAGCAATTAGGTGAACATGGAAAAATAATAGTTGATTTAAATAAAGGATGTGTTAAATTTGATTAACTTTTTATAATTAATTTTTATTTTTTATTTATAATTAAACATGACAGAAATAGCAAATCTTTTACAGGTTCCATTAAAACAAGGGACAAACAAAAAGGGGTGTGTGTATAATAGAACTATGAAAGTTCCAGACGGAATGAAAGAATTAGTTCATATTGTTGCTGGTCTTCAAAAAGATGTTAAACAAATGAGAAACGTTTTAACATTACCAGAAGCTCAAGCATATGCCAAACGTCATGGTCCAAATTGGGAAGCACATGAAGCAGACATTACAGGTCCAAATGGAAAACCTGATGGTATAAATGAAGTTTTCGTTACTGATGGTCGAGGTAATATTAAAGTCATAAATGGTTACAAATTAACTGTATCTGATTATCCTAAACGTAAAGCATATAATGAATGTTATCCTATGCAATTTGATGAAAATGGAAAAGCTGTTAAACAATACATTGGAGAAGGTGAACATGGTCCAATTAATTCATACCGTCATAATCCATATTCTTATTTCAATGAAGAATTAAACGCTATTGAAGAAGGACCGGATGGATTACCACGATATGTTAATCAGTTTGATGGTCAATATGCAAATTTGAGACCTGAAATTCCAGCTAAGAAATTCTTTAAAGTTGCTTTATTCGATCCAGTGTTCAATGAACAGAAAGAAGCAATGAAAGCAGAATTTAAACCAATTCAAGTGGCAAGAATTTCTTCATCTTCACTTGCAGAAGCGTTCAAGGAATTGATAAAGAAACCACTTTATTCTCAACAAGGTTATAACTTTGATTTAATTAAAGAAAGTGATAGACGTAAATTAGAAAAATCAGATGGTTTTAAGAATGCATGTAATGAAATGATTAAAGATATTGTAAATGATAAAATAAGACTGGAAGAAACTCAAAGCAATATCAATAACATAATTGGTGCAGTTACAAAGAAAGTATAAGCAAACAATGATGAACCTTGGGATATTACCGTAACAACTAAATAAAACTTTAAATATATTTTTCTTTTTTTATTCAATTATAAATGAGAAGACGTTTCACAAGTCAAAAGAACACTAACGCAAAAGCAGAGATTACGGTTGGTTATAACGTAAATGATGATAAATCACGAATTATTCAAAATGTTAAAGTTAATGTTAGCCCTGAATTAACAAGGTCAGCAACTCAACCAAATTTATTAACTCGTGACTTACCGAAGAATGAGGAGAATGAAGAAAACCATGAGAATGGAGACCCAATCATTTTATCTGAACCCGGTAAAGAACCTGTTGAAATCCCCACATATCCAACATACCCCCACCTCTTTCATCAAACATCGAGAACCCAGGAATATACGATTCCAGTCGCAATGCGCCATATAAAATAGACATTAATTCTGAATTAATGAAAATTTACCGTGATATAATAACTGATAATTATGATTCAATAATAAATTTAATTGATCAATCCGGTTTAATTATTTTACCTTATGAATCATTAATTCACATTATCGCCATTCTTTGTGATGTTCAAGATTCAGACGTTAAGATTCAATTTTTCATAGATGATGAGGTTTCATGCTGCGGAACAGTTGCAAAAATAAATCCTATAAAGGATATTAGCACAATTAAGATATCAAAGAACGGAACAACAACTGAACTTCATTTAACATATAATGATATTTATAATAAAATAGTTGATGAATATAAAATATCACTTGAAAAATTCTTTGTTAAGGCATTTAATATTCAAGCATTAACATTATTGAATAATAATCCTTTGAATCATAATCAATAATAATTGACCTTTCACCAGTTTCTATCGTTTGTTTTATTTCTTTTTGTTCCCCACTATCTGGATCGGTCATTGTAATTGTTTTTGTTATAGTATCAGCTTTATCTTTAACTTCAATCTTTTTTCCATCAGGATATTTAAACCAAAATTCCAAAAATTCGATATTGTCAATCTGTTCATATTTTAATCTATCAATTACATTTTTAATACCATCTGAAAATCTTATGAAATGGTCATTATATGGGTTTGATTGAACTAAATTTGAATGAAGTGAAATATAACCCGATGATGAATATGACATTGACTCATATTTTCTGAAAACACTGAAATTTATAACATGAATGAATTTCTTATTCGTTGAATTTATGAATTCTTGAGGTAATCTTATTCTAGTTTTATTTATCACTGGAAAATAACGCTTTACCATATTTTTAATCGTAATAAAAATGTCAATTATCAATATTATTTCGAATAATAGTTGTGAATTAAATTTAACAGTTAGCGGAATTTATAATGTTACTCTCGTTTCTGTGAGTGGTAAATTTAATCCCATTCTTTTAGACCCTTCAGATTATATATCATTTATTAAAGATGACCTTGAAAAAACGTATGATATGTATATAAATAATGTGATAACGAAATGGGATATTAACACAATTTTAAGTTATTTAAATGAATCATTTATCGTTTGGTATGAAGAAAATTTTAAATCAAAACCTGATAAACTTTTTGAACTTGATGAAATAAATAACCTTATTAAATTCCCGCTGAAAATTAAATTTTGTACTCCTCATCTTCGTTCATTGTTGGGGATATTAAATTTTGAAAAAGATGTTGGGGATGTTTTGTATTCTGACACTGGTTCCAATTTCATTTTAATCAAATGTGATAAAGTTAATACCCCAATGAGATTTTCACATCAAACATTAGACCCTAACTCTTACCCATCAATACAAAACATTTTATCCATCAACTTAAACATATTTTCTTTATCATATCCGTTTCAATTATCCGGGAATTCATTTATTCTTCATTCAAAAGATTTATCAAATATTAAATTTAGATAACTGACCTATTTGATTGTGATTTAGAATTTATGAATGAAATATTATGGCAATTTCAAATAGAAAAAATAGCTGATGAGATAACAGATTAAATATTTATTTTTAAATCATAATAAATGATTAAACAACAGCAACCACAGCAACTTAAGGCACAGACCATTACTTACGCCACATATGCATATAATTCAAAGACGGCAGAACAAACACAAAGGTTGAAATATGGAGATTTGGAGATAGTATTGAAAAATGACCATTTTGAATTCGTTTGCAAGGGTGGTGCAGTGATATCAAATATAAAAGAAATTTTATTTATGAATTCTAAAATTAAAGGTATAACGGATGATATAACATCAATTCCACCAGAAGAACAAAGATATTACGCATTAAATGCATTTCCTAAAGTTTTGAAGATTGGAAGATTTAATTTAAATGAGGAATTCATAAAAGGTTTCCTAAATGACATAATGAAGAAAGCAGATAAGGAATATGTGGTAAGTGAGTTAATGAAGAAGGCAAATTTGGTTTATGTTGATGAAAAAGATAATGAAATTAAAGAAAAGGTTGAATGGTATCATGAATGGACATTTGAGACTTTTAAAGTTAAAGCTGATACAGAATGGGTTTCAGGATGTTTAGACCTTAAAGCAGATAAAACTTATGTTAACGATGAGTTAGAGAAGAAAGCAGATAAGGAAAAAGTTATTTCATTCATTAATACTGAGTTAATGAAGAAAGCTAATATATCATTTGTTAATGAAGAAATAAAACAATCAGAGGTCTATTTTACTCCACCATTTTTAAATTTTATGAAATCATCAGATAAAACCTTTGATATAGATTCTTTTGAATGGATATGTTTCGATGGAGTGACCATGTATTTATTTTATACAGCTGGAGTGCTTTATTATTTTAAAACAAATGATTTTAAAAACTATGAATCATTTACTCCATCTGTTTTGAATCCTGATACACGAAAGCCAATCATTAATCCAAGAATTTTATATGTTGAATATAATAACGGTAAATTTATGGGAATGATAACGGTTGGAGATGATTTTTGCCCTTGTTATTCATTCGATTGTATCCAATGGTTCAAATGTAATTTAAATCAAGATGCTAAATTTAAATATTCAAATAATCCTATTAGATGCGTTAATAATAAATGGGTACTAATTTATGAAGTCAATCAAATTTTCATTAGTGAGGATGGGATAAATTATTATATGTTTAGTATGATGTCATCAGATTTGAAAATTGATTATACAAGTAAGTGGTATTACATTAACAACATGTATTTTATCCTACAAAATGATAAAATTTATAGATCATCTTCAATACCACAAGGTCAATTTGAACAAATTTTTCAAGCTGATGGAGACATTGAAGCTTTATGTTATGGATCAAATGTTTATGTTCTCGTTTCAGGTGAAATGGTCTATTCATATCCTGTAAGTTATAACAGACATATTTATTTATCACAAGATTTATCAAATTGGGAATTGGTTTATTCATTCACTCCAAAACTTACTCGAAATTATAGATTTACAAATTTATTTTATATTGATGGGTATTTCATTGCTTTAGGATGTGGTGATTTAGTAAATATCAGTAGTGATGGAAGAAACTGGTCTGAAATCACAAAATTTCAAGATGTTAGAAAAGCAATTTTCAAAAATAATACGTTAATATTGATAACAAGACCAGTTTTAAATACTCACCCAAATTCAATATTATATAATAAATTCAATATTCATAATGGATTAAATACAATTCTTGAGATGATTTACCCCATTGGTTCTTTATATATGTCAATGAATTCAACAAATCCGGCAACAGTTCTGGGTTTCGGTACGTGGAAGCAGATTGTAGATAAATTCTTATACTGTGCTAACTCTTCAAAGCAAACAGGAGGTTCGAAGAAAATTACTGAAGCAAACCTTCCACCGCACACTCATACAGGAACTACAAACACAACAGGTAATCATTCACATTCAATAACAAAAAGAGGTTATAGAAATCTTGCAGCAGGTTCGGATAGACAGGGAATGGATAGATATGATATTTCAAGCGACCCAGTAGATTCAAGCGCAGGTATTTTCTGTGGAACCACAGGAAATCATTCACACACTTTCACAACAAATCCAACAGGCTCGGGTAAAGATTACATGCCACCATTTATGACTGTATTCGCATGGTATAGAGTTCAATGAACGCTCAATGTTTGTGAAACAAACTTTAGAACGGACTGAAAGTCCTGAGCTCCAAAAGAGCAAACGGCATAATTTAAATTTTTATTTTAGTATAAATGAAGATTCTACAAGCTCAAAATTTACCACGAATCATAACAAGGGAGGAAATGATAAAAATGATGCAAGAACATGTTAAAAATAACAAACCACTAAAACTGAGAAAATGTGGTTATGCAGTAATGATGGAAAGAGAGATGTTGTCGAAGAGGAATAAAAATTAAATTTGGATTGAGTTTAAAAATTCATCTTTATTAAATTCATCTCTCCAACCAATTTATTTATTCTATTAAATTCTTTTATTTTTACTTCACTCAGTTTAAGGATTGAACGGTAAGTTTCTAATTTTTTCGATTATTTCTTTATCGTTTTCAACCCCACCGCATTGTGGCTTCTTTTTGTAATAGCATATTTTGATTTAATCTGTTTAGTTTCTTTTATATTCATTGTCTGGACTTCTTGACTGCTTTGTTGTCACTCATTTCTTACGAAATAAAAAAATTAAATATTATTTAAATATAATGGAGTAATAAAATAAATCGGAATTTCTATTAATTTCTTGTTAACCTCAACTAATGCATTGCCGTTAATATATCTAACAAATTCAGCTATTGTGTCAAATCTTCGTCTTCTTTTTTGTCATTGATTTATCAGTTTTTCCATAATCAAGATTGAATCAAAACTTTATCCCCCTGTTTAAAATTCATGAGCCCCGAATTTAATTTGTTCACGTTTAACATCATTCAACCTTTCCATTTGCTTTCTAATATATTCCCATTCTTTTGAAATATCATTTTTCATTTCCACCGGTTTCATGTTTATTGTTCTATGCCATGTATTATTGTAATAATATACTAACTGCTGTATGATGGAGTCATGATTTCCATCCCAGTATATCTGACCGTTAACCCTAACGCATCTCTAAGAGTTCTCATTACCGCATCAACTATTTTATTATGAAACGTATATGGAGAGGATGAAAAGTAAAAATTAATTTGTGGGAAATAATGAGCCATAGCTGCCTGAAATCCTTTATCACCATCACCCTGATATTATCTACTCTTTCATGATCAAGTAAGTATTGAATAGCTCTTCTTGTTTCCTGTTCTGTTTTCCCTTTCACCGGAATGCAATATAAATATCTAGTGTTAATGTTAATGGCAAATAAATAAGTAACGTTTCCTTTTGAATATTCTAAATGATCGATTTCGTATGAATATGGATATGGAGCAAATGAAGGGCGACTAAATTTTCCTTTAACGGTTGAATTTTTGGTCAATTGGTTTATTTAATATCTTGAAATCCTTTTTAAAATCTTTTTGTTTCTTTAATGTTTGAAATGGATATAATAAAGTGAATGATGAAGGATTAACTGAAGGAGGAGGCGGTTTTGGTGTTGCAGGTACTGTCGTTAGAGGTTTTGGTGTTGCAAGTGGTTTAATTTTATCTGCTTTGATTTTGGATGATGAAGTTTTGGAATTCATTCCTTCCTTCATTAATTCTGGATGTATTCTATTCATTTGTTTTAAATGCTGTATATAAAGGTTTAATATACTTTCCCGCTTCGAGTTTATGTTGAAGGATGAATTCCAAAAGTTGATCTTCATTTAAAGTCGGGCTGAATATGGTTTAACTAATGAATCATAAATTAAAGCTTGTGCTTCATTTATGGTCTGAAGGACCTGGGCGTTTTGCACCTTTTGTTTTTGCTCCTTTTGCTTTTGCGGCTCAGGATTATATAATTTATATAATTCATCAATATCTTCTTCTGTTAATACTTTATTTTTAAAATCTTTCAATTGTTTAAGTTGTGATTTAGTTTTTCCCTTTGAATATTCATTATTTTTAATTTTGTCTTTAATTTTAGAAATTATTTTATTATGATATTTCAAAATTTCATTTTCATAATATGGATAATAATATTCCATATCATCACCCGTATATATTATTATATTTTTTGGAGATATGATTTTAATTCATAATAACTAAGAATTTTTGATTAAGTACTAAATCATCAATTAAATTTTCTAAATCTGAGTTATCCATTTATATAAAAATAAAATAAATGTTTTAAGGGTACCCACCTCTTTGAATCATAGTATCAAAAACATCATTAACGGTTCCTTTTGTCTCTTCTGTGGCATTTTATTAAATAAATGGCATACAACATCCATTTTCACAACACACAGCCTTAGTGTGTGCTCCTGTTAATGCAGTCTTACCAATTGTTAAGCGAGTCATTGACCCATTTTTAAGTTGTAAATTAATATTCTGACCATCAAATATCACTTATCATTTATTATTTCCAAATAATTTTTAGGTGTTAATTGTTTATTTTGTCGTAAAACTAACTCCTTTCATTTTTTGTGCAATCTTTTTAAAATCACTTCCATCAATTGAACCGTTGAATGATGTATAACACTTGGGGCATAAAGCAACCATGTTATCACCTTGTTTCTCAATTGCTAAACCCAATAACTTCTTCTCATGTGCTTTTTCTTCAGCTTTATTCTTTAATTTAGGTTTAAATTTCTCATTAAAACAAAAGAAATCAAAAGGTGCGAATTTGTAAATGTTTTTATCATAAAATTGTTTATCAGTAACAATTGCTTGAAATGCTTGAGTGTTAGGAAGATTTGGGTCGCCAGCGATTGCCCAATAAGATGAATCAGTATCACCTTCAATGAAATGAAAACGATTAACATTCATGCATTTATACATAAAATCATAAATGAAAACCAAATACCAGTATTTGCGTTATCTAAAGTGAAGAATGCCTCTTGTAAACATGTATCACATCTATAAAATCTATCTTTAAGCATCACTTGATACGTATCTTCACCTATTTCTCTTATGTTTTTAAACTTATTTGACATACATGCAACGCGTGCCTTCTGTGCATTCATTATTTTAGTCTTTGCGTAATTTTGTGTATTCATTGCATCGTAACCATATGATCCATTAAGTGAAATCTTGCAAAATAAACTTTTTCCTTTATTTCCTTCTAATTCAGCCTTTTGTCTTTCGTTCATAAATTCGTTCGCAAATTCATTAAAGCAAGTGTTTTTTCGTAAATGTTAAAATTGATTGAATATCATCAATGATAAAATGAAATCTGTCTATTAGATACCAAAGATAATAAGAAGAAAATGGTTGATATTGGTTGTGTGTTGATGCTAACTGAGTTAATTTTCTCTGTTTCTGGTCAACTGGTAGATTGTTTGATTTCATGTAATTATACATAAAACTGCCAATTGTTTTTTCATCTGTGATAATATCTAAGTTTCTTATTATTGGTAAAAAGTTTATGTAATCATTAATGTATTTTTCATCAATGTGACCCTTTACTTCAGCCACGAATAAAGTATTTTTCTTTCTAATAATTCCCAGTGCTTTTGCTTTCTTTGTTGCTGTATCACAAATGATAACACCATTCAATCTTCCCGGCATATACATTTTATGGTCAGTATATTGAATGAAATCATGAGGATTAGATGAAAATGATGAAGGATATAATGAATTAAAATCAACTCCAACGAAATGAGTCATAATGTTGGTGGTGTCCTCATTTGATACAGTTTTAGTTTCTGGATTATATGAAAGTTTATTAATGTGCGTGATTCCTTTAAGATTAACACGATGTTGAACATTTGATAGACCACCAGTAATTCCATTACGGAGAATGTGATAAGCTTCAACTGAATCTAAAGTCATTGGTAAATTATTTTTTAATGTATAATTTCTTAAATTGATTCTTAAACGTTGAACATCTTCATCTTTATTTGATTTTACAACATTGCAATAACAACACATTAACTGACAATTTTCTTTGGTATGTGGTTTTTCATTATCGATTCTATCTAATGTTGGTTTATTAGCATATGTAAACGCTTTACCACACATTTTGCATTTAGATGAAAGGATTAAATCGTGATAGTATTGATAGTCATCCATTGAAACATTGTTTTTAGTATCCCTTTCTGCTTTTTCATCTTGTTTCTTATATGATTCAATTTTATATTTCCAATACTTTTTCGTTAATTCAAAACTTGATTCCACATTTTCTTCTTCTGGATATGTTTCGTTAGGATTGAAGTTCTTATATGCTAACGCGTAACGAATCATTGATGCATTCGATGATAAAGAAAGATTATGAAGCATGTCAATTTTATAAACAAATGTTTCTTCAATAATTTTATCAATTGGGTCAATCATAATTTCAACGTCTTTATTGCAATAATGAATAAAATATTCTAATCTATTCTCAAAATTTTTAGCATCATTGAGATATATTTGATAATCTGAATCGGATATAGTTTCTTGAGTTAATGCTGAATAAAATGAATCTTTCGTGAATGGTTCCTTTTTATATAATTCATCTTCGTAATTCTCCCATGTGATGAATTGATAAGGGAAAAAGGATTTAACACGTGATTTATTGTTTCCGAAATCTTGAGTGAATTGGTCTAATGTCCCACCCGCTATATAATTTCTGATGTCAATAAATCTTAATTCATATGGATAGTTTGTTTTCTTTACAATGATTTGCTTAAATTGTGAAGATGAACCCAGCATTGATTTTATTTTCCATTTTGCAGTGTTTAAATCACGAAGAATTAAATTTAAATCAAACTTTCCCGAATTAAAACCTATGATATTCACTTTATTAAATTCTTCATCTAGAAGTTCTTTAAATGCTTCCTTTTGTTTCTCATTTAATGTATGAGACAAAGTCCCCGCCGTTTGGTCCGTTTGCGGCTTCATTAATTCTTCATATTGTTCAATATTTGATTTAGCAACTAATGAACAGGTTGAAAATAAAAACTCAATCCAATCAGAAATAAAAGAATCACTCGAAGTTAAGCAAAAATTCCTCGTAAATGTTTTATCACGGTCTACGACCTCGCCGCTTTGCGGCTTTATTTTGACAGTTGATGATACCATAAATGGTTTTAAGATAAGCGTTCAAAGTTGCACATTCAGAAAGTTGAAGTTCTTCTTTAGTCTCTAATGTTTCGAAGTCAAAAGTAATATAATATCTTGTTGGTTTATAATATTCCTGCAAATTATGTGCTAATAGCCATTGATATATCTTCTGTTTCGTGATATGTGGTGCATATGGTTGTTGTGTGTTTTGCAATTGAACGTCTTGAATTAATCTTCCATTATTTTCTTTACATTTCTCACAATGTTTTAAAAATCTTCTTTGGTTTTTCCTTTCTGGATCATCACGGATAGAATATACTTCTTCTTTGCAAAAGGGCAAACTTTATATCCTGTGAGTGCTTCAACGTCTGTAATTCTGTCAGCGTGAAGTTTTCCACATGGACTCTGTGTTAATAAAATATTTACTGTTTCAAATTCTGGATCTATCATTATTGATTCCACTAATGGAAAGTCTACCTTATTTATGTCTACGTCTTCTGGTTGAGGATCACAATAATAAAAATCAATATTAACGTTTAACATTCTTGCTAACCTCTCACTTTCTGATGAAATGGCAAACCCTTCATATGCATCTATTGCTTCGTTTAAATAGCTTCTACGAGTTTTAGGATTAACACCATCAGGAATGTTATAGAAGCGTTTAAATAACCTTCTACCTTCTGCTCTAATTTGATTATCATTCATTTTAGCTGTTTCGTTTTTGTTCATTTATGTAAGAATAAAAAATTAAAAAATAAATAAAAATAAAGTTTATTTTTTTAAAGTCCGAGACTCAGAGAGTCCAGGGCTAAAGTCCATAAAATGAATTAAGAACACATAAATTTTTATCATCTGCGACGTGACGAATACATTTTAATTTACTCAAGAATGCGTACCTGATACATTAAATCTAATTCCTGTCTTATTTAATTTCACAACTTTGAAAAGGAATGTATGAATAGCTATAAAATGATGAGATGATGTTTTATGGGTTGCTTCCATTTTTTCTGAAATAAATGAATAAATATAATGTTTATAAGTTTTCATATCTTTTATGTTCTTAATAACGAATGGTATAGACCTTTCAACTTCGTCTTCCTTCGGTGCTGTTCTTTCATATGAAACATTATTGGTATCTTCAATAATGAAACCACAATCGCATAAAATTTTATATGTACCAATTGTTTCTTTTGATATTTTATCTAACAAATCAAAAACTTTATCAACACCTGTACATTTATTTAAATAATAATTTGTGTAAATATCATGGTCTTCTTTCTTAATCGTATTTGTTGCATATGTTACATTTTTCAGTGCTTTTTTGAATTTTTCAGAATCAAGAGGAGGTGAAAGTAGGATACAGGGGTATTCTTCATTATCAATAAATTGTAACTTATGTTTACGAATAAATTTAGTACCTTCTTCTGAAAGTGTTTCGTCTATTTCACCATCTAATAAATTTTGTGTTGATTCTGAGACATAATTTTTATATCTTTCTTCATGAGATTTCTGAACTGCTGATTCTGAAGCTGGGATATTCATTAAACCCTCTACTTCATTTTCATTATATTTTTCAACTTCTCTTAATTCCTTAATTTTTTCATCTATTTCATCTCTTATTTTTTCCAGTCTTTCAATTTCATCATATTCATCATCTTTAATCCGTTCTTCATAATATTCAGGGAAAACATCAGGTTCTTTAGGTTTTTCTTCTTCAGATGTGGGATATAAGAAATTTATAACATCATCTTTATTCATTTTTCCATCATAATCAAACTCATTTAAAAACTCCGCGAATTTTTGACAATTTCTTAAATAATATTTATTAACCTCATAACCCGCCTCCTCTAATATATCCTTTATTTCCTCATTTGTGAATCCTAATTTTTTAACGTTGTTAGTTTTGACACTCATTTTCATACAAATTAAAAAAATAAATTATTCAAAAATGTAAGACATGAATTTTTAAAGTTTATTTTTTTATTTTTTTTATTTTTTTTATTTCATTATGTATGGGTTGAGTGTAAATGTCTTACAATTTTGAAAATTTTTTAAATCTTGATTTATTCAAAAACGTAAGAATAAAAACCGTAAGAATCATACATTTTTTACTTCATATGTTAAAAAAAATGATACAAAATCGCTCGATATTGTATGAATTCTTACGTTTACAAAAAAAGTCACAAAACCCGCATCATATACTACTTGAGCTTAAGACTTATTTTTATTCATAGTAATTCGAAATATTTATTGCATACTTAGTATTAAGCCCATATGAGTAATGATGCTTAAATATATGAAAAATAGAATATCGACAACAAATATCATTGATAACTGAACAATACAAGCAAAATAATTGAGATCATACTATATTCTGATTAGATTTTGATTGGCAAAGCATGAAACACAATTATTTTTTTGGCTTATTTTATAAATTTGCAAATAAACCAGTGAAAACAGAGTTTTCTTTTATTAAATCAATTATCAAATATTTTTCTTCATTTTCTCTGTTGGCTATGTCCTCTCATCGTTTAGAAAAAGAATAAAAATGTTTCGTTCTAAGCCTAAACCTTGTAAAATTAACCCAGAAGAGATACCACAAGAATTTTATACATTTGCAGAATTCTGCGACAACATGTTTAAATGCGATATTAATATGATTCCTGAGCTAAATAAACAATTAGATTATTATATCGAAAATCACTACCTGAACAAAGATGCAAAATATGATATGTTAGATCAGATATCATATGCATTTGCACTTTACATGCCAAAATCAATCGAATTCATTAAATTAATGTTCGAAACAAATAATCTCGATAAATCGAACCTTAACGAGCAAAAATACTTATTATTATTCAATCTTTTCTATCTTAATGAGCATAAAAGAGGCGAACACGAATTTTTTTCTTCAGATGAAAATACTAGAGAATTATTACAAACATTTCACGAGCCAGGCTCACTCCCATACCTTATTATTACTGATAGTATCGATGAATTCATCAATGCAACGTCAACAATACCAGATTTTGATTATAATCAAAAATTTCATTATCAAAGTCTAATTGACATTGCAGCACGCAGTGGATCCATTAACTGTTTCAAATACTTACTTTCCGATGGTGCAAATGTAACAAAAGAAACTCTTCAGAACTCATTTGCCGGAAATAATTACGAAATCATTCACATTCTTGAAGAAAAGCACACACCAGATGTATATTGTATGAACAATGCCATAAAGATCCATAACAACGAGCTTATAACATATTTGATTGACAAATACAAGCTGAGAATCCAATATGACAGATGTGCCAATTTCTTCAATGTTTCTGCTTTTCTTCAAATGCTTTCTTTGGCCAAGAACGCGAATTATCTTGATAGAGAAGGGAATTCAATATTAATACAGATTACAGGTATCGGAGCTGTTCCTATTATGAAGTTTTTAATTGACAAAAATGTGATATTGACATTGCAAATGAATGGGGACAAACAGCAGCGTATTTTGCAATTTTTAAAGAGAATGAAGAAGCTTTGAAGTTACTTGTTGATCATGATTTCTCTGATTACATTGAAGTTGATGATGCTTCTCTTTTACACCATGTTTGCAAATCAGGAAATCTAAATATGTTGAAAATTACTACAAGATAAAACTTATAGAAGTGAGTTCACTCCTGTTCATTTTGCAATAATGAGTGGTAATGCTGATATGGTTGCTTTTATTGTTGATAAATATGAAATTGATTTGGAAGAAGTTTATGAAGAAAAACCAGAAAATTTCCATGAAGCTGTTGATTTGATTGAAGATCCAACAGATTTCATTATTTTCTTTGTTGATAAGGGTTATAAGTTCTTTGATGTAATAGATATGGTAGGAAACAGAGCAATGGTTTCTTGTATTACAAAAGGAAACCTTGAAAAAGTCAAGAAATTGGTTGAAAGAAAAGTTCCTGTTGATCAAAAGAATGAAGATGATTTTGCACCGCTTTTCGTTTCTTTGTTGAAGAATCAGACAGAAATTGCGAAGTTCTTAGTTGAAAGTGGTTGTATCTACAAGGCAAAGGCTGTTGGAGGATTGACACCACTTCATCATGCAGCACAAAATAATAATCTTGAATTAGTTAAGTTTTTCGTTGAAAAAGGAATCAGAGTTAATGAAATTGATTTCAGGGGAAATTCTGCTTTAGATCTTGCAAAAGAAAAAGGATATAAAGAAATTGTTGATTTCCTTTTATCACAAAGTGCTTCTGAAGATGCTAAGAGTTTAGAAGAGAATAAATATAGTTTGGAAAAAGCTCTTCATACTAAAGATGATGCAATGTTTATGCAAGTGATGGAAACTGAAGGATTAGATGTTAACATGATGATAAATGGAATGTCATTGATAGAAAACTGTTTTTACAATGAAATGCCTGATTCCATAGCTTATTTAATAAAGAATGGTGCAGAAGTTGATTTCAATAAAGAATTTATTGATGTGATAAATAAATTTTGATTGATTCATTTATCACATCTTCTTAAATCTGTGCTATCATTTTTAATGACAAAAGTTTTCTCAAAATTTTCTGTTTTTCGTATTTTTTCATATGTATCCTTTAAAAAAATTGGTTCCTAAAATCAAGTTCACTCAAGAAGAGGATGATCGACTTATTGAAGTTATTGAACGTCTTGGTACACGAGATTGGGAAGGTATAGCTCAAGAGATGAAACACCAAACTCCACGTCAATGTCGCGAACGATGGAACAATTATTTATCACCATCTATCACTAGCGATCCATGGACAAGTCAAGAAGACGAACTACTTGATTCACTTTATGACGAGTTTGGTTCTAAGTGGTCAAAAATTGCGGAATATTTCCCCAACAGATCAGCAAACGGCATTCGAAATCGATATAAATTACGTCAAAGAAGAATTCTGAAAGAAAAGAAAAAAGCCGAAAAATTATTAAAAAATAATCAAAATAAAAATCATGAATCAAACAAGAATGATATCAAAGGGAACACTGATATCTCTGAAAAATCAATTGATGAAATTCTCTTGAAAAAGAATGAAGATTTATATTCATTATTTGAAGATGGGACTGATCATTATCAGATCTTTTTTGGAACATGTTCTTAATAATACATTATAGACCTTAGCAATTCGTTATAGATTTTGTTTTTTGTAAAATTCTCTAAAACTTTTGTAATTTAAAGGGTAATCTAGCTCAATGTTTTCAGCATCAATTATTTTAACATCGCCGTGATTAAGTTTCGAAAAAAATCAAAAATAAATCAAAATTCAGAAATTGGGTTACTCTTTGTTTTAAATCATACCATACAAATATCTTATTAGTTATCAATCATTCAAGTGGGTTAATTGAAAAATATCCATTATTGATGTTGACGATCATTATTATTTTCTTATTTTCCTTTATAAAATTAATCCGAATTATAGTATAGATCATCTTCGACCATTGATCACAATTTATGGCTCATTTTTAAAATAAATTATATTTTTATTTCAAAATTGTGAAATTGTTTCATTCGAAATATGTAACTATAACATTTTATTGCATGCGAGTGTTGCCGTTCTTTGAAATATGGCCAATTATACTTACATCATCGTCATCATCGTGATAAGAAACGAAATCATCAATTTCGCCTATTCCATCATCGGCTATAATGTCTCCGAAGAACTCAACTTTATTCAAACAGAGGCATGGAGGCTCTCCTGGGCAAGCTTCTGTTTGGATAATGCTGAAATACTTGGCAGTATAAGTTTCCGAGAGCTGGTAAGTTTTTTCGGCACAATACTCCATCGATTCGTCTTTATCTACTTTATGCACGTCTTTCCAGGTCTTATTATCGTTGGAAATTTGCAAAGCCCAGCTGTAAAGGCAACATCTTACACAATAGCTTAAGTCTTCACAGCAGCAGCCATCATAGCAGCATCCAGCACGCAAATAGTACTTTTCTAACTTAATTTTAGCTTTTTCAAGTGAAAATATAATCCAAGGGAAATCTGTTGATGATCTTCCGCAATTTGAACACCAGTCATAACTTTTATCAATCGGATCAATGGCGTATTCTGGTTTTGTTAATTGAATACTGCCATTTATGTACTGTTTTGATGATCCACTAGCAGAAATAACAATTTTATTTTGTGAGTGAACTCTCTTGAATATTGCATTTGATTCTGTTATCGAAATTGCCAATAATATAAACATTGCAAGAAATTGTCACTTTTTTAAATCCGAAAGTTGTAATTTTCACTCAATCACAAATTCCGGTAAAAATCTTCTGGTATCAAAGTATTGTTGAACAAACTTTATAGAGAATATTGAATACCACATTGCACAACATAGAGCGCATAGCTAAAAAAGCCAAAAATTCAACAAGAGCTCCTGCTAATGCTTCATTTTAAAATTATATAAATTTGAGATTTCATTTTTTTTTTGCGAAACAATTCTTTCGCAATATATGTTGAAAAGTACTATATATAGTAGAGTTAAGAGTGCATTTCAATAAAGCACTAAGAAATGAAGAGAAATGAATAGTTCTGAAAGCAATTTAAATCGAGATTTACCATAAAAACTTTCACAATAAAGTAACTTTCATTTTTTTTGTTGATTTGTTTTGTCACTTTTTAATGGAAAGTTCTCTTTTAAGGCAAATCTTTAAGAAAAGAGAGAAAGGCCTTCCAATTAAGAATGAAGAAGAGGAAATTGCCAAAAATGTAGAAACATTTTGCCATGATCCAAGCTTTTTTGATTTGCCTCTTCATTCAATTGCGAGCATTTTGAATTACCCACAGCCAATCAAAGCAGAGACTATCAGGCATATAGTTTCAACTGTTTCCAAACGAAATGGATCATCATCTGTCATTCTATTGCGTTATTTCACAATTGCCGATCCAACATTTGATAATATCATTGATATTTTGAGCAATATTCGAGGATGCCCAATTTTCGAAAACTTAAGAAGAATTGTAAGCAATCAAACACAAAATTTTGATCAAGATTTGGAAGATGAAACAAATAAAATTGATGAAAATAAAGGAATCAAGTATATTGATAGCAGTAACAAACAAAATGGAGAGAACTTGCATGAACAAACACAAAAAATTGAAAATAAAAAAGAAAATGAAGAAGATTTTGATTCTTTGAATGATGTTGATATCAGCAATCGATTGTTAGAGAAATACGATGACAACATTAAGATTAGAGGTTACATTGAAGATATTGTTTTCACAGAAAACCATCAAAACAAAAATTTATTATCAAAAATGAAAGATCCGATTTTCTCAGATTATGCATATCAATGCATTCTTTATGCACAGAAGATCAGACCACATTCACTTTTATATCTTAAATTTCTTCTTGAATTGCTTCCTTTTGATCCTCCAGATTATTTATCATTATCTGTTGAAAAATTCGAAAGATCGTTCATTCAACCATCAAATCCAATTGAAAATAAATTAAATCAACCAGATAATGATCAATTTGAAGAAGAAATTTCAAATCATAAAAATAATTTAGAAGAAAATCAAAGTTTAGATGAAATTGATGATGAAAATAATGAATTTGTAATACAAAATGATGAGAATAGCGAAAATTCAATTGAATCTCAAGTTAAACAAGCAATTAAAAGTGATGATTTAGAAACTCTTAAGGAAATTTTAACAAATAATCTAATTGTTTCTGTTTATTGCAAAGAAACAGATTCCAAGATCACTCCTCTTTGTTTAGCAGCTTTCTATGGATCTTCTGAATGCTTTAGATACTTGTATTTGAATAGTAAACAAGAGATAAACGAAAGATTAGTAAGATATGCAATAAAAGGCGGAAATTATGACATTTTTAACATTTGTGCAAACAATGGCTTTGATTTTCATGGTTTTGGCAAAACTGCAGCTAAATATCATAGGAACGACATTCTTTCATGGATACTTACTAACTATGGATTTGAAAAAGTTCCTCCAAGTACTTGTATAAGTTCATGTAACACTCCTGCTTTGTTTTACTTTTTAAAGAAATTAGGCGTTGATTATACTGATAAATATGGTGAAAATTGTTTTACGAAATGCTGCTCAAGAGGTGAAATAGATATTGTTGATTATTTATATTCAAAGAAAGCGAACATTGAATATAGAAACTCATCAGGGCAAACAGGCCTTTCCATTGCAAGTGAAAATGGTCATATTGAAATCATTAATTACTTGATAGAAAATGGAGCAAATTTAGAAAATAAAGATAATTATGGAAGAACTCCTTTAATAGTTGCAAGTGAGAATGGTCAAGTACATTCTATATTGGCATTACTTGAAAATGGTGCTGATATAGAAGCACAAACTATTACTGGAATTACTCCTTTAATTAGTGCTGTAATTAGAAATAAAAAAGAAGCGGTAAAAGTGTTGATTGAACATGGCGCTGACCCTAATAAGACTGATAACATAGGTAAGTCATCATTGGTAAGAGCAAAAGATCCAGAAATTCTGGAAATTCTCAAATCAAAATTAAATCCTTAGATTCTTTCTTGTTTTTTAATTATAAAAATATACAATATGTTCTATTTTAAGTTAATTTCATCGAAATCTTTATGCGTTTTCGTTATGATTTCATTTTTCACGCAAAATTTCAATAGTTTACATTTCGTTGTTTACATCTAATAATACTTATATATATATTTATTAAAAAACATAAAAAGCCTATCCAACCAATTCTCTTCTCAAAATTTTGAACTCTTTATCAGCTTGATCTGAAAATTAATTTTTGTTTGAAAAGAAAAGAAAACATTAATATATGCCGATAACAATTATTTATTTGTCACTTTTTGAAAAGTTTTACTATGTTCTTCTTCTTACGATTGGCATACTCAGAAAACACAGCTGTCTTCAAAAGAGCATATCCTGATAATAGAATAATCATTTATGCTAGCGGATCATCAAGCCAGTACATAAATGACAGTTTACAGATGACAAAGCCAGAATTTACAATAGATCAAGTAGAAAAGACATACGATTGGTGCTCACAATGTAGCTCATCATATACAGACTATCCATGGATCACTTTCTCACTGAAAGATGCCAGATTTCACATTGATAAATACTTACTTAGAGCAGGATGCTGCTATGATGGCTGCTGTTGTCATGACTATGGGTACTGCGAGAGATGCTGTCTCTATAGCTGGGAATTTCAAATTTCAAGCGATAATAAAACTTGGACTACAGTTCACAAAATGGACAGAGATTATTCAATGGAGTATTGCGCAGAGAAGACATTTGAACTAAAATAAAAGTGTTTGGCAAAATATATTCGAATAATACAAACAGCACCTTGCCCTGGAGAAATGCCACGCATGGCTTTGAATAAAATCGAAGTTTTTGGTGATATTGTAGCCGATGATGGACTTGATGATATCGACGATTTCGTTTCTTTCCATGACGACGACGATGTCAGTATAATCGGCCATCTTGCAAAGAATGGAAATACAAAACTTACATAAATATTTTACATATGAATAAATTATACTGTTTATATATCAATAAAAAAATTATATTTTTTAAATTTAGTTTTACTTTCGCTTTCTAACCTAAATAAGATCATAGTTGAAAAATTTCCAAAATTTGAATTGTTCAACGAAGATAAAAAAAGGTTAAATAATATGATCAAAAACAATTTAATAAGTTTTACCATAATCCAAGATCAGAGATAATATAGAATGAAACAATGTTTCGGTTTTTAACGTTTTGAACAATCGGTTTTTGGTATTCGTAATAGTCTTGTGTTTCAAAAATAGAGTTGCATGAAGTTGTGAGAGAGTGATGTGGGAAGATTTCACAGAATCTGTGATATATGTAGTTGCCACTAACAAAAACATGCACGTTGTCGTTGAATGCAGATAAGAAAGAAGAGAAGTCGTATAAACCGCAGTATAAGACTTTGTTGACTGGTGTGTTGATGAATGAAGAAGATCCGATGTATGTCGTGTTCTTGCTGATGAAGAGTGTGTTCTTGATGTTAGACCTTCTTCATCAGCAAGTATACCTTGTCCAGCTAAAAACAACCTGTTGACCAACAGTTTTACATGTTTTTCCATCATCAATAGATCCATCCATGTAACGATAATCAAAATGTATGCGAATATTTGCCCAAGTTTCGGCTTTGAGGGATCTTTTAGATGGATAGTATTCTACATATTTTGTAACATTAGTCATTTCTTTATCATATGTGCACTGATGAATCATGTGCGAAATTAAGGCTAGGAGCATTTCAAATAATGAGATTGAAGGAAAATAAGATTTGAAATTATGAATTCAAACAATTGATAGGAAGGAAGTTTTGAATAAGTTACAGAAGTAATCATTAAAAATCTGTTGCCTAAGTATCAAATTTTATTGGTGGTTTTGTGACAAAACTTTCAGAAAAAAAAATTGAATACTTTAAACACGACCATATGCCATAAAATCTTCGTCTAATATTATTTGTTGTTTAATAAATTGAATATTATTCAATTATCTCAAAAGCCAAAAATTATTTTTATGAAGACTTTTCATAATGAAGATCGTTTGAACTTTTTCCAAAATAAAGCTTTGTTAAATCACTCTCAGAAAAAGTAATTTAAGGTTGAATTATGAGATATATTCTATAGAATATCCAACAAAATTGCATGCATTGTTGTGCGGTTTGAAGGTTGAATACAAATGCCTATAACGTTCCAATTTTTCTTATAGAAATATATCGATGTAAATCCAAAATAAGGATACATAGGCCAATCATATTAAAATATCACATCGATTGGCATATCTAATGTGCCTGTGTGAAAATTCAGTAGCGTAGTGGCTGGAAGCTCAATAATTATTTTATACGCATCTTTTGACATTGGAAATGCATACTATTTACGCTAAAATATTTTGTGAATATGTTCATCTTATCGATTAATAAGGAATGAATAGTGCTTCTAAATTTATCTGAAACTAGACTCAGAGAAAAAAAAACACATTAGCACAAGACTCTGATAAACTCATTGATACACAATCTGTTGTTTTCAAATATGAATGTCAATTAGAATCAAATCCATAAGAGAAAAACGATGAGGATTTAACTATTATATTGACAGGATTTTATTGACTAGATTATAAATTTAAAACAATGAAAAATCTAATAAGTCATATCGCGAATTAGGATTATTGAAATCGTCAGCAAATGCGAAGTCAAATTCTGAAGTTGAATTGTCAATCTTAATGTGCTCTTCTTTGTGAACATTAGATGCTGGTTCGATTGTTTCCATCGATTGATTATTTTTTGAAATGGATGACCAGCGATTTTTAATATTTATTTCTGATCTGTTTTTGAAAAATGAAGATATTTTTGACCATTTAGAGCCAAATTGAAGATGAAGAGTTTTTAAATATTCGTCTTCTTCTCGAGTCCATGGACCATTTACGATTCCTGGTGATAAGTAATTTCGAAATCGTTCTCTAACCTGTCTAGGTGTCCTTCCATTGAGATAATTTGCAATCTCTTTCCAATTTTTCTTTTCTTTTCCATTTATAAGTGTCACAATGAGTAAATCTTCTTCAGGGGTGAACATTCTGCGTTGACTTCCATTTTGATTTGTTTGCTTCATGTAATATTTTTTTGATTGATAAAAATATGAAAAATTGAAAGAAACATTCAAAAAATATTCAAAGTGCTTTTCAAAATATTACAATAATAACAAACATTTTAATACAAATATTTTTGAAATATAAAATTTACTTACGATCGATTTAACTCAAATAATACTCATTGAAATTTTTTAACTCATTTTAAAATCATAATATTAATCAATTCTATGCTATAAATAAAATATGAAATTTAGGGGTTATTCACCATTGTTATAGACCGAAAATAGATTTTTTCGGTTTTCTCTTCAAATAATTGAAAGAATGATACTATTATAGGTTTATTATATTATATAGCATATAATCATGCTATAGCCGAAAATTATAAGTTTTGAGAAGATTGAATATAACACAAATAAATTTGAATGTAAGTTAAATTGCTTGTTGTTTTTAATAGCTATTTAATGAGAAATCAATATTGCAAAATTCAAATTGAATGATTGAAAGAACAGAAAAAGTCATTCTTTTCAATTTCGAATATGTTTCATTGTATTTATAATTATATGGCAAATAAGATATTTAAACTTGATTTTTGAAGGAAAATTCACAAAATTGAATGAATTCAAATAATTTTTATTCAAAAATAAACTAGTTATTTGAGTTTAATACTAATTATCTATTCAAACTACAAAGTTTGTAATTAAAAATATTTTGTGAGATCAGATTGAATTAATTCAAGGTTCTTTTCAATTAATATGAATGACCATATTACGCATTTTCGAACATTATAAACCAAATATATAAAAATGGGAGACGAATGTTAAATTTTCTAGACATGGGGGAGTTGTCTGCAAAGTTTTAGCTCTTATCTCTAACAAAAAATTAATTTTTAAAAAAATGACCGAATACGTTTCACAGCGAGAAAAAAATAAAAGGCAAGATAGAATTTTCTAGACATAAAGAAGTTGTTTACCGAGTTTTAGCTCTTATCTCTAACAAAAAATTAATTTTTAAAAAAATGACCGAATACGTTTCACAGCGAGAAAAAAATAAAACTGTACACTGATTTTAATTTTCATTTCCAGTCACTTTACTTATTATTTTTTCTTTTTTTCATTTTAATTATAAATTATTTCATAATACGTTTATTTACGTTACCATTTTCTTTATTCTTTTGAATTCCATACTACACACTTATAGAATATTTTGATTGTTAACGTACTTCATTAGAATGAATCCTTACAAAGGGTATGTCGATCGAATTTACCTAATTGGTATTTCCAATCAGATTGAAGAAGGTAAAATGACATGGGAAGAAGCTTGCACCCATGTTCCCATCGCCCCAACCCTTCAATCAAATGATTTCAAATATTTAGATGTTTCAAAATCTTTTTTACAAAATCAATTTAGCTTACAGAATATCCCATTGCCTAAAGGCAAGAAAGGTCGTAGGGTCAATCCCTACGACCAAATCAAAGCTCTTGCTGTGATACATGACCACTGGGCCTTTCCCTGTGGTCAAACAAAACAATGGAAACGTTTGAAATTACAACAAATTGATGTATCTTATAGAGAAGTACGCAGATACTTCAAAGAAAGTCATTTCACCAAGACGCGATTAGAGCATGCCGGGCCAGAAACAGCAGTAAGATATTGGGCGCTTTCACCCAATCTTATCTGGCACGCAGATGTTCATTATTTTAGGGGTGTTCGTGGCCAGTATATTTATGGCATAATCGACAATTTTAGCCGCAAAGTCCTAGCGTGTATACAAATACCAGATATGCTGGCAGCGACGACAGCGAACGTTGCGGCTTCCGCCTTCATTGAATTTGGCGCCCCTTATTGTTTCTGGACCGACAACGGTTCAGAAAATAGGGGCGCCTTTCAAGATCTACTTGATCTTTGGGCGCCCAATGGCGGCATACAGACTCTCATTCTCCCTACCAAAATGGGAAGATTGAGAGATTCTGGCCGACATTGGAGCGCTGCCAAAGCATTCAGGCTATTCCTGCCTTTATTTGGGAGTACAATAATAACACACCGCATGAAGATCTCCCAATTAATCCATTAACTGGAACAAATTACACGCCAAATCAAATGTATCAGCTGAAACCGAAATACACAAATGCAGATACAGAAAGGTTGTGGCAAATATGGGATACAGATACAGGCATGACCGCTGTTGACACATTCACAGCGTAATAATAAACATAATTTTTTAATTTCATTTTTAACAAGTTTTTTTAAATGTATGTAATGAATAATTCATTAGAATATGATAATGCACATTGTAACAGAATAGAACAATCACCAAATTTTTTTTTGAAATTAAAAAATATAAGTAAAAAGTATAAAGTAATCTAACCAAAAAAGATATTTAAAAGAATTTTGGAAAAAACAGAATAAGGATAATGATATTATTTTAGATACACAATCGATGTACTGAAGAATAATCCGGTAAAATGATGATATAAAATTAGATTATTTTACAAGTAGCTAAAAGAATAAAACTATAATATAAAATAAATGAAGTTTAATGAAACAATAAAGGTTAAATAAATAATAAAGATTTTTATTTTATATCAGTATTGAGAAGAAGTAACAGCTGACACTTGGTAAACAACTTCTTTATGTCTAGAAAATTCTATCTTGCCTTTTATTTTTTTCTCGCTGTGAAACGTATTCGGTCATTTTTTTAAAAATTAATTTTTTGTTAGAGATAAGAGCTAAAACTCGGTAAACAACTTCTTTATGTCTAGAAAATTCTATCTTGCCTTTTATTTTTTTCTCGCTGTGAAACGTATTCGGTCATTTTTTTAAAAATTAATTTTTTGTTAGAGATAAGAGCTAAAACTCGGTAAACAACTTCTTTATGTCTAGAAAATTCTATCTTGCCTTTTATTTTTTTCTCGCTGTGAAACGTATTCGGTCATTTTTTTAAAAATTAATTTTTTGTTAGAGATAAGAGCTAAAACTCGGTAAACAACTTCTTTATGTCTAGAAAATTCTATCTTGCCTTTTATTTTTTCTCGCTGTGAAACGTATTCGGTCATTTTTTTAAAAATTAATTTTTTGTTAGAGATAAGAGCTAAAACTCGGTAAACAACTTCTTTATGTCTAGAAAATTCTATCTTGCCTTTTATTTTTTCTCGCTGTGAAACGTATTCGGTCATTTTTTTAAAAATTAATTTTTTGTTAGAGATAAGAGCTAAAACTCGGTAAACAACTTCTTTATGTCTAGAAAATTCTATCTTGCCTTTTATTTTTTTCTCGCTGTGAAACGTATTCGGTCATTTTTTTAAAAATTAATTTTTTGTTAGAGATAAGAGCTAAAACTCGGTAAACAACTTCTTTATGTCTAGAAAATTCTATCTTGCCTTTTATTTTTTTCTCGCTGTGAAACGTATTCGGTCATTTTTTTAAAAATTAATTTTTGTTAGAGATAAGAGCTAAAACTCGGTAAACAACTTCTTTATGTCTAGAAAATTCTATCTTGCCTTTTATTTTTTCTCGCTGTGAAACGTATTCGGTCATTTTTTTAAAAATTAATTTTTTGTTAGAGATAAGAGCTAAAACTCGGTAAACAACTTCTTTATGTCTAGAAAATTCTATCTTGCCTTTTATTTTTTCTCGCTGTGAAACGTATTCGGTCATTTTTTTAAAAATTAATTTTTTGTTAGAGATAAGAGCTAAAACTCGGTAAACAACTTCTTTATGTCTAGAAAATTCTATCTTGCCTTTTATTTTTTTCTCGCTGTGAAACGTATTCGGTCATTTTTTTAAAAATTAATTTTTTGTTAGAGATAAGAGCTAAAACTCGGTAAACAACTTCTTTATGTCTAGAAAATTCTATCTTGCCTTTTTTTTTTTCTCGCTGTGAAACGTATTCGGTCATTTTTTTAAAAATTAATTTTTTGTTAGAGATAAGAGCTAAAACTCGGTAAACAACTTCTTTATGTCTAGAAAATTCTATCTTGCCTTTTATTTTTTTCTCGCTGTGAAACGTATTCGGTCATTTTTTTAAAAATTAATTTTTTGTTAGAGATAAGAGCTAAAACTCGGTAAACAACTTCTTTATGTCTAGAAAATTCTATCTTGCCTTTTATTTTTTTCTCGCTGTGAAACGTATTCGGTCATTTTTTTAAAAATTAATTTTTTGTTAGAGATAAGAGCTAAAACTCGGTAAACAACTTCTTTATGTCTAGAAAATTCTATCTTGCCTTTTATTTTTTTCTCGCTGTGAAACGTATTCGGTCATTTTTTAAAAATTAATTTTTTGTTAGAGATAAGAGCTAAAACTCGGTAAACAACTTCTTTATGTCTAGAAAATTCTATCTTGCCTTTTATTTTTTCTCGCTGTGAAACGTATTCGGTCATTTTTTTAAAAATTAATTTTTTGTTAGAGATAAGAGCTAAAACTCGGTAAACAACTTCTTTATGTCTAGAAAATTCTATCTTGCCTTTTATTTTTTCTCGCTGTGAAACGTATTCGGTCATTTTTTTAAAAATTAATTTTTTGTTAGAGATAAGAGCTAAAACTCGGTAAACAACTTCTTTATGTCTAGAAAATTCTATCTTGCCTTTTATTTTTTCTCGCTGTGAAACGTATTCGGTCATTTTTTTAAAAATTAATTTTTTGTTAGAGATAAGAGCTAAAACTCGGTAAACAACTTCTTTATGTCTAGAAAATTCTATCTTGCCTTTTATTTTTTTCTCGCTGTGAAACGTATTCGGTCATTTTTTTAAAAATTAATTTTTTGTTAGAGATAAGAGCTAAAACTTTGCAGACAACTCCCCCATGTCTAGAAAATTTAACATTCGTCTCCCATTTTTATATATTTGGTTTATAATGTTCGAAAATGCGTAATATGGTCATTCATATTAATTGAAAAGAACCTTGAATTAATTCAATCTGATCTCACAAAATATTTTTAATTACAAACTTTGTAGTTTGAATAGATAATTAGTATTAAACTCAAATAACTAGTTTATTTTTGAATAAAAATTATTTGAATTCATTCAATTTTGTGAATTTTCCTTCAAAAATCAAGTTTAAATATCTTATTTGCCATATAATTATAAATACAATGAAACATATTCGAAATTGAAAAGAATGACTTTTTCTGTTCTTTCAATCATTCAATTTGAATTTTGCAATATTGATTTCTCATTAAATAGCTATTAAAAACAACAAGCAATTTAACTTACATTCAAATTTATTTGTGTTATATTCAATCTTCTCAAAACTTATAATTTTCGGCTATAGCATGATTATATGCTATATAATATAATAAACCTATAATAGTATCATTCTTTCAATTATTTGAAGAGAAAACCGAAAAAATCTATTTTCGGTCTATAACATTGTTATTTACCATTATAATCGGGCAAGAGTGACATTATCAATAAATTACGATACCAAAGTGTTGATATTGATGTTCCTTTGATTTGGCAAAAATTTATCCAAACTGATATTTCTAAATTATTTCAACATCAAAAATTAAATGAATTAATCTAATCGACAGTAGATTTGTAATTACAATTTGTTTAAAACACTATATTTTATTCTTTTTAAAAGAACTGTAATATTTTGAAATACAAAATGAATACGTAGATCCAATATTCTAAAATCCATATCATTGTAGTTCCCATAAAATGAATTCAAAGATATCCTTTCTGATTTCTAATTAAATATCAAAAATAATTAGAAAAAATTTATAATTGTTGATCATTAACTCGGAAACACATTTTTCTTCTTCTAAATGTACATCTTCTAACTAAAGTTCTATATATAATTATTTTGAGCTGAATCAATGAAAGAGGAGGACCACAGTCCTATCAAAATTGAACCGCCAATTCAAATATCGGCATTTTTGAATTAAACACTTGATTGAATAACTGATAATTGAATATGAGACATCGGATTATTACTATTATCAAATAATATTTTATTTAGCTATATAAAACTTATTTTCGATAATTTTGATATTTTGTTAACCTTACAACGTATTTAAGGATTTATGAATTCCTTATCAAGCATGCTTGATTTCAATCTATAAAGGTCTAATATATACTAGAGTCAAAATCTCGAGCACAAAAGTGACATTGAATACTTGTAAGTATTGAATTCCCATGTAAACTATTCATTTCTATCGTTTTTTGAAGTCCACATTTCCTCACTCTCGATTTTACTCATAAAAATATTAAAAAATCACTATACAATATATAAAATATATATTTATATGGTTAAAACAATGTTATTTTTGCGAGATTTCATCTGAAATTAAAATTAGGGATTTTTTGAATTTTGAACTAAAATTTGTGATTGGCAAATATTGAATAATCGATTGGAATATGAAAGAAATACTTTAAAATTGAATAGAATGTGCCGATAGAATTTTTCTCACAATTTTAAAAAGTTGTTCAAATCCTATTTTTGATTGAGTTTTTGCAATTGTTATATATCAACTGACAAGCTAAAAATAAAATTTTTGTTGCACTACTATTTTTGCAACAATTTGTAAATTACGTGCATCCCTTGTATTCCAGTGATCAACATCGAGATTACATATTGTAAGAAATCCTTTTGAAGTAGATCTCTATTTGAATTCAAATTCGGACAGTCTATTTCATGTTGCTTCGTGAGAATGTATATAATTTGCAATGTGAATATTATATAATTGATTCTGTATAAATAAGTAATTATGCTTTAGGAAACTGCTCGGCATTGCATGAGATCTAATCTTATAATAATTTTTTAGATATGTTGAAATATGTAATATTTAGCTTCAATATCATTTATTATGGTGTGTCTTTGCTGTTTTTTTGATATTGGATATCAATGACTCTTCTGTGAACGAAAAAATCATATAAATCATTAAATTCTAAACGTAAGCGAAACTCATTCAATTTATTATTAGAATCAAATCTATTTTAAAATTGAGCTATTCGTTAAATCACAAAAGGATACTTTATATTTTTAGTCAAAATTTGTTGATAGGAGCTTATTGGCGCAATCTCATGTTCTTCCTGGAAGCAGCGCACAGACCAGTCAGAAGCGCTCCTTCCAGGACCAGAAAGACTAGAAGGGGGCCCTGACCTTGAGAAAGGACCCCCTTCCAGGTCTTTCTCCAAGGAACATTGTGCCATTGTGGGAGACATGCACAGGCAATGTCTCCCAGAATGATACAGTGCGACCAACACGAGTGAATGGGACACTCTATTCTTTCAATTTTCTCATTAATATTTTATCTTTTTTTATTAGATCAATAAATAAACTCTTTTAATGTTCACAATTACATAAATCCATATGAATCAATTCGCTATTTATTTAGTCTCTAATTTAAATAGCTTTTTTGAATCTTGCAATCTAAATAATTAATATATGCAGGTCATTTTATTTTTTTTCTTAATTACATTATATATAATAATATATTATAAAAAAAAGGTAGTGGGGCTTCCAGGCGCGTTGCGCCCTCTAGCCCCGAAGATGTTTAGTATAAATGAAGTTTTTATTCGGAGGGCTTCCAGGCGCGTTGCGCCCTCTAGCCCATAAAAAATTTCTGAGGACGAGCCAGCCGGTGACTTTTTTGTAGAGCACTCAAAATAGTATAACTTTGTCCGGACAAGTAAGGGTCTATCGTCGCTACAGGAAAAGTTACAGGCGTTCCAAGGAAGTATACTTTGAGAAGCCTTTTTCCCCTTATAGAATGAGATAGGACGGTTATTTTACAAAACTGACAACACTTTGACCGAGTAGTTTTTTGTGCTGAACAAAAAGTGTCATATAAACATCTGTCAAAAACCGTTTTTTACTTCACTTAAAATGCCACGTAAGCTACGTAAGAATATACGTAAGAGGAAGGGAGCATTGAAACATCTAATAGTAAAACTGACACCACAACAACAGTTGCAACAACAAATGATGAATGACCCCACTATGTTGCAACAAATGTCAAGCAACCCTATGCTTTTAAACCGAGTTATTGGTGCACAGAGTGGAGGTTTAAGAGCGGCACTTTTAGCGAAAATGGCAGGCTATGGTGGAGCTGCAGACGGAACAGCTTATAACCCTCAAAGTCAAATGAATTTGAGTTCACTCAAAAATCAAATAACAGATATCAAAAAGTCAAACATAGACATACAGAAACAAATAAGTGAAAACGAAAAGAAACTAGAATATGACAGACACACAAAGAAACTCAATGAGTTAAACGTAGAGAAAAAGAAGAAAGAAGAACAACTGAAAGAACTAAGTACAGAGGAATATGCGAAAAAAGTGTCAGAAAAAGCAGCAGAAGTAGCAAAAATGGAACAAGATGTTATAAATTTGAAAAACCATACTACTCAATATAAAGTACTGAAAGATGAAGAGATAAAACAAAAAGCCATGAAGACATATATGGATAGCGATGAGTATAAAAAGACGTTGAAGCAAATGTAAAGGCAGAAAAACTTTTACAGTTGCAAAACCAAACCGTACAGTATGAAAACTTAGCACAAGAAAGTAAAAATAACGACGCAGCCATGCAAAAGGCAATGAAAAGTGCAGATATTATAAAAGCTAATAATGACTGGTTAGATGCCCAAGCCAACGCTAAAGCAGCCCAACTTATAGGGTCAATAAGGACAAAAATACAAGCGGATGAAGACAGTTCAAATGAAGCTTTAATGAATGCTGACTTTAAGAATGCCTTCGAAGCTCTTCATAGTAAGGTGAAACTAGTGAACGACTTCTCATCTGGAAAGAAACTGAAGTCTGAAGGTTTCGACAAAGAGTTAAAAGAAGTAGCACAAAATATGACGAAAATAACAGATGCAGCAACGAGACAGGCAGTTCAAAGTGCCTATGACGCCGTTAGAGCAACTGTTGTGGAAAGTCAAGAAAAAGAGTTACAACAGACCAAAACAGACCTAGTAAATGCTTTCTTAAAAACGAAAAGTCAGGTAGGACATTATGCTGCAGATGGAACATATGTGCCAGCTGGTGGAACTTATATACCACCAAACCCTCCAAGAGAAGCACCTGCACCAGGACTACCTAAAACATTTACATCGTCACATGGACACAGACACAGGCATGCACCACAACAACAACCAACACAACAACCAACAGTTCAAAATCCAGCACCACAACAACAACCAAAACCAGCACAGCAACCAACAGTTCAAAACCCTGCACAGCAACCACAAACAGAGCAAAGACACAAAAGAAGTAGAGAAAAAGGAAACCAAGAATTCTTAAAAATGCTTAAGGAAGATTATGGTTACCCAGATACTCTTGACTTTAGTGACAGATATAAAGAAGCTATTAGAAAATTCAAGGAAGGAAATACTGACCCGAACCTATTTAGCTTTATGGTTCAGCATAAAATCGGATATAATCTCAAACCTGGAAAATACAAGCTCGCTAAGGGATATGATTTAATAGCATATCATCCAAATGACATGAATGAATTTACTCCGAGATATTTGATGTCAGAGCTAAATGATAATTCAACTCTCTTCATGAAACGCGTAAAAAACAGAGACGGAACGAAAGAAGAAAGGTTTATGAGTCCGGATGACTTAGATAGGGAATTTGTTAAAAACGGTCTCGGAATATATGAAATGCCAGCAGATGAGGTACAAGAAACTCAACAGGAAGAAGTTCAAATACAACCAGACATGGAAGAAATAGTTCAGCAACAACAGCTAGAAGAGCCTGAAGGAAACGAACAAGTCCCTCCTTTGGAAACTAACTTCACAGAACTAGATGAAGATTTGGAACAGCCGAAAAATCTTGACCCTCAACAAGAGTATGAGGAGAATATGGAATCTTTCCAAGAGTCTAAGAAAAATTCGGCTGACATAGTAGAAGAATATCGAAAAATGTTCACCGACATACAAAAGACTCCAACATCAGATGAAAATATTCAGCATACAATGGAAGTACTGAAAGAAATGTACGCAAATACAATAATCCTTTTTACTTACGACCATATAACGTTCAATCTTTGGCTGAACTCGGTGAAAATAAAAGGTTAAATTTCAACAAAACATATAGAAATGAAACATTGTTTAAAGTTCATTCAGAACCTAACCAATATGGAAACAAACCTACTTTTGTTTCTGCAGACTATGGAACTACAATGAAATGGGGTCATAAAGCTAATCCGGATAGGTGGTTCATAAACTTACAACCTCAATTCCAAGAAGTTGTAGACGCAATGGAAGTGAATGGTGAACCAGATATAACGGGTATTTTCAGCGCGGCTTTAATGCCATTGAAAGATATGAAAGATGCAGATATTTTGGACCAGTATGAAATGAACATGGCTGAGGGAAATATAACACCTGACGTTCTAGAACATTTATCTCAAAGAACTACACAGAACCATAGAGATGGTATATTTGGTGAAGAGTTTAGAAAGAAAGTTAGGGAGAGAGAAGGAAGAGAACCTATTGTACATGACCTTGCAAACGAAAGTTTGCAAAATGTCATAAAAACTTACTTTGCAGACAATGAACTGAGAAGGGATGAATATTTAAGAAAACTCAAATGGACAGTACCAAATGAAATGTTAGTATTGAAAAACATGTTCCATGACAAAATAAAACCAACTACAGAAATAAATGACGCAAGACTGAAACGTTGGGTAAAAGCTTTCCCATTCACAAAAGATATTATTGGTTACATGGAAAGAAAACCAGAATGGCTACAAAAACATATATTTGGAAACGAGCTTATTCCATATGGACAAGCTCTGTTTGAAGAGCTTGAACCGGAAACTCAGGAAAGAGTCATGCAAACAATAAGCGAAGACTCAAATACAAACTATGACAAAATCTTTCTAGGATATAGGTTACCTGAGATGGGCGACCAGAGCCCAAAGGCAAAAAGGACATGGGAAATTTACAACATACTAGGTGAACATGAGGCAAAGATGCAACAACTTGAAGCAGAGGGCAAGTTACCAAAAGCGACACCAAAGAAGAAGAGAAGAGTAGAACAAAGTGAAAGTAGTGAAGAAGTAACTTCATCTAGTGAAAGTAGTGGCAATGAAGGAAAAAGAAGAGTTAAAAACTCAGTCAGGAAGAAAGTAAAGCTTGGTCCAAGTGGGTTCTATTATGATATATAAATCCAACTATTCTATATTTTTACCCATATGAAATGTACGCCGCTCAGAATATAACGCCAACAGTTTTGGATGCCATGAACGGAAATGTTTCCGAATGGTATAACAAATGCGACAATGCCATTAGAAGGTCAGAAATAGTTCCTGGAACTTACGAATATACAACTGCTGTTTCTTATGGAAACGTAGGTGAGTTTGGAGAAGGTTCTTCACAACAGTAGATATTGCTTGCGACAGGTTTCATATTATTTCTATTGACAACTCATTCTTATACGTGGAACAAGACATTGAAATAAAACCTTCTGCCAAGTTGTCTGACAAGAAAGGTTGCAATGGAATTTTCTATGTCGGATACCAATATGCTCCAGAAGTTTTCATGGGATATAAGATATATTCTAACTCTGACTTAGTTCAAACAGTAACATGGGCAAACTATGAATGGTTCGCTTTGAGAAACTCAGTACAACCACAAGCTAGAGAACAAACAGACGTATGCAAATATTGAGAAAATAAGAAGACTTGACCCTAACGTTCCAGGAGTTTATGTTAACCTTTCTGGACAAACTGCAGCAGCAGTAACCAAAGTAAAACTGAAACTTAGAGTTCCTTTGTCATCTTTCCTCATCTTCAGGTTTTTAAGATACTTGCCAAACTGGGCAGGAAAAATTTCTATCGAACTTACTCCAAGCAAAAATAACTTAGTCATTGCACCAACACAAGACCCATTCACTATTACAGACGTAAAGGGAACAAATCAAACGTCATTCGCCGAATTTTGCAAAGACAAAGTTGACTTAGACTTTGGTTTCTCAAAACTTCAACAATGAAGTAAACTATTATTTCAATGCTGCTGGAACTGCTTGGGACCAGTTAAGTTCACATGCGAACAGTTTGAATGCAAGAGAATAGAAAGCAGACTTGCAGTCTATATGTTGGACCCAGATATTTCAAATGCTTTAGCTGCCAAATATATTGCAGTTCCACTTATGTTCCCTATACACCAAATATCTGTCAAAGACTTTGCAGGTGAAGTTGGAAACCAAAATCCAGGAACCGCAGGTGCAAGAACAGATATTGCTTTAACAACTGCAATGAAACATGCAGATACTATGTTTGTACTGTTCAGACGAACTATAAATGACTATTCTTGTTTCTACAACCCTGGTATTAAATATCATATAAACATAGATGGCAAATATTATCCAAGAGAAGAATATTCTACAGTTGAGGATATGAGGTCATACAACTTGACATTAGATGCTATGAACTTTAACAACAACTTCACAACAACTATTAACCCTGAAATGCAAAGTTCTATTATGCCATATGTGAAAGTATGGACTCATACAGGAGGTCAAAAAACTCAATATACAAATGGAGACCGTTCAAACTTTTGGCTTGGCATTCCATTTGCTGACTCAGAAGACTTTATGGGTGGTATTTCAACTGTTGGTACAGTTCAAATACAATATACTGGTGACAGAGACGGTCCAGATGAATTGAGAGCAAAGAAGTTTACAAAACCAATAGCACTTTTCACGGAAGATGCTCTTTTGAAGATTCGTTCGATGAAACCTGCTGGGGCTCCTCAGATTGGCATAACGACAGCTTCCATCGAGCAGATTTTGGCAGCAGGTCAGTAAGTTGTTCTTGAACTGACTTCTCTCCGTCAAATATTGACAGTACGCCAGTTTTGACATAATATTGTATTATAAACTTTCCTTTAGTAATATCGGTCAGTTTTGAAGTTATATTTTTGTCAACGTCAAGAACTTTCACCATCTCGGTTATACCAACTTTCTTTGCTTTATGAAAATATTTAGGTTCAGCAAAGACAGCTATTCTATAACATTTTCCATTGTTTGTGTAAAGAACTATTCTGTCAATGTATTTGTATTGTTTGTGAGTATAAACTTTGTTCTGCTTCAATTCAATAAGATATCCGAATACGTCCATCTTTTTATTCTAAGTAAAATGTCATTTCCGAAAAATAGAAGCGTAAGTGTTTCAAAAGGTTTAATGGCGGTGGCAGATGTGAAGTTAAATTCACCAACTCAAACAAACAGTCAAAGTGTTATTGTCAATGTCAAAGACAGAGATGTTGAAATGGGGAAACCATACGAAGACGAAGATGGTATAACAATTGTTCCTGTAAAAGAACCAACATATCCTGAAGTTAGCAGAGACTTAAGTTCTGTTGCAGATATTCGAAACGACTATCAACAACTGAAAGACAAACTTCAAACTCAGGAGAAGATTTGTCAAGCTTTAAGTATAATGTTAAACTTGGTCGAACACAACCCTGTAAAAGTGAACTCATATGTCATTGCACCTCATGAAGTTTTGAAAGAACTATTGAAACTTTTGACAGAGGCAGACGATATAAACATCAAAGAAATAGAACCCGACATTAGTTGCTGTGGTGTTTCATATAATGTCATTGACAAGATATACGTTATGAAAGGAGGTGAAACGTTGAACTTAAAATATAGTTTCCCAGACGTTATAAAAATATTTGACGACCACAACATTTCATTAAAATTTATTTGCTAAGTAAATGGCAGAAGACATAATGGTTTATACTATTACGACTAAAAACCCTGAGTCATATAATTCTATAACAACAAACTTACAAAGTCCTCAAGGACGATATTGTAAACTAACCTTAAACACAATGACGACTAAAGCCTGTTTTGCTCTTTTGACACCAGAAGACTTTATTGTTGTGAATGGTAAAAAATACTCCTTTGAAGATACTTACTCAGATATACCACCAACAGGTTTTGTTGACTTATTTAATACTTTAAGTACAGGTGTAACATGTGCTGCAACTAGAGCAGGTTTCATTATGTTTGGATGTCCGACTGAGTTTACTATTAATGATATGAGCTATAATACAAAACTTATATCTGGTTTTTACTACCAACAGTTTCCTATAACAGGAAAAGGTGTCATACAAGGAATGTCTCTCGTAAACGAAAAAGAGGATTTGACGCAGTCAAATCCTCTCTCTCAAAAAGTGGACTTTACATGGCAAATTTCAAATGCATGTAAGGTCCACTTTGATCAGTTTCAGGATGGAATTGGAGGCCATGAGGTACTGACATTGCATCAGTATCTCATAGCCTCCAATCCCTTCAAAAAATGGAGAAACTTTGGTCGAATAATTTAACATTCGGCCAAAGTTTCTCCCATAATTAATGAGAATGAAAGGGTAAGAGGCATATAGGGTCACTATATACCTCTTACCCTTTCATTTTCATTTGGAGGTCAACAAACCCGGAGTTAATTGCAAACAATTAACTCCAAATTTGTTTATGTTAAGGAAGGAATTGGAGGGTAAGAGGTACATAGTATGAATATGTACCTCTTACCCTGCAATTCCTTCTAGAAAGTTCCAAAACTTTGGGTTAATTGCAAACTATTAACCCAAAGTTTGGACACTTTCAAGTGGAGATGGAAGGCTTTGGGGTATATATTAATATAATATACCTCAAAGCCTTCCATCTCCACTACAAATGAGAGAAACTTTGTCCGAATAGTTTAACATTCGGACAAAGTTTCTCCCATCTTTCAATGTAATTGCTACATGTGAGGTACTGACTTGAAGTCAGTGCTTCACAGGTAGCAATATCCAAAAATTTAAAAACATTTTATCAGTTCGTTAGAGAACTAGAGCCTCCTAGGTACTGAACCAGAATCAGTGCCTAGGAGACTCTAGTGATCTATATAAATCTGAGAAACTTTGAGGAAATTGTTCGACATTTCCTCAAAGTTTCTCAGCAATTTAGCGAGGAATGTTCGTTATCGTGTAGATATTTATAATATATACATGATAACAAACATTCCCCGCTAAAAGATGTAAAATCTTATAAGAAATAATTGCAAAAGAATAACAAATTGCAACAAATTTTATATGAAACTGAACCTTATGAGGTAGTGATTCAAGATCACCGCCTCATAAGATTCAGTTTCAATCTCAAGTATCTCAAAAGTAAGACTCTATTTTTTGCCATGTAAAGTGTCACTTTACTGACAAACCGTTTTTATCGTTTTCGTTTACAACATGTCTATTCCATTGACATTAAGCACACCAATCTTATATATTGTTTCAAACTTAGGTTCAAAGTGTTATTCGAATGTCGACAGAAACTATTATGACCAAAAGATACTTATGCGTATAAACAATACTTTCTCTGCTGGTTTGCCTATTGTTCATTCGAATGCAGAATTTTCAACCTTAGTGAACTCAAACACTTTGGCAAGTATAACGTTGACATTAGTTGACGCAAACTTTGTTCCTGTAAAACTTTTATGTCCTATGTATTTGTCAATGACGGCAGAAAGTTTCGAATTGGAAGATGCAACTGGTGAAAGTATTGTATTACAAGAACAACTTCAACAACAAATAGCTCAAGAACAACAAATGCAACAAATGGAACAACAAAGTCAAGAATAAAAAAATATTATTTTTTTATTTTTATAAAAATGTACAGAATAGATGTTTCAGATTTTTATGACTTCCAAGCATTCAGAAATATGTGTCCATTTAGAGACTATAACAAAGCAGTCGAGAATTTGAAACGTTTAGTCATTTATGTTGACTCTGCCCCAGAATGTTATGTCATGAAAGAATGGGATGTTGTCTTTAACAAACCAAGAGCAACAATAGTGTCTGAACAAGAATGTAGACAGAAACTTAAGAAAATAAAAGTCGTACAAGTTGGCATGAAGATGTTAGATGCTTGGGATATCTTATTGTCAAAGTTAGAAGATTTTTCAGTTCGAGGTATAAAGTTCTATACACCTTCTCCAAACTTCTATTCTATCTTCACTGGATATAAATATGAACAAGTAGAATGGAAAGAAAATATTATAGAAGCTTGGTTAGACCATGTCAAAGAAATTATATGCAATGGAAACGAAAGAGTCTATGAGTATATCTTATGTTGGTTTGCAAATATCTTACAACATCCAAGTGCTTAAAATGAAACTGCTCTCAT